GCTGTATATGTATACCGGATTCATAATGAATTATTTCCCCAATACCAAATACGTTGCGAAAAAATACGTCAGAACCGCATGTACTTCCGATAGCTGTCGAAAAAAGTGGCTAATTATGACAAGTTGTATGAAGTAGAGAATATATAGTGAAATTTAAATGCAGAGTAAGTAACTGCCATTCTACTAGCAATGAGAAAAAACAGCGTTAGGAGAGAGATCCCGCAATACAATAATAATTATACAATATTATATAAAGGTAAAGGTTGGAAGAGAAAAAGCACAAAATGCAATTTTAATAAATATTCGCGATACTATTATAGCGTTATATGCACTTGTTATACGCGTGTAAAAGCATCGGGTCTCACTATATTGATAAAAATATGGAATAAGATAGAACACAATGACACAATGATTCTCAAATTTGTATTTCGCGAATCTCTCGCGGTTCCGGCGATTCTTCGCGACCTCATGCTCCGTTTCTTTCACATAATCATAATTTTACTTGTTTTTGCGCATTACGAAACACGTAGTTTGACGTTTTAGGATTTCGCCTAAAAGGGAGAGTCACGGTGGAAAAAACTTGGAAAATCACCGCGGTAGACCCCGGCCGGACACGGAATGAAATAACAGAGAAACAGCGCGGCGCGGCGGCGCGGCGCCGCGGGAGATACGATGCGCGACGGGCAACGGCAACGAGCGCGCGGAAGACAATACGGAATTGCGCAAAAATGCGCGGTGGAATAGAACCGAAATTACACCCGGTCATTCTTTTCGATTTGTTCGCGAAGCGCGACAGCTCAACGTATCTCGCGGATAGACGGTGGCCGTATAATCACCTCTCTACGCAATTAGCGTACCGCGGGTTTTCATAAATTCCAACAAACCGCGAGCTTCGAAAAGTCGTAGACGCCCAGCATTAGAGACGTAGAAAGGCAGTGCGTGCCCAACCCTCGGGTATAATAAGTTAATAACACGGAAACATACCGACACGTATCGCGAGGTGTGTTCCTGTGTCGGTTCCTTTCATCCACATAAATTTGTGACTGCGTCGTAGACAAACCAATCCTGAAAGTTCCTTCCACCCTCCCGTTACGATTCGATTGCGTGATGATGTTAAACGCGTAAACAAACGTTCTCTCTTTTCCTTTTGCGGACAATATGGCAGGAAGTTTCGCAAAAATGACATTCCCAAAGACAATGGGGATTCGGCTTTTTTCCGGCAGGTGCGCGTCACATGCGTAATTAACGTCGATGTAATTTCATTGAGTTGGGTCATCGATCGATACGTCTCTGTGCCGGCGTCATCTGAGCAACGGTTTTTCGAATGACAGAAATATGGAATGACGTGGAATAGCGTGATACTTGAAATAAACATGACAAAATTGAATTTTAATTTAGAAGAATTACGCACGTTGTGTTCGCTGCGCTGCGCGGGACTGATTATGCGCGCGAAAGCATTATAATAATTAATGCGACACAAGAATAATAGCTTCCACATCGTATCGTCGCACGTCCGTCGCAGACGATAATCGAGTTTCTGGCAATTCTAAGAAAAAAAAAGGGATACACGGCCGACGAATCTCATGCCGCCATCCCTATCTCTCACGCGCCGTGGTCTGGAATTTCTTTTGGAGATTAGATCATCTACGAAATTGCACGCCGCAAGACTGGCGATACAAGACGTTTAAACAAAATAAAAACGCACGAAACTGGAACGCCATCGTCGCAGATCTAGCGAGCATAGGATAGGCTGTAAAACCGCTAACACAGCTCACGATTACAATTACAGTTACGTGAGCTGGATTTAGACGTTTCACGTCTTGAATTTTCGTGAAGGATCTTCCGACGCTCACGCAGAGTCTGTTTACACGCTTCGACAAACATATACGATTGCAAAGTTCAACGTTCAAGGTAAAAATTTTACAGGCAAATGTTATTATAATTTATAAGGACTGAATAAAAAAAAATTAGCCAATAGAAAAATCCAGATTATTACGAATCGTCGATTCTGATCGAGTCTGATCCTTTCGTTTTTCGTGTGGACCACGCGCGTAAAAATTATCCCCTCCCGACGTGAAAATAACGTAGGAATCTGGACAACGGCGCAATTTTTCGGCGAATAGTTTTCGACAAATCCGTGATGGGTGGAAAAAAACAACATGATGGACGCCGATTCCTCCCGCCGATGACCTCGAAGCCAATCGGCAATTTTATAATGGCTCGGTCTCGTGTTCGCATTTGTGAGAATGAGAGAGAGAGAGGGAGAGAGAACGCGGAGTTGCCAGGTCTCTCGCCAAGCTGTAGAGCGTAGACCATCCAAATAACGCTCCTTCGGAGCTCTCCAGTCCTCTCTCTTCTCTCTCGCGGGCTTAAGGCGACGCGATATGGGCATATCTCTTTAAAACGCCGGCCAGCGACGCAGCAGTGGTGCTCACGAGTCACGATCGATAGCTCGCGAGTTGCGTCGAACGTCTACGTGCGAAATAACAATCCACGTTCGCGTGTAGACTATATACTATATATGCGACTATACCGTCGATGCGTAATCCAGACGTAGACAATGCGTAATCTACGTAGACATCGTCCATAATGATCGCACTTTCTCCGTTTTTTCTTTTGTTTCCAGAAAAAACTGCGTTCTCAATCAAAGAAATTATGCTCGATCTCACACGAGGTTTCGAATCTAATGGCGCACCTATAGACCTATATACGAGCGCCGAGGAGGATGAATCTGAGCGTTTTACACAACCGGCGAAATATCATCATCGCGTCCGCGCATCAGTGCGATATCCACCAATTCCGAGCATCGCGATAGATCCGTACCGCGTACGAGTCTACCACGAGTCTAGAGGTAACAGGAGAGATATTACGTAGAAAAGAAGCATGAAAAGAAACTCCGTCCCGTCAATCCATCGCGCATCGGATGGAACCAAGCCACGCATACTCCTCGGCTCCGATCAGGTGTGTCGGCTAAAACCTGTTGGCTCGCCTTCCTTCTTCCCTTTGTGAGCGAGACAGGTGGTTATAGGGCCCAACAGCCTTCGTGGAGGCTGCCCCGACGAGGAGAGGAATGAAAACACGCGTATAGAGCGCGCGGGGGTGATCGAAGGAAAATCTCGTCGGTCGGATCTCGTCGCGTCGGGGAGATCCAATTTTTCCGGTCCGAATGCCACGGCTAGATACCTACTCGTAAATCCACGACGAGAGGCAGTGACGGGTCGGGGGAGGAAGGGACGGTTTTACGAGCGGGGGAAAACGCGCGCGCAGCGAACAAAGACTTGGGCGAACGCGCGCGCGTAACGGAGCGCATTCGAAATGCGCGGATTTGCGAAACGCGGAATAAGCGGCCCCATTATCGCGGCGAACGGGCACGGATGAGTCACGGCTTCATAACCGAGCCTTAAGCTCCACTTTTGCGGTTAGACTCCGTTGCCCTTCCCTCGGCGATCCGCGGGGGTTATCGTCACGACCGCGAAAAAAGGGACGGGCGACTCGAAACTCCAAGCGAGTCGAGTGGAGTTTCAACCTTTTGCCTCATCGAGGAAAACATTCTAATAATCTAAATAATCGTATCAAAGCGAGTCGATTAAATTTTAAGTTCCTTATCGCCGCGCCTTTTATCGAAACGTGTGTAAAAATAGACAAAGTATAGATAAATATAGATACTCTATCGGATATATACTTCAAGCTGGCATCCCTTTCGATTTAGTTATTACGTGCACGTATCGGAAAGTACAGACGGTAGTCACGCGACAAGAGGTGAGGAGAAAAAGAAAATTACGATCAACTTGTGAATGTTGGCGAGAGTTGACAGAACCGTGAGACCATGCTTTCTGTAGAAGCACAGCGAGTGCGTGTTTTTTTTTTCTTTTCTTTTCTTTTTTTTCAAGAGCATTAGCAAAAAGAAACGCGGAGGATGTCGACGTCCCGACTCGCGGCTAGGCACGTCGACTGGCAGCGAGATCGCAGAAGCGAAGAACGCGTACGTAGTCTATTTTCGCGTAACACGCGCGCCAGGGTATCTTACGCGGTCACGAAAAATATTGCGGCGGATGCACGCATGCGCAGGTCAGCGTTAGCGCGACGGTAAGATCCTAAGTGCACTGACCTCTTGGCCGCTATGCGAAAGGCGGCTTGTGTAGGAAAGTGATAGTTAGGAATACGTGCGTCCGATTGTAATACGCTCTGGTGGCAGTCGTCGCTTTCGTGCTTCCCCTCGAAGCCGCGATATCGGGCTTCCGCCTGTTCGATATTGGCGCATTCAGCCCGACAGCTGTCTTTTATGCAACGCGAGTCGTCGCGCGAGCGATACTGACTTGACGATTTTCGCTCTCTTCTTCTTTTTCTTTCGCGGAAATCGACGATAACGCGCGCGGATGTGCGGATGCACAAGCGCGCGGAACGCGTACACCCCTTTCCTTCTAGCGGTCCAGTTTTGCGTTGGCATGATCGTGACACATTATACGATCCTATTTATTCGTGTGGGAAGCGCGAAACAAGGATCGCAAAAATGTGCATCTTGATTGAAATAAATCTTATACGTCGTTATGCGTAATACGATAATATATAACTTTTACTTAAGTAATACCGATATGTAATTAAATCGCTTTTTACGTAAACTACATTGGCTTAAAAAAGGGTTAAAAAAATAACTCGGACCTCGCGCACGTAGTATGATAGCGCTCATAACTCCCCACGTAAAATAGCCGCTATACCCGCGGTCGCGGTCGACTTTAGCTAAAAGAGAAAAATGAGACCAACTCGCGTCGCAAGTTCCGGAGCAGCTGTCAGAGGGCAGCACGTTTCGCGTGGCGACTCCAAAATGGAGAATCTGAAAAGCGCTCCGAGCACCACCGGCCGACGTGTCGCGGAACACGCGGCTTAATTCGGAAATGGCACGTTCTGCTTTTTCCAGCAACGCGCAGTCGAGAGGAGCTCGTCGAGCGAGCCGTAAAACGGACGCGAAACCGACGAAAGAAACACAAATGATGAATACTCACGGCGTCCTCCTCCGCGCAGCTCCGCCGACATCGTGCACCGATGTCATGTTCGAACCGCCAAGCGCCAAGCGCCAACCGTCGTCGGGACGCGGGAGCGGGCTCCGTCGTCTTTCGCCACAGGATCCACGACGGATACACGGTCGCGTACACAGAACAACGGCACACCCGCGCGCGAGCACACTTCCGCGGCACCACGGCGTCGCGGCGCCGTCCGTCGGACGCGATCGTTTTACCCCGACGTCGACGCGGGGATGCGCGAGCCTGTCAATCGCGGGACAGCCGCATGAGCCGCATGGCATGGCGACCGCGGGCGCAACTCAGCGCGCACGGCGCTTTAAACGTACGTCACCGTCCCGGCCGGCCCCGTCATTGGCCGGCACGGCCGCCGCCGGCCAATCGGACGCGCTCTCGCGGAATCGCGCGGGAAGACAAAGTGCTCGGCTCGGCGCGTCGTTACCGTCGGTCGCGCGCCGAAAGTCACCCGCGACGTAGCAGGGCCGCAGGGCCGCAGGGCGCGGTTCTTCAACCGGTCGTTCGCCAACTCGCGTCTCACGCCTTGCAGCGCCGATGCTTGAATAAGAACGATTTCGAAATGTCGCGTCTACGACTCTTGTTCCGTCACCGATAAATCTAAATATTACAATGTATTTCATTTGCCGTACCAGCCGAGAGTACGTTACTCGAAATAAGAGGAACGTGCGCGCGAATTTAAATTTGCGCCTCCGTATATCCAGTCATTCCGATGAAATTTCGATTGACGCGGGCGAAACAGCAAGTGCCTCGATACGCGTCGAAAAATAGAGAGCGATTTTTATAGTTGGTCGCGTGTTAATCTGCCGATACGCGCTATAATAGCTATTATTCGTCTAAAATTACCGCGGCGTTAATAATCTCCGTTTCGAAATGTCACACGTATACGACTTTTATTAACAAGATCTCGTTCTTATACAACTTGACTGTTTGACTATTTTAAATAACAATATGTCGTGTCGAAATCTAACGCCGTGCGCCATGGCGGTTACAGCGTTCACAGAAACGCATTTGAATAGAAGGAAAATGAACTTTATCCGATACCTTCGCGCGGCGTTTCGTTCCGTGCTTGCAAAACGTCGATCGGCTTGCAAAGCCTCGTACGTGTTGCGCCCGCGATCCCTCAAGAAAGCCGAAAGCCGAGGATAGAAAAAAGACCGACTCTCGCGCTCTCGCATCACCTAGTGCCGAGCCGAATGCGGAGTGCGGACGTGCGGACTGCGACTGCGGAGTGAAGTTAGTAGGAACGCGTGCCGTCAAGATGGCGGCACCAAGCGGCGTATATGCCGTATATACGCGTCTCTGATACGCGTGCGTTTATTTGCGTTGATTTGCGTGTCGCGCGATGCGAGATGCGAGCTGAGCGGAGCGGCTCGTAAATATCGTACGTTTGAGCGCGTTGACGCGTTCCGGCCGACGTTCCCGTAACGTCGACAAATGAGACGCGGCGAGCGACGCGAGGTCAACGAGTGCTTGCCGAGAGCGCGATCGAACGATGAACTATCTCAACAGTATAGCAGGCGGCACGACCACCGCCGACTCGGGCCTGCAGCTCAACAATGTCGAGATTCTCTACACGAAGGTCCAGAGGATTTACGTCAAGCCACAGCATAAGGAGGAACGCCAGCGGGATCTCAGAGTCAACGTCGAGATTCACGCTGGCATCAGTCCGGTTTGCCGCAAGGTAACTTTTTACCTTAACGAGTCTTCCTCCGTTACTTTCAAACTACTTGGACGTGTGAGAACGTTACGTGCGCTTTACCCCTTTAATTCTCTGTAATCAGTAAACGTCGATCAAGACCGATAGCTGCTGCTACCTGAAATTAGAAATATTTATGGACTCTCTCGTTTCAGAGTTTGTGTGTTTTGCTGGCTGACGACGACGATCCATGTTTTCTCTACTCCTTATTCATCACCGAAGATGATTTTAAGGTACTGAAAGCACAGCAGGGACTGCTGGTTGATTTTGATAACTTTGCCACTCAGTTGATATGCTTGTTGGAGCAATGTCACGTTCCGGGTACAAGTCAGCTGTCAAAGACTCCGCCAAAATTCCTCATGTTATTGGCGGAGGAGTCTGGAGATTGGAATTTCAAGCTTGTGGAGACAAATAATTTCAAACATCTGTGCCACCTGAGTTTAAATATATCACCGGCGACCGATTCGGTTTTGAAAACACACATGGCGATGAAGATTAAGCACCTGAAAGAAAATATTTCCCAACAAAGTAAGGATGCGATTGGTTTAGAAACTAGATTAAATGATTTAACAAGCAAACTCGAAACGAAAACAAAGGAATTAGAACACTTGGAGCAAAAATATTTAACTGAGAAAAATCAAATACAATTTAATTCGTCGCAGCAAATAAGTATGGAAAAAGACAGGTATGTATATAAGATATAAATGATTATTGATATAATATTGATTTTAATAATTTTATATTAATAAATAGGTAATATTGTAATGAGACTTTTTTTGTTTGCTTGAAATCAATCAGGATCATCATTTGAAAAATATTAATACGTATGTTAATATTTTTCAGACTAGCACAAGCACGACTAGAATGGCAATGGCAAAGTGAAAAAGAAAAAATGGAAGTTGAACAGAGGCATGCTGACACTGTGAAACAGTTGCACACGGAACTTGCTGAATTACGAACGCAGAATATGACGTATAAGGACAAACAATCCTTTTTAGAAGCTACAAACGCAGAGCAAGTAAAACAACTGCAGAATCTCGAGAAAGAGCTTAATATTGCCGAACGAGATTTGACTTTACTCAAAAAGCAAAACTCGAAATTAGATGTAGATTACCATGACAAAGATAAAGCTGTTAACAGTTTGCGTACAAAGGTAGCTGTGCTTGAACAAGAATTAAAGGACAAAACAGTAATTATTAACAAGCATTTAGAAATGCTAAAATCAGGTAAAGAACAAAAGCAGCATTTAGAGGATCTTTTAACTGAAAGAGACAGTCAGTTGCAACGCAAGCAAAATTCTTTGAGGAGTTTAAGTGACGAGTTAGTAAAAGCCAATGAAATCTTGACTAAATTACAAAATGAACTTGCATCAACCAAGTCCAAATTAAAATTAAGGACGAGCATAGCGCTCGAACAGGAAAGATTGTTAGACAGCAAACAGAAAGAAGTTGGCCAATTGGAAACGAAAATGGAGGGGCTTGTCAGAGATGCGAGAGAGGCGAAGAGTGAAGTAGATAATTTGAAAGAACAGATAAAAACATTGCAACACCACGTGGAGGAAAAAGAAAAGATCATAAAGAATAATGATAACGGTAAGACTACGTCTCATTTTGTCTTGTCTTTGTTATTAAAAATGCCTCGTGACTACAGAAAATTAATACGATGCTTTCATCTTTCTTTTACAGTAATTAGTTGGTTGAATCGGAGATTAGCGGACAATCAATCGCCATTACAAAGCGCTACTACTCCGGCACCAGTTACGATACCATCATCCGTTCCGCTGACGTTACCTAGAACAAATAAACTATTTCCTAACCGATATGAAACACGCACGCCCGTGCCCAGCACGATACAGCCCAGTACATTATCAGGATTACCGATGAAAAATCCGATCGTACAAAATCCAAATATTAATCAGACCACTCGCACGACAGCTCGGTCGATGGGTGTCGGTGTAACGGAAAGTTCGGTAGGATTAACTACCTTTAACAAAAGCGCCCTGATTTCGAGTACCAGCACGCCTATGGAGCGTTTCAACGCGTTGAATAAAATATCGGGAAATCCAACGGCCTCCACCTCGGCGCCGGCTATAATTGAGAATAACAATGGTCCGGCGGTGATCTCGAATGGTACAAAAGCGAAAACTGCAAGCGTTGGCTTGCAGGGCGGATTAAGGCGAGCAGGTTTATCCGACAAACCCATTTTACCTTCGGCATATTTTCCTAAGACCTTGCATTAACCACGTGTTCGGGAGGACGTATCAGTATAGAAATTGGTGAGTTAAACTCATGTTAGAGTACTTTAAGAATCAAAACGTAGGAACGACAAAACTGCAATATTGTCATTAGCATAACAATATTTCAAGTTTGCCGTCTCGGAGATAGTACAAATATTTGTATGAATGATTAGTATTATTTACATTTCTTACCAGATAAAAATTTTAAACTATTTTTAATCCTACACATTGGCACCTTTTTATATACAAAAATGATATTAGGCTATCGTCAATGTAATCGGTGTATCAATGTAGGATTAATAATAATATATAATTATTTGTATATATATATATATTATACTGACGCTCCGATCTCGTTAAATACGGCATAAAATGCGTATATATATCGGTAGGAAAATTCCATCATTCATTACAATATACTTTTATATTAACTCTAAATAGCTTCAACATTATTAGCATAATTTTATTATAAAGACTATTTTTAATATATAAATACTACTTGACAAAGTACATGAAAGGTACACTCCAATGAAATTTATATTTATAATGAAGCATAATATATAATATATGCATATATCATAAATCAGGAATTGCAATTTATAATATTAACTGTCAAAACAGTTTTTTTTTCTCAATAATTCTAAATGTTTTTTACATAATTGCAAATTTTAGAGTCGTATACCAAATATTTAAAAAAAAAAAAAAACGCATTTTTTATGACCGGCAAGTTCGAAACGGAGCAATTTTAAGATTAACATGGTACAATTTCCCATTTTATCACGATCACGATTTAATCATGCAACTGATTTCTGATAATTCATATTTCCATTATTGTTAGCTTCGTAAATACATTTAAAGCATATTAATTACATACCTGTACCTGGAAAATAATTTTATCTTTGTGGATTTTATGTAATAACTGTATAAATATTTTTATATATAAATGGAAATGTTAATGAAAAGAAAAAAAATATATACAGAGAGCTCTCTAATTTTACGACTTATGACCATAACGAGTCAAGTAAGGCCATTTAACACAACAAATATTAGAATGTGCCTCACAGAATAGATAAGAAAATTCTATTATATTTATATACACGTATGATTTACATTGTATATCTATTATAAAAATCATACTGGAGAGAAATTGTTTGTTGGTTGCAATATTGTATAAGCGTAAAAATTTTATATATTTAAAATATCTTTTCAAACTATGTGCCACAAGGTACAGACGTATCAAGTAAATTCAATCTTATAAAGCATGTCAATTTATTAAATTACATAAATAGAGCAACAGTATTAAATATAATAAATGTAAAATAGCGATAAGATGGTAAATAAATGATTTCATATATTTTACTACTTTTGTACATAGAATTATAATAAATTTCTCTATTATATAATATGTGTTTTGCACATATGTGGAAAGCTGCCAGTCTCATAAGGTATACTTTGTTTAATCATATCAGAATATATAAGTTTGCAACAATATATTATTGTATTTGAAGAACTGACAAAAAATATGTACTTCCATACATCTTTACGCGCAACATGATACAGATATTTACATGATACATAAGAAAATATATACGGGCGACAAGATTGGAGATATCGCGACTTATCGCGTGTTTAAAAGAGTTAATTTTCCGGAATGCAAATTACACAAACAATACTGTATAAAAACATTAAAGCATGATAAAATATTGTCAATATTAACAAACCAATGATATACATTAATATCAATTAATTCATATCAATCGGAGACGACGATACACTGCTGTTCGGTAGATCTGTACAATCCATATCCAAAAGAGGCATATCCATTCGTTTACGTCTGCGTTCGCACTTCGGACACGGTTTACTAGCGTTTGAACAATCCGCGTGAAATACGGCGTTGCACGCCCCACACTGTAAATGAGAATAACGTGTTTGTCATAAAATTAGATATTATATAGAAATATTGTCAAGGAAGAAAAAGAGAGTGATGTTGAACGGTGTTTCTCACCCGAAATGTAGACTCCATATCAAAAGGATAAATGACTTTTGTGTCGTTACACACTTCGCATATAAAGCCTTTCTGACTACAGAGCCAACACGTTATTACATGATTCCTCGCGAATTCAACAACCTTTTGCAGTTGCTGCGCGAGAATTCCATTGGGTATGTCGAGAAGGTCGGAAACGGAATATTGGTGAACATGTTCGTACAAATAATCTCTCGGCGCAACCTTCTTCTGCAGAGATTCAATAATGGGTTCGCGACACGTAAATAGATACGCTCGCAACAGGTTCAACTGAATCCGTAACGCGTGCACGTGTGCCATAGTATCTACGGCCATGTAGATTCTCGGATTTAAGATCTTTAGATCCATCAGGGCCGGCTTGCCTTCCAGATACGCAGCGGCTTTTCGGCTAACGGAGTATTGTTTCAAGTCCCAGTTATGAATTATACGCGACGGTATGAGATATTGCCCCTCCGCCATGCACTTTGAACAGTAGTACGCGCCCGAGTACGCGCACACGTGCGCTTTAGAAAAGGTCATGCCAATCGCGTAACCACAATCGAGACAACTGTAATTTTGCACATCTAAGCCTTTTTCCCTTGGAATATTACCTAACTGCTCATCGAAATTTACCACAGCCTGAAATATAAAAATTAATCGTTGAATCATAATGAACGTGCGATTTAAAGTTTATAAATATATCTTATATAAATATATGGCTCGCGGGAACGTACCTTTGGCTCCGGCTGAGCCTTATTAGATCCTTCCTCAACAGTTTCTTTCTTTGGATATTTCTTTAGAAACTCTTTCAAATCTGATACCGTACTATTTCCAGCCGTTTGGTAACTTTGAATGAGCGCATCGTACGTAGGACCATCGCCGGGTGTACGAGGTACGTCTACCCCTGATCCGTGGGATATCACAGGTGAAGTTAAAGAAGATTGGCAATCTTCGAAGGACGTTGACCATCCTAATTTTCCTATTAATGAATTTCCCACAGTGGCCGCGGTGGCATCATTAGCGACTTGGTTTTCTTTCAAAGCATCTTGTAACAACGGGTCCTCCGTATCAGCAGCGGTATTATCTGTATTCTTATTTTCTGCATTGCCATTTGACATCTGTTGTACCTCCCTGACCTCTCGCTCTTCTTCTTCTTCTTCTGGGTTCTTTATTACAGCGTCTACAAACGTGCTGGACAACTGTCGAGCGGGATTATTTCCTTGCACGCCGCTATTAGATTTTTCTTTAGCCAGAATAATTTTCAGCGCCTCGTCCTCCGTGATAGACGTTACGTTATTAAACATAGACTGCGAGGAAGTGAAGGATCCTATTCCGATAGAACTACCGATGGAACTTGCAGTTTCTACCTCATCAAAATTATCGGTCGACTCGCTGTTTATCGTTTTCGCTATATCTACCGCGCTAAATACAGGACAAGACTTCATTGGGGGGGACCAGATGCCAGCTATAAGCAGAGGAGTGGTGGACCAGAAGTTCAAGAGGCTACTGTTGCAAGCTAACTCGAATCGTACATACTCTAGGTTTTCTATTAATCTCTGCGCGACTTCCACGAGGTCTACATCCCTGATATAGGCTGAACGCGTGTAGTACGGCTTTAGGGCTGACGTGTCCCTCCTTATGGCGCAAAAGTAGCTAGCTAACAGACCCTCGTTGAGCGCCAGACGTATCCACGCTCGACAATATCCGACTTCCGTGGTGACTTGACTCAACGCCTGTATTTGATCTATAATCTGACGATGCGAAAACACCAAGAGCGGACCCCAGAAGCTTGGCTGCGGCATAGCGTCCAAATCGGGGCCGCTGAGAGCTTCGGTCACTCGATTCAGCAGGCTGTCCTTCAAGCCGTGGAGAAATATAGCTTCGAGGACGGAGCAGAGGGTCATGGTCTCGTCGCACATGCCGACAACGTCGTCGTCGGCGACCCCCGGGGCGCTCTGCATCTCCATGACGCTCGTGTTGAGCTGTTTCTGGAGGGAGTCCCGGACCAGGAGGTTCCTCTTGTTGCCTATTATGGACATTTTCAGCAGCGAGTTCATCTTGCGTGCTATTGCCACGATACGTCACAGCGAGAACACGTCTTCTGCGGCGATCTCGTCGCTGGAGCATCTTCGCGGCCGGGTCGCGCGTCGGGAGATCGAGGAGGATCAACCCCGGAGTCGCGTCGTGCCTCCAGAGATGTCCTCGTGGCCGCGTCCGCGTCCGCGTCGCTGCGACGGAATATGTGTTCGTAGAATCGTAGATTACGTTTGGGGCACGCGGGCGTCACGGGCGGTACTGACAAAGGAACGAGGAAGTGCCCGCGCCGAGCGATGAAGTCATCGTATCACGTATCACGGCGATAGCGCGGCGATATTGCGCGTGGCCAGGACAGGCGCGCGCGTTCACACACGCCGAGAGCGGGTTATCGCTCGACGCCCGAGCCTCGTGTCCGTGAAGTAGGTTAGGTGCCCGAGAAGCAAAACATCCGCGACATAGGCTGTTTGGAGGCTCCGAAATCGCTTCTCTATCGACTGCCCATCGGTCGCTGCTGCAGCGCGGCGCCGTTTTGGATCAGAAAGTGCCACGGCGATCCCGCGATTCTCGATCGAAGGGCAGCAACGTTTCGCAACGTCATCGATCGCCGATCTCAAGCGCCACGGCCGCAACGCGCTACTCCGAAACGTCGTCCATCGTCCATCCCTGTCGACCAGCTGTTCGTCAACTACGCGTCGGGCTGAGTTTCCGCTGAGACGAGACGGCCAGGGGCCAGGGGCCAGTCGCGCGTCGCGCCGCCCGCGTCCTGCGTCTCGTTTCTAGGACGGCAGGGACGGCTACGTCGGCTACTCCTTGAGAGTGGTACGCGACCCGACGGCAGGTCGCGCTGCCTCGTCACTAGGTGAACTAGTAAGTGAACTCGCCGCCGTCGCCGCCGAGGCCCGAGGCCCGAGGCCCGAGCGCTCGACCAGGTGCGCCCCCATAATCTCGCCTCTCGCCGCACTTGTCGCCTTGTCGCATTCGCGCGTCGCACAACGCGTTGCCCGATGCGATGCTATTTCCAGCGATACGCCGCGCCGTCCTTTCCCGCTCCGACGCGACGCCCGGGCTTCCCGTCCTTTCAATTCGGAAATAATGGAACTCTATCGAGCGACCCACGGTGACGACGACTAATTACTAATTATAGATCTAACGACTAACGACCCTCGAGCCTTCGACGCGTTATTTCACATTCGTTTGTTCTACATACTTGGGAATTTAATCGAATATTTATCGCGACGTATCCAAGTTTATGTTGAAATAAGAAATCGTGTGTCGATAGAATTTTATTTATTGTAGTTTTAGAAAGCTCGCGTAGCTTCCTTCTCCCAGTTAATATCGCAAAAGTTGACGGCTCCACGACAGGAACGTCATCAAAAGCGACAGTACGCGCCGGCTGCTTCCAATTCAGTGAACTTGAATCGCAAATAACGCTCGAACGGGTGATGCGAGATGCGAGTAACACGATCTAACGCTAACGTGCCACGACAACGACGGCGAATCGTGCGATACGTCAGCTCTTTCAACACTCCATCAATTCTCAATCGTTGTCTTCTGGACGCGCGAATGATTAACGATTCATTTTCGAGATTCGTTCTATACCGCTGTTTCGAAAGTAAACGACCGGCATAGCGTGTCCCCCCGTCGCGTCGCGCGTCGTCCTTTTCTATTCTCGCGCCTATATTTAGATGCGCACTTGGTGCATCTCAAATGTTGGAACAGGTATACACCGTGTGTGAATGACCGAATACGCATGACGGAACGATGCGTGTTCCACGGGTTGACGGCGGCGGAGCGCCGCCGCGCCGTCGGCACGAGGCGAGGGAGAGAAGAAGGAAAGAGAAAGTGCACGGTGCACGCGGGGCGAACGAGCGTGAAGGAGACGGCAGGTTGGACACGGGGACAACGAAGCGAATAGTGGAGGCAGGGACGTACCAAGTTCGTCAGGCGCACGTTCGATTCTCGAGTAAAGTCAGGTGTGGTGAAAGAAACGCCACCGTGCGCCCGCACTCTCCTGCCTCGCTAGCTAGTCATCTCTATTCGCGATCGAGAAGAGACGTAGAAACGCGCGCGGAGATTTATTCCACGATCTCACATCTCACATCTCACTCGCGCTTTATCGTTCCATCTTGTTGACGTCCGACGTCCGACGTCCGACGCTCGCGGCTCGACACGTGCTCGTCAGTCGTCACCCCGGCGCGTGCTCCTTACGCAAGATTCCACGTGAAACGCGCGTTTTCACCCGCGAAACTTATCGCCCGCGACTTTCATCACCCGTGTGTCGCGATAACGCGAGCCTAGATATTCGATACTTGGCGTTAACGCGTTCAAACTTTACACAGTGGCATTTCGTCCGTGTCTTGGTTTTTTCGACGAACGTACGGACTCGATCGTACTTGTCCAAGTACTTACGCGGTTATATATTTAGAGAGAGAGAGAGAGAGAGAGAGAGAGAGAGATTTTCAGAAGTTTTCTGGGGACCACGTTACTTTCACGCGTGTCAGCCGCAGCCGCCCCGTGTCAGTGGACACCGATGAACCTTTCGACAATAGTTTTTTCTAGTTGTTCGACTACACTGTTTACTATTTAGCATTCTCTCCTCGTTGGCGAGGCAACAAGACTTTACAAGACGCAACTACACGCCGATCTCTGTTATTTCCTTTGTGCGCACTGCGCACTTGTGCTAGAAACAATGCGCTTTCTCACGGTGCGCCGCAGAATTCTTAGCGGTGTTTAGCATTTGCCACGCTGTACGGCTGTACACCCAGCACTTCGGGGAGCACGGAACACGAGCATGGCATAAGTGCACACGCGGCGCATTCTACTTTCGTCCGATCGCACGCGGCGTCCGGCGACTCGCGGTGACTCGTGGGTCTCAATAAACGTGCCCTCCTTGCATTTGCAACGTTCATACATTCTTCCTCGTCTTCGCAAACATCGCGACTGCTCCGCGGGAGAAAATAACGTCACTCGCGCGTCTTTCTTACCTAACGTTACATTCCGCAGTCAAGTACTTATTGTTAATTCATCTCTCCGCGTTTCGTTTCATCTGAAATTCGCAAATAAAGGGAAACATGGGAAATTTATTTATCCGCGATGTCTGTAAACCGACGCGACGAAACGCGGATATCTTTAGAATAGATTTCTGCATCGAGAACGACGGTGGAGAAAGAGATCCTCCGCAGGCAGGACGACCCCCTTCGCGTCGTCGTCACCGCGATTCTTCCCTCGATACGGTCGTACGCCCCTGACTTTGTCCACGGTGGGGGCAGATGAGGCGGAGGCAGAGGGTGTCGGTCGTCGGGTCGGCGCAGCGGCGAACAGTGGCGAGCGGACTCGTACGAGTCGAGGACGAGGCGACGAGGCGACGAGGCGACGAGCTGGCGAAAGCGTCGCGAACGGGTTCGTGTGTCGTCGAGGGAGCTCGCGAGAGGATACAGAGAAACCACCGGAGTGTTCTGGATCGTGGAAGCATCTCGTGGGGGCTCGCCGTCGTGTTAAAAAAAAAAAAAAAAAAAAGAAACTTGTGAAGGAGCGTGACGAAAGACTTCTCGTGATCGTGGAAGGTCTTCTCGGGTTGTCGCGAGGCGGACAGCATCGTTTCCCGGTGGAAGGTTCGATAGTGCGTGGCGGGACCTCGACGTGCTGGACGTGCATCTCACATCCGGAGGGGCGGGGGCGGAGGCAAGCTTACGAGCTATCGAGCGACCCCGGCACGGAGATGCACGTGCGTCGCGGCGCTCGCTGGGGGTAGAACGGCCCGTCTCTCTCCGAAAAACAAACGTGACATGTCAACCTTGGTAACGGTGGACTCGGGGGGAGCGACAATAGGAAACGAATCTGTCGAGTCGTCCAACGGCAGCGCGCGTTACGTGGTTTCCGTTGTCGCGGGTGAACGCTAGAGTGCTAGACGTCGATATCCGGCCCCGCGAGTTTCGCGGTCATCCTCCTAATACGGATTATTAGATCTGAACCGAGGACGCGCGTGTCGATTCGACGCGTCGCGTCGTGACGTCGATGACGTCCGAAGAAGCTTGGAATCGCTCTGCGGTCGTCCGTATCGTCCCGTCGAACTAGATATGACGACCCCGAGCACCCCCCTAGCTGCGAGATCTCGCGACTGTCCCCGAAGAAGCTGCGACGCGCCGCGATCGTCGACGACGTTCCACCGTGGGCACCGAGCTCCGAGATGTAAATCCCTACCGCGAAGCCTACGGACCGCAGTCGTCGACGCTCTTTCGTCAAGTCGATGACGAGCACGAGGCGGGAGGAAGCTCGAGCGAAGCAGTGACTCTGTAAGATTCCGACCGTCGCGTCGCGGAGATGTTGCCGCCGAGGATGATCGACCGCGGCCTGCCGTCGGAGACGACGGGCGGAGTCGAGCTACGCTCCGCCGAGGTCGCGGCGACCTGTCACGTCGCGAGATACCGCGAGGAATTCGACGAGACCATCCGCACCGTCTCGGAGCCGGAGTGCACGAAGCGGAGACTCGACTCGGCCGGAACCGGAACCGGCAGCACCAGGTCGGTGCCGGATGGGCGGCCGCGTCCGGGCTTCTCCAAGGGCTCCGCATCTCTGCAGAGCCTAGTGCGTCGAAGGAGCCGCAGGCACGGCACGTCTCTACCCTCGGAGGTCGAGCTGTCTTCGAGGCAGGTCGTCTACCCCGCCGCGGCCGTCCGCTCGGACCTCCTCAAGGACATCGGCGTCGGCAACGGCGCGGCGGTGCCGGTGTCGGTGTCGGTGTTCCGGAACGAGGAGGAGGCGGCTCGAACCGCCACGCCGACCTCCACGCTCGTCTACGCGACTTCCTCGGCGCACCCGTCGACCTCGAGGGGCGACAACAACCCGGCGACGACTCAGGACATCTCGACGTCGGCCAGTAACGTCGTCACCACCACGGGCAGCAACGTCACCTCGACGACGAACGGCGGCCGCTTCGGCAGCGCGCCAGTCTCGTTGCCGAGGACGACCGGCGTCGTGAAACCGGGCCCCTCCACGTCCTCCTCCTGGAACAGCTCCGCCGAGCAGGAGAGCGACTACGTCGTCGATCCCGTGCAGGGGAACGCCTACTACAAGGGACAGTTCTTGGGAAAGGTACGTGCGTGCGCGCGCGCGCGAATTTCTGCGAGTCGTTTTATTTACATTGTTTACCGCTGACAACGTGCGAAGATTTAAGTAACGAGTATTTATAAATTCCCCCACAGCATCGCGACTCGGGGCGACGAGTGAGCGCACCAGAGCGCACACCTGTCGTTGGCCTGTCGTTGGTCGTTGGCTCGCGTCGCGCGCCGCGCACATTGTCGAGGTCCCGTTTTCCGCGGCGAGGAATGCCGCGTCCCGCGACGAGTACGTGGGAATCGCGGGGTTGCGGCTCGTTTAGAGCTGTTGACCTTCCTCGCCTTTTGATACTGTTTTGTGTAAGCAGCGCTCGCGCGCGGACGCGGGCGCCCGCCGTTTACGATGCTCTTTAAAACCTGTCAACCGACAGTAAATCAGTAGGCGCGCGTGGCCGCGCCGTACAATCCTTATTGTTTTGCCGGCGTAAAGCGACGTCAGCTGCGGCTGATTACCGCTCACCCGAGAGACAGAGGGAGACGAACGTGCGAAGGGAAGGAGAAGCCGATCGTCGCGTCGCGTCGCGTCGAATCGATCGGAGATGCGACTATGCGAGATGCGGACGTGATTATCCGGCAGCACGTATTCGTACATTTTTTCACTCGATACGTCGCTATTATATTCTAATTTTCTATCGCACGCGTTCTTCTTAATGACGGTATAAATCATCGTTATGCAAAATCCGCGGGATTAAATCTTGCTCCGGCGCGGCGCGGCGGCGCGATCGCATGTAGAGGTAGGACGTTACCCGAGTGATTTAATTTTCGCACAATCAACTCGGGGGCCTGGGCGCTTCCTGGAGTAAATAACGCATGACCGAGTTAATGCGAGATGAGTCGCGATTCCGGTGTCGGCTGTGTCGGGTCGAATAGACCGGGGGAAAAACTCGCTCGGAATCGCGACTCGCGGGATTAAAATTTTTCATTACATAGAAACGTGGGCGCAGCCCCGCAGAAGTGGAGCGCGGGCGGTGAGTCACACACCACGACGCTCATTTTCGCATACCGGGAATTCTGACGGAGATGTACCGCGGGCGACGTCGACGACGACTTCGGCGAGAAACGATGATCCAAGAAAGAGGCTCTTTCTCTGAGCTCCGGGAATATTATCCGAAACGCTCAGATTAGACCGCAAATTCTCCGAAAACGTGGGGCCGAAAGTACATCTCGGAGTTCGCCGCTTCCGCCCGGGATTATCCTGCGCAGTGCGCGAACGGGATATCGGGCCCCTCAGACGCGTCCCGTGTTTGTTTCGAGATAAAACGTTTTTTGCCGGCGAGGCGTAAGTTCCACGCGATATCTTGAATTGTAAAATCTTCAGAGAGAGAGGGTGGTTCTCGCATTCTCTCTCTTTCTTCTCTCTTCTTTTCGTGACGCATCGTGATGCAACCGTGGAACTCGCGCGACGTGGCGACCGCGACGGTTTGAGGACCGCATGTAATGTGTAGCACGGTTCGTACGTGGACGGAATAAAAATAAGACGTTTAAAGTCTCACCCGGCTCTATCGACGAAAACCGCGTCCTCTTCTCCCGAAGATGCGTCCGGTCGAGTCATTGACTCTGCGTCATGCATAATACATCGACGGTAGCCTAAGATCAACGACTTCGTCGACAAGGTCGAGTGTTCTACGCGCGGGGCGCTTTGTTTTAGTTTGAGTAATATGATGAAAGCGCGTTTCTTCTGGATCTGAAAATATACAATGCGTCACCGTCGTTTTCGAGTCGTCGACGACAATGCGAAACGAATGGCAACCCCTGGCTAACGGTTCTAATAGTAGACATCGGAAACTGTTAGTACGTGTTAGGGATGCGTGCAACAGTTACAAATAGCCAGTTACAGTGAACTATCGTTCATTAATGTATCCATTAATCTAACACATCTTCCATTAACGATGCTTTAATGATAACATGCTATGTCAGTATTGCGGGTGACTCCTATAGATCGCTGACAACCGAAATTTATTATCCACTGAATTCATTTCTTATTCATAAGGCGGTTTGCTTTACCTTTTAATGCTATTTTGTAATGTAGCAGCCCATATTACTCGACTTATGTGTGAGATGCAACGTATCTTTTATTCATATTACGTTTAAAGTGCTCTTCCTAGAAGTCGGACGAATTTCGGAAATGAAAGAAGAGCGAATAAATTACAGGGCGGATAAAATGAATTTTTTATTCGAATCTCTAATCGAAAAGGATGTCGTCACATTGTCAGATATACACGTCCTGGAACGTACTTGGCATCGCCCGAAGCAGGAAGTCCAAGTTATCTGATTATCATTACACCGAGTAAACTCCATTCGGCCAACACACCCGGGACACACCCCGAGGCGGTCTCTCGTTACATCGATCTCATTGCTTCGAACTTGACCCGTGCTCGGCACGATCTCGTCCAATCTCCGTTAATCGCGACTCCTCGATCTTCACGGTACTTAGTTTTACGCGGACGCGGAAAACGCCAAGCCTATCGGCGGCCGCGACGCACCGATGCGAATCGACCCGCTATCGGTTTGTCGTTCGTGCAGGAAATATCGTGCGTTCACGAGACTCGCGATCGATCCAGCCAATCCATGGGAAACCCTCTAGCCCGAGCTGCGAAGAGAGAGAAATTCTCCCGGTGACACCAATCTCGCAGCTCGCAGTGACGTGTCCCTCGAGATGTGAAATGATTTTGCGTCACAAATCAAACGGATCGTTAGCTCGTGATCGCGAAGGATATGTACGGGAAATATTTCACCTTGTGTGGACGATCGATCGGTCCACACAAGAGGCTACGTCTTGTGCGGCACCGATCGTCATTTCGGAGCATGCCGTTTGGGTGATCTCGACCTACAACTCTTACAACTCAAACGGACCGGTCGCGTTACCGATCGACGATTTGTATTAAACAAATACGTCGCATCCTACTCGACTTACCTCGGCCTCGACAACGTCGGAGATCACTTCCGCAGATGTCACTCAGCGATGTTAAATTGTAGCCCCGAAAACAAGTCGACAGTTATCCGATCGACGAGAAGAAATATTTCACGTCCACGCGACGAGATCGATCGCGATCCATGAAAGGCTAGCAGCTCGCGCGCGCGTGAGCGCGAGGCCTCCAACGCCGGCGGATAATTTCAGAGGATGCAGTCTCACAAACCGTGTGTATCCTCTTGCTCCCGAGAAAACCGGTCGTCGTTTCGTCATTCCGATTATTATTCGCACCCGGTCGTTCGGGCGTTACCCCGCGCGCGCGGGTTGTATCTTGTGTTAGAAATCGGGCTTTCCGTTATGCACGCCGCAGCCGATACTTTATCAAAACTTACCTCTGATATTTCCGTATTCCATCGAGGGCTCCCGCTTCGGCGCTATCTCGATTATTCGCAACCGGTTGCCGGTTTCTACGTTTGCACCTTGGATTGTGCGGAGGCGCGTGCAGGTAGTTCTCCCCATCATCCGTGCAGTCGCCGCAAAAAGCATATGGGGAGCTATGACGAAGCTTCGTCAACGATTTTCTTCTGCGTTTGTCACAATATATTATATGTACAATATTTTTTTATCAATATTTCTCACTTTATTATTTTTTATTAAGAATTAAGAGAGAATTTATTAGCGTACGAGAAGACACTGACTACATGTTTACTATAAATCACAAACAGACGAGCGGTATAAACGGTTATAAACGGTACTAGCGTCAACATTGAAGCGCTAGTAATGGTCCATTATAGCCGCCGTTGATCAAATACATCGGATGGGCGTTTACGCGGACGAGCGAGTCGTACGAGCGATTTCTTTCGAACGTGTTGAAGGTGCGAACGCTTTTTATTGTGCAACGTCGTTGCCACGATCATTCACGACCGGTTACCATTACCATGGCACCTTTCTTCGCCCTGCAGTTTAGAGACGAAGAGCTAACACACGCGGGAGTTTATCTATACCGCCGCTACTTACGCCACGGATACTTCTCTCATCTATATGTCCTTCCTCTCCCGTACGCTCATCTCGTAGGTTCATCTGCGCGTTGTCTCTCGTTTCTCATGAACAATGTTAGCCCGCGAGCGATGAAGAACTTACGCGTCCGGTTTTGATTCTAGCCGCGCGATAGCAACGGACATCGTGTCGGGAAGATCTCTTACAACCCCGGTATTTATTAACTCTCCTCGGAGCAAGACGGTGGAAAGCGAGGGCCGAGGATCGGATTTTCGGTCTTTCAAATATCCTTTATACGAGAGAGAGGAGTACGTTTCAACGTTGCATTCAACCGCGGTCAGATTTATCGAAGCCTCAAGCCTTTCCGTCCGGCCGCAGCGATAAAAGTTCGCCGATGCTTGAAGCGTATAACTTACTTCTGTCGCGGAGACGATCGTTCCGTTCCAGTGCGGATCGTGAGAAGTAACGAGTGACGATTCTATTCGCCTCGCGAAATTCTTGAACCGTGAAGAATGCGACAGAAGGCAGAAGGGCCGCGCGAAGCTACAGTTTTTCCACGAGCGCGAGCGTCGTGACGAATATTACAGTGCGCGCGCGGGGCACCCGGCACCGTCGCTTATCTACGCGTTTGGCTTCCAAAGCACACGCATTACGCGTCTTTCTAATAGGCACGCAACGTGCGCCCTTCGCGCACATACACACAAGTCAATGACATCTCATCTCTGCCTTTCACTGATTGGCTCGTGGTTGCGTGTCGGTGCAACCGCGAGGATGAGCTCAACGGATGGGCCTCTTCCTCTCCCGTCTCTTTCTCTCCGTCTCTCCGTCTTCTCATTCTGGATCGTCTCGCTTTTTTAGCTTCGCGAGATCGTTCGCTGGTACAAAGTATAACACACGATTATCCACGCGATTTCATCATCGGCTACCACGTATTCCGGGATTTAACGGCAAAAACAGCACGTTTCACTATTGACCGGAAATAAAGTCTGTCGTATTATAGTCATATTAAACTTTCGCTCTCATGATAAACATAAATTTTAGCTGTAGTTCCTTGCGTAATAGTAAATTCTTTCGCGCTTTATCGCGCGATATTATATCAAAACAAGTTGATTGGAAAAATGCGAAGAACATATATATGTATATATTTGTATACGTGCATATACATATACATATATGCACATAGACTATGCTTTGCGATAAAAATGTCTATCGATAAACCAATCTCGCGCGCATTTCCTACCCTTTATTTATATCGCGCTGCATCTGTTGCACTTACGTGCGCAGCTTAAGTACGTGGCTAATTCCACTCGCGAGGACATAAGAGAGGCGTCATCGTAATGCGAATCGCTTCAACAGCTCAGCTCCAAAGTGGACGACGTTGGTGCACGAAATCGCGTTTAATTTCTCTCCAATCTAAGCGTTACTTTACGCGACGCACGCAGAGAAAGAAAGCAGCCGATAAAGCGGCAAAGGCCGGCCTTTTAAACAGGGCGTGTCATTTGCGAGTAATCATCCTCGAGAAGAAAACGTCCGAACGCATTGCGAAACGCGGTAACTGATACAAATATCTGGCCGCGGCAATTAAGAGCAGGCCGTGATATCTTACTACACGCGTTACCACCCACTGCTAAAAGACATAAACAGAGTGTTTCCAAGAAGATACACAAGTTTCCTGCAACGGCGGGTGCGTTTGATGATCTTTCCGTGGCGTCCGCGAGAACTAAATCAATTTTACTCTCGAGCGAGTTTATCGGTTTTTCACGCGAATTCTTTATGCAACTAGCGGTCACTAATCGTAAGTCGCGCGAAAAACACATGGCCAGCAACGATATCGGGATTATCATTATCGCGCGCACGACACGTTATACTTTTCCTTTTACAGACTTTAGTTTATCCACGATCTACGTATAAATACATATATGAATGGCTGTTTATACGAATTGTTTGAATTTCGCGTAGCGGATGAAAAAGGTGACGAAACTCGAGGGATCAGCTGGGATCTAAGGCTACCTCGTCGCGCTTTATTTTCCCGACCTTTGGCTTTTGAAATTTACGACGGTCAATACGGAGTACCCCGGCGAGAGAGCTTCTTCAGGGTTCTCGATTTAGCGAGAGAATTTATAGAATGCACACACAGACCCCATCGTCCACGTGTGCCTCGGGAAACCTCTGTAGGTCGCAGGTAGCCTTTCCTGTCTACATACGCCGAACAATGATTACTCCTCACAAAGCATCGGGATCTCGCAGGTGGTGCAAAACGGTTTTTCCCCGTTCTAGTTTTTTGTACCTTTCTATGCACGTGCATTTTCCAAAGACCCGTGTTAAATGCTGAAAGGTTGATCGTTTTACGTACTCTTCCTCCTTCCCCCGCATTCCACCAGCTTGCTATTTAGTCGATAATCCGAGTAACCCATTTTTTTCGAACAAAGATATAAATATAATATATTTTATTCAAGCGTTCAACTCTCCGATAAGACGTAGGTAACTTTTCTATCTTTGCTTATTCTCGCTGCCCATTAGAAACGATTTGATTTGCAAATATTATTCCGGGTGATTGTTATGTGGTTAAATCTTGTTTGATCGATACGCTTTAGCGTTGCTGATGCATAATGCATTAGTCTTTATTTCACCATTACTTGTCGTTATAGTGAATACGCGTGAAAGTTTTTTTCTGTTTAATTTAATATAAAGTATAATGACTTTTTACATTAAATCAGACAAATATAACATTTCACTATGAGATAACAGTATTTATAATTAAGTATCACAAGACATTTAAAAGGGAGGACGAGTCTAAAACACTGCATATGGCTGCAATTAAAATTTAATTATTCTTGATGACGTGTCTATGTTGTATAATGTGCATCAGGTACGAAAAACTCAAGACGAGTCCGTTTTAGAAACTTGCCCTCGTTACGCAAAGTAGCGGAAGGAACATATCATGCGCGGTTCTCGAATTGACTATTACATTTTCTAGCATTAAAATGCTTCTGACGTAACTTCGAAAGCTGGGGTTAAGGGAGCTGTTATCGTCGCGAATTGCCACGTCGAATTAGTGCTATTCGAGCAATGTGGGCGTGCTGAAAACTCGTCGAGGCGGTTTCATGTGCACGTGCTTAATTTGAACCCAAAAAATCAACCCCCTCCCTTTCCTTCCTGGTCTACTAAAACCCCGTTTCGTCGGGGAAATATTTCAGCCTATCGGAATAGAACAGCTCGCTGTGCAACATCGTGGCTTAGCAGTCGCTTTGCGATGGTAAAACGATTATCGTTGCCGGATGTGACTGACGTCGCGCATATACTCGGCTTGGAAGAATGATGAAGCGCATCGATCGTCGAGGCAAGAGACGCCCGTCACCGTTACGGCTGATAAGCAAGCCGGAAAGATTAACGAAAGGTCAGGGCCTCGTTAAGAACATTTGGGAAAAGAAAAGGGACGTGTGTGTGCTTTTCCAAATTTAGACGCACCGTTTACGAGCGGACACGAGCGACTAATGCGGCGCGAGCGCTCGTTTCTCGTCCTAGATAAATCAATTCATTCTCCCCTTTGTTCGCGTTCCAATTGGCGAGGAAAGTCCCGATTTTTTCCGTCGACTTTCGTGCAACGAGAAATCGACTGTCCACGCGAACAAAGCGATTCGCGTAGCCGCGAGCGTTTATCGTCGAGATACCTCGGCCGCCTCGCGCTCCTCTCGATCGCTTCGCGTCTCGGACGGGAAATTCCGCGACGGACGCCGCGCCGGTCGGTGAGGTCTGCTGAGCGCACGTTTGAAATCGCGCGAGCGCAATGCCATTATGCTACGACGATTGCGAGGAGTGAATGGCGCGTGAATGGGATTATTTCTCTGGAATCGAATCGATGACGCACTGCATGCCGCGCGAAAACCGGTCGGTGCGGCGCTCGCTCGTTTTCTCCGTCGCGCTCACGGAGCTCGCGGGACGTCGCGAGGAGCGTCCGAGAAGGGCCCGAGGGCTCGTTTCGGCGTCCCCGAGACGGCCAGCGAGACACGCTAAACGAACGCGCGAGATGCGACGTGATGGTCGGGGCTCTTGACAAGCTGACCGCCAAGGAAATCAAACAAAGTTAACGGATCGCTGTCTTTCGCGTGACGGCCGCGGCGACGCACCCCAGATCACCAGCGTATCGAGAAAATGACGTATGCATATTAATCGACTCCCCCTCCGCCGAATCATATTGTCTATTGTCAATTAATTATTTCATTTCGTGAACGCTCTGAATGTCTAACAGAAGGGAGGAAGAGGGAGGATCGCGGGTGTCTCTTCGTCAGAATCGAACGGTTCTCCAGCATTGCAATGTAAAGAAGGTCGCGAAGAAAGACTCGATTACTCTTCACCGAGAAAAGAATATGCAAATAATGATTGGAAATAGTTCCCCCCGCGCTACGCCGCGCCGCGCCGAGCTGCGCTAATTCCGACGAGATGCGTACGCGCAGTCCCGATCCCGAGGAGCGAAACGCGCAAAACGGGGACAAGGCTCGAGGAGCTTTTGTCAACGGTCCATTTAACCACGCGTGCACAAAGCGCATGCACGCGTGCGGGGATATATTTTTAGTCGTCGCCGGTGGTATTTAAAGATAAACGAACCGCTTCGTTTATCGTATGCGTACGGAGGGGCGAACTCCCGTCTCCCGGCGCGGCGTGCCGTATGCTCGTTCCGCACCGGATATACACGTATACACGCGGTGGATTATCGCCGAAATATGGCAAGGACGAGGGAACGAGGAGTGCCTGCCTGGGTCACGTCGGCCGACACGAAAAGCGCTCGTCTAGGCCACGCGTTTAGCTCTGCTCCATTTTTATCCCGGGTCTTGCCTGAATATACAAAGATCGCGTGCGGCGTATATGGGACCAACATTTGAAGAATAAATACGGGAATACGAATGCGAGATAATTCCAATTGCGTGACACTGTCGTCGCGACGCGTTACGCGCGACGTCTCGTAACTCGTTTGGGATATTTTCGCGCAAATTATTCTGGCAATGGGCCCATCGCGATCGCGAGACGGTATTTCTCGTTTGTTCTCGCGCCATGCAGTGACGAGCTATTTTGGAAAACGGAGCCGCTGCGAATTTACGATTCTTTCGTGGGCGCATTGTTTGGGGGATGATCTCAATAGGGAGCGAAGAGGGGATAGGGTGAACGCACCCATATCGATTTGCAACGATAAATCTCATACTTAAAGCGTTGTAAGATTGAAAACATCATCATTTGGCAGACGATACGATACGTCTCTCCCGGATTATCGCGATACGTTTGCGATCCGTGTTACATTCGCGCCATGCTGTTTGGAAGGCTCTCATAATTGTCAAAAGCCGCGAAGAATGGCGTCCCGTAAAAAGAAATTCCCTTCACTTTCTTCTTCCATTCCTTCGACTGCGCGCAGGCAATAAACGATAATTTCAGAAGATTACTTTAAGACCGAAAGCGGCCGCGGAGAGATCCTTTCACTGAAACCATTGACGGATGATCGAGGAGAAATTCCTGGGATCTAGTTTGAGATTTCTAGGACTCGGCGCGGAAGAAGAACGCGGTTCTTGTCCTTTTCCGCGGGAGATGAATCACGTTGTGTCGTTTGCGCAATTTTTTCGAGAGTCGTGTGCTCATCGCGAGAATATAGCTGGTCCCCTTTTAACGCCATTATTTATCAACAGTTAATTTTTTATTTTTTAGGGTGGTTTTGCGAGGGTCTACCTAATGACTGATGTTAGCAACGGAAATCAGTACGCGTGCAAGATCATCCCGAAGAATCGGATGCAGAGAATCCATATGCAGAAGGTGCGTATACGCTCGTTTGGCGAAAAACGCACGCATCCATATTTGTTTCGCTGAATAACGCGCGTTTACGCCATTCGCAGATCGCGCGTGAGATCATGATCCACAAAGAGCTGAATCACGTGAACGTCGTCCAGATGCATCACTACTTCGAGGACAATCTCAACGTGTACATGCTCCTAGAGGCCTGCCCACGAAAGGTATCGTGTGTCTCCTACTTGCCTTACCAGTTTATTGTTCCCTACCACGCGTTCTGCACATTTGCGAGAAAAATTTCGCAACCCTACCTTTCCACATTTATGACCAGCGTGCATACCGATGAAAACTCGAGACGGCCGAGCATCGGCCGTTGTCTCGTAAATTATTTAAAAACCGTCGACAGATATTGACAGCTGGAGCAGCGATAAAGAGCGGCTGTTCCCTCATTTTATCTCTCGTTCTGTGCTTGCGCATCTTTAACATCTTTGTCCGTCATTCCCCTCGTAAAGTCGTTTTCCAAGTTCCAGCCTATCTCTATTCCGCCGGGCAACACCTGCGCGCGACTTAAACCGACGTGTCGAAGTCATTCTGCACGCCTTGCCCGAGAAACAATTATGGATCCATCGTATCTGTCTACGAACGGCCCGCGATCAGCAATCGGCCGCGTATTTCCATCTCGCCGGAAAGAGAGCGGCACTTGCACTCTTCATGGTTGATCTGCCGACCTGTTTGTACCGTTATAGGATGCGACGAAGCATCCACTAATCGTTTGATTATCCTCGCTCTCCCGCTCAATCGCCTTCGCAAACGCGAGTCTTATCTCCGTCCGCTGCTCGATCACGAAAGGATTGCTTGATTAGCGACTTAAATGATCAAAAAATCTCTATCACAAATTCCTTAAAAACGTTAAATCTTAAACGTTAATCTGTAGCGAAAGCGCGTAATAAAGAGACGCGTTGAAAGCAACTCACAGTTTCGAGAAACTCGTAAAAAAAAAATATTTCACTTCTCGTAAATGTTTAACGGGAAAAGTTTTTTGACGTTTCCTTGTCGCGTTTGCGTAAAATAGCCTCGTAAAGTCATCTCATTTCGCCGAAAGTATGCGTTTTAAAGACTTAACGTCGGCCACAAGTTAGCGAGTTTATCGTGAGTGGCAAGAAAAATATAGACGCGCTTTCTCGAAACTGTGTGTTTCCATCGGATCGCAGATAAGACAATTCCTTCAAAATAAAGTAATATGCACGTATCCTACGGAACAACATAAAACGGCCCATCAACCTTCAAAAGATACACGTATATTCCATGCATTCGAGATGACTAGACTACCTTCCTGACAGGAAACGCTTTCTTTCCGATTATTTGCTCTCTTTTTAAAGGAACTATAGGTAGCCATTACACAATCTCCTTCAATATATATAGTTACTTACGTGAAATTTTACCACGAGTTTCGTAATTTTACGTTTATGTCAGTTCATTGTATCATCTGCAAAGATTATAAAGATCGACACACAAAGAAAATGTAAAAATATAAATAAAGAGCGTGAATAAGCAAATAAAAAACCATATAATAGCTCTCGCTACGTTTTATCGTGATATTCTTCCGTCAGGCGACTTTCTGCACGTCACTGAATGCGCGAAGTAGTAAGCTGCCCGGATATAAAAAAAAATACCATCTTTTCTTCTTCTCCGCTAGAGCTTGATGCACGTGCTGAAGTACCGTGGCAAAGTCACGGAACCGGAAGCGCGTTACTACATGAAGCAAATGGTGACCGGCGTCGCGTATATCCACTCGCAGAAAGTTGTTCACCGGGACCTGAAGCCGGGTAACATGTTCCTATCGGACCGGATGATCGTCAAGATCGGTGACTTCGGGCTGGCGACGAGGCCCGATGGCCAGCGCAGACGAGTGTAAGTCGTAAGATCCAATATATAGTTTGTGACATAATAAACATGTTCCTCCTTCACATGAAGAATTTTACTTGTTTAATTTGTAAATATAAATTACCACAAAGTTTGTAAAAAGCAAGAAATACAACGTGAAATGATCTAGTTGAAGACATAAATAATTGGATGCGGATGAAATCTCACAATCCCTTTTTGTTATCTTTGTAACGACGCCCTAGCTATTCTCCTCGAAAACATACAAACACCGGAGATCCCTTTTCCGGCGCTCCAGCGAGACGATTGTTAGGGCCTGAGGGACGCGCTTGTCTAAACACAAGCAACTAGCAACGTCGACAAAACGTTATAGCATGTAGTTAATTTGTATCTACAGGACGATATGCGGCACACCAAACTACATCGCTCCGGAAGTTCTGTACAAGCAAGCGTACAGTTACGAGGCGGATGTTTGGGCGCTGGGCTGCATATTGTACGCCCTGCTGGTAGGGCAACCACCCTTCGACACGGCTACGCTCAAGGAGACTTACGCCAGGATCTGCAACAATCATTATCGCGAGGTCGACGACAGTATCGCGAGTAAAAGCGGTCAAGACTTGATCAGATGGCTGTTGCAATCCAATCCCGAGCTACGCCCGAGCTTGGAGAGGGTAAAGGAACATGCCTATCTCACCAAGGAATACGTGCCTGCGTCTTTACCCCACACTTGCTGCTACCAAATGCCACCGGCATCGATCATCGAGCCACCCTCATCGCCGTCCTCGGTGTCCACAGTCGCCAGGAATGCGGAAGTTAAGGCACAGGTGAGCGACTCGATGATTCTGGAAGATTTTTGACAGGTCTGATTGGTCTGATTGGCAGGTTTTTACGAAACCCATGAAATTTCAGATATGGCAGCAGAGCCTCGTTTACCCCGACGCGTCGTTGCGCTACCAGCAACAGTCGATTCAGACTCAGCAGACGCAACAGCAGTCGCAGCAAGTGCTGAACCGCTCGCACAAGAGCCTGCAGAAGGAATCCAAGGTCTCCAGCTGGCTCGTCAGGAAATTGCCCAAACTGCCGCGATTCCGGCAACGACTCAGCAGCGTGCTTTGCCCGGATCACAAAAAGTCCGGCTTCGTGGCGCAAAGCGTGCAAATGCATCGCGCATTAGAGGCGTGCGTGCCGGAGATGAAGCGGAATAACGCGTGCAATCCACCGACCGTAGAGGACATCGTACCGCTCTTCGTCACCAAGTGGATCGATTATTCGAACAAGTACGGGCTAGGCTTCCAACTCTCCGACAGGTCGGTTGGCGTTCTCTTCAACGACAACACGAAAATCAGCTACACTCACGATAGAAGGTAAATATCGAGAGAAATCAACGAGCATCGATCATATAATTTTGTTCAGCAAATTTTCTTATTAAATTTGTAATATTAATACAGAAGAGTGGAATATATGACGACCGACGACGAGGTGACGCGATATCACCGGGAGAGGGACGTGCCAGCGCCGCTGCAAAAAAAGCTCGAGTTACTTCGTCATTTTACCGAATATATGGACGATTTCTTGACAGAAGGTGAGTCTGATTATATTTTGTTTTCATATGTAATCATAATTTATTATGATACTAAAGCTATCATTTCTTTAAACGGAAGAGACGCGAGGCTCGGTTATAGCTCGAATACTTTTGTCTTCCAAGTGCAAAACATCACAACGAGAACGTAGCATAACTTCTTGTATCAGGCTATTATAGCGGCGCGGCCCAAGACTAACGAGCAAAAACGTTAACGTAATCTCGCGTTAATGTGTGCCATGTAGGTGGTGAGCTGAAAAAATACCGCGCGCCGCCGAGACAGTCGAAAAACTCTTGCGTGCCGCGAATGAGAAGGTGGCTGCGTACGGACAAGGCCATCGTGATGGAGCTAACGGTACCGCTCCTGCAAGTGAACTTCTTCGTGGACCACACGAAGATGGTGGTGTCGCAGGAGTCCGCGGGAGGAAGGGGCTACCTGATCACTTACATCGACACCGGCCGACACGCGTCCTCTTATTGGCTGAACGACCTGCGTGACCTCGGCTGCACCCCGGACCTCTACGAGCGTCTCTACTACGTCTGTAAGGTGACGCGCGAGTTCGCCGAGCTGGACAACAACACGATCGCCTGATGATCGCCGACGAATTCTCGGGGGACGCGCGCCGTGGTTCCCCCAAGAACCGCTCAGGCAGCCGAAATAGCAGCGAGATCTCTCAGATACCTGTTTTAGCTCTTATACTCAAGCAACTTCTTCTTTTCCATAAAGTGGCAGTTGAGTGTCAGTGATAAAATTCTTCAGCTACAAAAAGTCGATAATTATTAATTGCTACGATCGAATTTTTTTGAATTTTAATTACCACGATGAGAGAAACAGAAACACATCCGTTTGTCTCTCTCTTTCTCTCTCATAAGGGTTAAGGATAAGGAAATAGCGGCGGAGCAAGTACGTCACGATACGTACCGTTACACGCAGCATTTCTCGGGGGGGGAAGGAGGGGGAAAGTCGTAAATAAGAATGTCACGCGTATAAGTCCGCGAGAAGGTGTGTCATCTTGCGAAAGACCGCGCGGTGCGAGTGCTTCCGTTGATTTATAAATCCGCATGTTGTTTCCATAAAACCAGCAGAGATCACCTGTAAGCCCCTGGCCCATTTCGGCAGGAGATCCTCTCTGCAAAAAAATTAATTTTCCCACGTGATTGAAGACTAGTTAGATTAATTAATAAGTAATCGGTCAACTTGCCATCGTCGCAATGATGATGTTTCGTGAGTCTAAGTAGATATAGTGTTATATTGTTCCTCTTGAATCAATATTAAGTCGCGAAAGCATTACGTGAAAGGAATACACTTGTGAGATCCCTGAAAGAACTAGCTACGCACTATTTTTACGCACAGCGGCATTTTTACATGCAGATCCCTCATTCTCGTGCGAGAATCATTCGACGGAAATTATCGAGATTAATGTGATATGAACGTCATAACTAGTTGCGAGATACATATGTCCGGTGATACTTTTCATCGTACGAAACGCAAGACGGTCACAACTAGGAGAGTGTCAACTGCATTGCTACTACCTCTGTTAAATAGGTAGCACAGGTAGCTGTTAGTATATTTATTTTTCACGGCGCAGATCTCCCTAGTTCAGTGCCTATATATCGAGTAAGTAATTGAAATCCGGTAGATTAGTTTCATCGGGTAAATCGAATATAGTTTTATTACACATTTGCGCGATCATGCGGCGTGCAAAGTGTAATGTCGTTCGGAACAACGGGAATTTTTCCACGTAAAAAGAAAACTCTTCCTTCGCTGAAAGCACGCTGTTATCGAAATCTGAGCTCCACTTCGCGATTCGTTGTTAAGACACCGCATTGCCTGTATCGAATTATGCGTGAAAAAAGTCAAATAGATCTTTTTAACGTTGAGTATTTAAGGAGAATAATAGCTCAACCAACACAAGAAAATTTATAAACGTTTTTGCACATGTGTGCGTTGCTCTCTCAAAATATATTTTTGACTGTGTTCGAATTTGTTCAAAAATTTATTCTTTTTTATGACATTGAGATATAAGGTGGAATGCTCTGGAAGGGATGAATCTGACGTGCGATAAGCGCGTGTTTGCAAAAGTAAAAAGAAGACTTGTCGAAACGCGTTTAAATAATATAGATGGAATGCTCTGCATTATTCGAAAGAGAAACAGATTATTTTTGACGAGTTAAAAAGTCGATTCTAACAATTAGTTCTGTTTATTCTTTCATAGCGACACGTGTGTTTTGTAAAAAGATATCGCCACGCATCTCTTTTCACATGATTTGCCATCGAGTACTTAAAATCGGCCCAAGGGCACAGAGAGGAAGCCTCGGTAAATTGTTAGCAAATCCTAGTCAACGCTCCTTTTCTAGAATCTAACGAAGGACGAGCGACGAGTGTCACTGCCATCGTTGTTACGCGTTGCCGCTGTATCCAGGCTGTTGCGTTTATAGTTATACTATTTATTAGTTGCGTTTATACGCGTACGCTTGTTGGAAGTTCGTTGTGTGCTATCGTTAAGACCGTGAAGAATACGTGGTAGTTTTACGGGGAAGAGCCTCTCTCTTTATATAAGACGAGCCCGGTCCGAATGTTTCTTCGCACAATTGTGCAATTGTTTTCGCGGGCGTTCGACGCTTAATGTCGTTTTCCGTTTTTCTCGTCTTGCCAGTTGGAATTGGTGCACGTATCTAGGACCAATTAGGCGGATACCGCGAAACCTCGGGAGAGATCAGCTACATCCTAGATATTGCACGTTATATTGGTGACAAGCGAACGGTTCGAGCCATATGTCGTCGACGGGATTTCCCGATGACATAATCACGTTCTCTCGTAACGTATAGGCGGATGCATCACCGATGCATTATGCCGAAAAAATTTCTGATCGACACGATTATATTTGTATGCATTTTCCCGGCATGTCGCACGCAACGCGTCCCGCCCGAATTGTTCTATTTCCTGTTATCGTGTGTACATTAATACCGCTATCATAGTTGTCGCTAGTTATTTAGATTATTATTGCTATTACTATTACGATTATATGATTATTAATATTATTTTATTACGATTGTATTCTGACTTACGCTATCGCTATCGTCCGCTATCGATGATATTGTCGCCATCGCGACATGCGGCAGCGACCGCAATTATCTTTAGTACAATTATTAAATCACTTATTATAGAAATAATGGCAATTCGCTGCACCACGGGTGCGCGTTCGTTATTCGCATCCAACGCGACAACGTTTGTCGTCATATATAAAACGCGCAGTGATATTATTATATTTTATTTTTTATCGAGGTCTTTTATATATGTATATATATATTGCATTACATTTTAACGCGCGTTCCATGCAACGAAGCGACAATTAACACTATAAGGATCTCAGATTTGTTGCTTTATTCGTTTTCTATGGAGGAGAAGTGAAGCGTTAGATTCGAAGCAATAGACGTTGTTCCGATTACGAACAGCGGACCGTGTAAGTTAGAGGGATAGGAGAGTGTCGCTAGTGAAACATATTTAATAAAGCTGCGATTTTGATAAAGTATCAAGCGTGTGCTTGGAAATTGTAAATTTTATACGTTACATCTAACGTAAGTTTATTCCATGTTTAAATCCTTCACATATGTTAACTTACAAGAATCTATATACATTTAATTCGTCCTTTTTACATATCTACGATCAAAACGCTAGCGCGTGTATATTTATTTTAATATATTTAGTTTTAAAAATGAGCAAAAATGAAAAAGATCTTAAATGTATATCGCTTAAGATGTTAATTACATTTTATTTCTTGGAGGAAAATGTTCGTATTATTTATTGAAACAGTAATTTTATTCAAAAAACTGTACCAGCAGAAAAGAGTTCTTATTTTTCAAGAATCAAGAACGTATCACGTAGAACAAGATGATATGATTTGAGGATGTAATTCTTGTTGCTCTTACGATTAATAACGCTATGGAAGAAGAGACGATTACGTAAATCGGGTAATTTAGCGTACCTCTAAATTACGTCACTCTACGATCTTGACTTCCGTCTCCACTCATCTCCGTCTTCCCTCCGCTCGAAGGATCTTCTCAGAATTCGTATTGCGAAACAAAAATGAAGATCTTAGCGACAGCGCTCCCGACGAACATGGCGTCGTGGTAGATCTCCATGCTGAGATCCAGCTCGATCTCCTGCGGTCCCGGAATCGCGCGCGTCAGCACCAGGACCGCCTGTGACGGCGCCGGTCTTCTCAGAGCGAAACAGGACTCCGTGGCGCGCGCGACACCCGGTGGGGCGCGCACATCCACCAACGCCATGGTGAACTGTACCGTCGACTCGGGCTGATGGCTTCCCCTCATAGTGAACAGCTCCAGCTGACCGGTGGACGGGATGGGCAGCATGCTCACGAAAGTGATGTAGTTGTAGGAGAAATGCGAGGGCGACCGAAGGCAAGCCAGGTCGTCTACGCGGCAGTACCTCGAGGAGCGTACGCAGCGACTGAAATCGCGAGCGGAAAATTTTTTATTATAGAGTCGATCGAATAACCATCTATATCTGAAATTAACTCGATCATCAAACGTGAGCCATCGGACGTGACATATATGCCGGGAATTAAAATTAGAGAAAATTTTGAATCTATTATCTCAAACCCAGTCATTACTTTTTTCTCATGGGGTCCGGCTGATACCCCGAGGGACAGTTTATCCGGTTACAACGGAAACTCCCGCGCGTGTTCTGGCACATCTCGTCCGGCTCTCTGCAGACCTGACCGGCCGCGCACTCGTCGATGTCTGTGAACACACGTTTAAGACACGTAAGTACGTTGCAGCACGTGACGGTATCGTGACCGCCAACGACGTCGTGATTGCGCGAGATCGAAGAGATTGCAGGAGCGCGTGTTCGTGCGCCAGTGACCCGAGCTGATGCTCCAGTTCGCCGGCAAACGGGTCAAGTACAAATTGCACCGCCGTTTCAACTGCGGGATAAAGTAGGTAGAACGCGTGCTTTGATCGCGAAGCTACAATACCGTGACTCACTTAAATAAGCTCGTAAATAGGCTTTCACTTTCCATCTCATCGATTCGCGCGATAACGTTGATGCACGAACGTAAAGTATTTATTTAATTTTTTGTATTTTTTTTCGTACAACCGCTTTTCTGTATACGTAGAAGTTATCACCTTGACACGTTCGACCATCGACACCGAGCCTGTATCCTTCGGGACATTTGCACGCGTAGCTTCCCGGCGTATTCTCGCAGATGCCGATGCAGAGATGATTGTCCTTGAATTCCGTACATTCGTCAATGTCGCTGCAAGATCTGTTGTCGGCATTTAGCCTGAATCCCGCTTCGCATCCGCATCTGTAACTACCCCACACGTTCAGGCACACCTGCTGACAGAGTCCCGGCGTTTGCTGGCACTCGTCGACATCCTGAAGAACGTGCGATTAGGTTTCGAGCTGAGAACATTCTTGGGTATTGTTATATATCTATCCAAATTGTACGACGTGACTTACTTGGCAGACCCCGGCGGATCCTCCAACGTTTTCGAAGCCTTCCGCGCACAGGCACTTGTAGGAACCAATAGTGTTCTCGCAGCGGCTGTTCAGTCCGCAGATGTTGCCACTATAGATGCTACACTCGTCGATGTCAACGCAGTCGTTGTTAGGCCCGGCCGCGTGACCAGGCGGGCAGATGCAATGATATCCGCCTTGCCGATTCTCGCAGGTCTGGCCCTTGCCACACTCGTGCGTTCCCTCCTGACATTCGTCTACGTCGATGCAGTATTGTCCGGACGCAGGGTCCAAAGTATAACCGGGCCCACAGATCACCCTGGACCCGCACCTGTAAAATTTCTCCGCATATAATTTGTGTCGCTGCTTCTATATCGATCAACAATTTTACGCGTACCTATAGGATCCTAGAGTGTTGATGCACATAGACCTGGCGCAGGGATTCGGCGTTCTCTGGCACTCATCTATGTCCACGCATTTGCCGCTAGTAGAGCCGGGCTCGAAGCCGCGCGGGCACGTTGGCCGAGGACCGGTCGGGGTCATCGACGTCGGCGTCGTCGTCGTGATCGTCGCGATCCTCATCGTCGTTGTTGTCATTGGCGATGTGCGCGGCTGCGGAGTCGGTATACGCGGGATGCGATCGCAGCGGTACGAGCCCAGGGTATTCCTGCATTGGTACCCGGACCCGCAGTCGTGAGTGCCCAGAATGCACTCGTCGTCGTCCTCGCAGATCTCCGTCGCGGCATTGAGAGTGTATCCGGTACCACATGGTAAGAAACGTGTACACGTGTAGCTGCCGATCGTGTTGTCGCATCGCTGCGTCGGCAAGCAGTCGTTCTCCTTCAACGGGAAATGTTATAAGATCGGTATAGAGAGAAGTTTCTCATTAAGGCAAGATAACGCAATTAACGTTACATGATTTAATTTGTCTTCTCTAATTGGACGCACGAGATGTCACAATATTTGCATTTTTTTTTCTCAATATTTATGCCATAAATGTCAGATCGCGCGTGATACGTTTACGCGAGCGTCGGGTCGTCGTCGTCCTTGTCGTTACCTGCAACTGACATTCGTTGATATCGACGCAGGCCTGCGTGAGATTATCACGCCTGAAACCGGTCTTGCAGGTGCACGTATAGCTGCCTACGGTATTGACGCACTCCTCGTTGCTGCTGCAAGCATCCTCAAGCTCTCTGCATTCGTTGACGTCGACGCAGCCGCGATTCCTCACGAACTTGGTCCCGCGCATACACTTTTGGTTCATCGGTGCCGGCATCGCTGTCGTGGGTGGTTTTCTGGTTACCGGGACGGGCGGTTTCGCACAGCTATAACCACCCGGTTGGTTGTAGCAGAGTTCGTCACCGCATGTGTCCAATCTTTCCGCACACTCGTCAATGTCTATAATTTCAAGTACTTTGGATAACAAAACTCGAAGATATCTTTCCGTTCGTATTAAAGCGGTCAGGTTTATATATAATATATATATATATATATATATATATATATATATATATATATATATATATATATATATATATAAAGTATTAAGACAATAGGGGTATTCAAATAAGTTAAAGTTTAACGGTTTGACAGGTTATGTCGGGTTAAAGTCGAGTAAAAAGTTAATTAATTAACTTTGGGCGCGCTACTCTTTAAGGTTATGCAAAATACATAAGTGTTTCATTAACCTATCACATTAATCTTTGGGTTAAAAGTGTAAAAATTAACTTTTTACCCGACTTTAACCCGACATAACCTGTCAAACCGTTAAACTTTAACTTATTTGAATACCCCTAGTATGACTATCACTATATAAATATACAAAAAAGCGTTATTTTCTTGCAAAACAGATACCTTGGCATTTAAGCTTTCAAATTATATCTCTGATAAAAGCATTGAAAGCAACTAAAATAATGTAGGACCACGTATAAAACATAAACATAATTCGACGCAATAAAAACGCAAACAATCATAAATGATATTTGTGACTAATGGTGCATGTCGAAAGCCGATGGGAACAGCATAATTCACCCATGCCTTCGCGAGGAATTTATCGAACATGCGTCAATTAGTCAACCTGAGCTTGATATCGTTCTGACGAGTTCTGAAAATATGAAAAATATCTGAAATCGTTGTTAACACGGTATTACAAAATATAAGCTTACGCTACAACTAAAAAAATATATAAAAGAATACGTAGTAGTCAAGAATATACAAATATCGTTTATTAGCCCTTGAACTTTCTACATTGTTTTAAAACACACGAGCTTGATTCTTTTTATAATTTAATAATACACATATTTAACGTTTCTTTGTTTTACAAAAAAGCGTCTCATTAATTTTAAAGGACAAACTTTATAAAAATTATTAGATGTACCTGTACATCTGCGTAAATTAGGATGATACCGATAGCCAGAAGGACAAGCTGGTCGTTGGCGTTGACGAGGAGGAGCAGGTCTCTCACACCTGCAAGATATATATCATCGGATATCATTAATTCATGTTTTATTATATTTACCTTATATATAGAACCCAGATAGAACATTCAACAGATTTTGTAAAAAAATTTTCGCGCACCTGTATGTACCCGGCAGGTTGACGCATCTTTCGGAGAATTTCGCGTCACAGCTGTACTGCCCGGTTCGGCACTCATCGATGTCCTCGCATCGTTGAGTGCCCAAGGAATACTGGTATCCGGACGGACAGGAGGGCAGTCTGGTCAAACACTCGAAGCCACCTTCTTTATTCACGCAGTACTGATGCAAGTTGAGCCGACAGTTGTGTAGGCCCTCGGAGCACTCGTCGATGTCCAGGCAGGTGCCGTTGAAGGCACGTCTGTAACCGCGGCTGCAGGGCGTTATCAACTCGCAAACAAAAGATCCGTTGGTGTTGACGCATCTGTGGATCAACATTCGTGGATACTTATGAATTTGAGTAGTAATTGTGAGAAAGTAACGCCGAAAGAGAAAAGTATCGATCGTCACTATCGTAATTATTATAGAAAAAAAACCACGCGATCTGTGATGTTTTCTACATAATTTAAGACGCGCACCTATGCGTACTCTGAGGACAATCGTGCCTGCCTAACAAACACTCGTCCACGTCCTGACAGCCCTTCGTCGTTGTGCTAAAGTACCACCCAGTGCTGCAAAGGGGCGAACAATCGTAACCTCCTGGCGTATTCGCGCATCTCTCGTGATCTCGACATCCGGGACCGACCGCGCACTCGTCTATGTCCACGCAATAGCCCGTACTCGCGTCTCTCTTGTATCCCAGTCTGCAGGGTTCGGTGGACCAGTAACGATCCGTGTTCTGGAGTATAAAAATACGAGTTGAAGAGACACGTCTTTTTACGAACAATGCATATATACGTATCATTCTCGCAAAATCGGCGTAATTTATAACTCGCGAACGTGCTTCCAAGCACCTGTACTCTGTTGTAGCGCGAACGAACGAACGGTCTTCTTGTTGTCGCGCTGCTACGCGTCGTCTCGAAGATGCTGGTGGTAGTAGACGTAGTTCGCGTTCCGCAAACGTAAGAGCCATTCGTATTAATACAATAATGAGTTAGACTGTCGCAGGTATGCAAACCGAGCAAGCATTCGTTGATATCTTCGCAAGGTTCTTCGGCCTTGTTCGCTGATCGAGACGTGTTACGCAGCCGGAAACCGGGTGGACATGTTGGAGAACATCGATAACCGCCCTCCGTGTTTACGCAACGCTCTCCTAAGCTGCAAGTGGCTATTCCTTTGGCACATTCGTCGACATCTGTCATTTATAAATTACCGAAACACGTATTGACTTTGACAATCATCTACAGAACAAAATTATTTGATGTAAAAATAAGTAATACGTACCGATGCAGCGGCCAGATTTCCCATCGAAAAGATAACCGTCGTCGCAATCTTCGACTTCGTTCATGACCGACGAAATGCTCGTTCGCTCTAGTTCATATCCTCTGCTAAATCGATCATCGCGTTGATCGTGGTTGGTCTGCTGCGTGGTAGACGCGTTCTTGTTGTTTTCCGGTACGCATCTATTTTTTTTTACATTAAAATAATCCGTTAAAATCCTCTTTTGAACTTATATCATTAAAATATCGTAGGATATCGCACCTATAACTACCGATTTCATTAACACAACGCTCGTCGAGCTCGCAGGAATGCAGTTGTTCATTGCACTCGTCGACGTCGATGCACCTTGTTATCCCGGAATCGTTAGAGGGTTTGTATCCCGCGGAACAAGTCATCCGTAGATCTGATCGCACATTCTTTTGATCGGACGGATCCTTGTCGATTGGAGAAAGCGGAAAAGGACTACGCGATGTCTTTGTACACTCGTACGCACCCTCCGTATTAATGCATATCGTGCTGGGATCGGGACAAGGCGTGCTCGACTCGATGCACTCGTCTACGTCTAAAAGAAAATACGCATATAATCATGGACCATAAGCTGTTTACTTGTGAAAAGAGAAATATAACTATGTATGTCAATCAAGTTTCAATCTTTGAAATCTTGATGCTATTAATTCAGCAGTGCACTTGTATAATTTTTATTGTATGTTAATCAATCACGATCGCATACGGGTTATCAAAAACACAAATCGCTTAAGAAATTAACTTATTACTCACATGCATGAAAGATACGGGGATGAAGCGTTGCATGCGGAATCAGATCGCGGTGAATGCGAACTCAAACTTATTCCCAAGATAATCCATGACGTTTTCCAAGATTATTCCGATCTTATACAATGAGGGAAAATAGCGATCGCGAGATGCACGTGCATGACTGCATGCATATATTCATCACCTAGTACGAAGACCGGAAATTTTAATTGAAAACATAATAAAAATTTACTTTGTCGAAAAAGCGACAGCGTTGTTACGTGCGGGCCATAACAAAGATTTATTAAAAATCTTGGAAACGGAGAACGAAAGCTCACCGATGCAGACACCCAGGCCGATACTATACGTGAATCCTTTCCCGCATTTCATATCGCACTCGTAAGCACCCTCGGTGTTTCGACATTGCTCGACATCTGCCAGACAGCTGTGTATAGCTTCCGCGCACTCGTCCACGTCTGATTAACAAATAAGCGAGAGAAATACGTATAAAGAGAGGAAAAATTTCCCGCAGAAAATTCATCGTTTCACCATTACTCGCAAATTAATTTGGCAAACCAATATTACCTTTGCACAACTGCAACGATTTGTCGAACTTGAAGCCCGCGGGGCAGGATTTCGCCCCAGTCATTTCCAGACACGCGTAACTACCCAGCGTGTTCACGCAGAACGGTTTATCAGCGGCACAGGCAGACGATAAAACGGCACACTCGTCGATATCTGAAAAACAAACGCGTAATATATCATAAATATCATTTCGATTTGTTGATCGATGGGGTGCGTGGACAACTTTATGAAAAGACGCGCTTCTAATTAAGTTACCTGCGCATACACCTTTCAGTGACTGCCATTCGTAGCCTGGAGGGCAAGCTTCGTAGGGTGCATTCTTTGCGGACTTCTCTCTGATGCAAATATATGATCCTATGGTGTTCTGACATCCTCCGCCGGGACACACGTTGCGCTCCAGACACTCGTCCACGTCTGATCGATGAATCGGTCCGCGAAAAGTGACGATCATATGCGAAATCGAACGCTCGATCGCAGAAACAAGCAGCACAGCGCGATTGAACAAAAATTAATCTCGCAGAATAATAGAAAAAAAAAAAAAAAAAAGAAGATACGAACTCGATCGCACATTGCACAATTTAAGCGAGAGACAAGGCCACAGCGAATATAGCGATAAGATCGACGCGATATTACAGAAAGGACGAGTATATGTTATATGTTAGTTATATTAAGTAAACGAGAACGAGGATGTGCTTCTGTTATCGCGTTGAAAAATAACAAAATGTTGAAAACGTGTTATTTCCTTACCTGCACACGTTAGCGTTACATTTTCTTGAATTATACGTACCGTCGCACACCTGATTGGTGGCGTTATAACGATAGCCCGACGGACACAACGGCAACGATTCGTTATCCTTGTCTTTGTCCGGCATTTTTTTAGTCCTCGATGACCTCGCGATGCACGAACGTGCGTCTTTGGCCAAGTCGTATCCTGGATTACAGCTGCATACGACGGCCACCCCGTTGTCGGTGCAGCGATGCTGGCAAGGATGAGTCGGCTTGCATCTAAAAACGGAGATTTTTATTATTAATATTTTTATTGTCAACAATAAACACGCTTCTAAGATGATAAAACTGACTTTTCATTCGCAATGCACGCGATATACATACCATTACTAATAATTAACTGGAATGATGACGTCACAAATACATTCTGCCATGCAATAAAAATATCTATATTAAGGATCTATATTATTCATACCTGTCGATCGGTTGATCCTGCTTGCAAGTCTTTCCGTCCTCCAACAAAGTAAAGCCGGCGCGGCATTCGCAGCGATACGAGCCCGGTGTCGGTACGCAAATGTCAGAGCAGAGCAAGCCTTTCATGAGTTGACAGATATCGTCCAGCTCTGTGAATTAGAACGCTGTGATTTAAAGTCGCACTTGTATGAAGGCTATAAAAAAAAGGAGAAGTTGCGACTGCGCCGATATATTCTCCCTCGGATGCTATTGCGCTTAAGGAACGTGACGCGCAATTCGACATTTATTTACAGAGCGATTTTATTCATGCAGATAGATTTTTATTTATCATTTGTAATAACAGAGAAAGAGAGAGAGAGTCAGAGAAAAACCCTGCAGCAAACACCGCATGTAACATGTAACGTACGTATGTACAGGGACACATGTGATGTTAGTCAGTGTAACACATGTGTCGAATTATATTGCACTTATATTGTTGAGTTTGAGTAGGAAATTACAAGTTACAACTAACCCGTACGTTACATGTTACATGGCGTTTGCTGGAAAAGATTCCATACAGTAAATTAGTTTTTATGTACGTTAAATTGTACGTTACCTGGAGTTGGTACCGAATATGACGTGGATTCCGGCGATGTAGAGGACGGATCACTTGACGATGTAGAGGACGGATTATTCGACGACGTAAAGGACGGATCATCCGACGACGTAGAGGACGGATCATCCGACGACGTAGAGGACGGATCATCCGACGATGTAGACAAAGATGGAGATGAAGAAGACGGCGATGACGGCGACGGCGATAACGAGGACGATGATGATGGGGATAGCGTTGACGACGGCGACGAGGACGGGGAATACGAGGACGTTGGCGAGGACGATGACGAGAAATCTAGATCGGTTTCGGTCGAGCTTTCGCTCGACAATTCACTCGTAAGATCCGTCGTGGAGCTCGGCGCCACTTCGTGACAGCATTCCAAGAACGCGGGATCCCAAGGAATGCCAAACGAGAAGCTTTTAAAGGAGCATCCTTGACCCATAGACCCCGCGAGAATACCTGATAATACATTGATACCACGCTCGCGTCAGGGATAATCGATAGAAACGAGTTTATTCGAGTATTTCCCTGAAGAGGAAGCTCGTGTTAAATATTGGCGATCGCGGCGACCGCGAAATTCGCAAAATGTAAATTGAGTGAAAGCTACCTAGCTTGCAGCCCTCGCAACAGTCGCGATGGTAATCGCCGCGGCCGGGCGTCTTCAGCGACCTTTGCGACGTCGCGCTCGTCACGCAAGCCAGACCTTGACGAGCGTCGGCTTTTCCCTTTTCGCATTGCAGCTCGTGGTAAGCCCGAACGCAGCAGATGTCCACAGCCTCCAGGCAGAGGCTCTGCTCCACCCTCGGCACTCCGGTCACGGGTCCGATGAACTTCTCGCACCTAAGACCTTCCCGAGCCCAAGAGGTGCCATAGCCGCAGCATTTCTCGAACTGAGCCTCCATTCTTCCCTCGACGGCAAGCGCTATTTCGAGCGATAAAAAATAAGCGAGGCGTGCAAATTTACTCGGAAGAGTAAATGCGGTTGTTACTTACACCGACATGTTTTCGGTATTAATTCAATGGCAATATATTCAGACATTTCTATACATTTTAATTCAATTTAATGTTTATATAGAAATTTGAAATTTTTACTATTCTTTGTGAATAGTAAACTAAATCGGAAATAAATATACACGCGTGGTTTCTTGAAACTACTTTAAATGTCTTGCATTCATATATCTTTGTATGTCGTAAATTAACTCTGGAAGAACGAAATGGTAAGTGTATCTAGGTCAAATGCTCTGTTTAATTTTTGTCAAACTTATCACTTTCCTAATCTTTTCGTCGTTTTCTTAAAAATTCTGTAAACCTTTTATTTGCATTATTATGAAATTCTAACGGAGGATACGACAGTGCCTGATGACAAAAGCAGAGAAGAATCCTGTTTTCACCATAAAAAAAGTTCATACAAAATTATAAGGAGATTCGTGGATATTTGTCGAGGAAATGTGTGTGAGAGGAACTAGCGTAGGAAAAAAATGCGCTTTGCAAATTGATAAGAGCGAAAAGCATCAAAACCTCGTTTCTCTTAGACATCGTGTGTTTTCTCACTGATAGATATGCGAGTCGCGAATTTTATCTGTAAAATATATATCAATCTAGCGCGCAAACAGTTTCTGCGAAGAGCTTAGAGATCCTCCAATAGCGCTTTCACGATCTCAATTGTTCCTCAATGCGTCCGATCTACATATAATGCGAAAATTAATTTATATCAATCGACGCGCGGTGTGCACGAAATCGCCATGGGCGTCGGGCGCCCATTTATTCTTTTCGATAATGTATAAAACGCGTCGAGGATCGTAGAGGTCAGTCTGGGAGTTAAATGAATTTTATATGAGCTACAAGAGCATAAAAGATTATTATACAAATCTTTTATTTATTCTTTCTTTGAAAGAACGCAATGGTACAACATGACGTGTAAACGTCAAGTTGCGACAGAATGTTTCATGTCGTGTATTTGTATATGTAGAAAAAACTCGCAAGGTAGTACTCTTCTGAAGAAAAATTTTGCCTGCGCCCATGTCGCCCACTTAAATACAATTATTGATATCTTTAGAATATTGGCGGTTGAACTTCACTTCGTGGAACTGCCTTGAAGTTTTGAAATATCGAACGCAATTCATATATAGTATTCCGCGTGCGCAAATAAGCCTAGGTCAATGGAGAACTAACTAATAGGATGATTTGCTTAACGTCTGTATACACATTGAGCATCGTCGTGACACAATGAAATTTAGCTTATCGCAAATATCAGCGACTCGATAATTTTATCCAGGAAAACCGGGTACGTAATTAAATTTAAAACAATTTTTTGGAACAGTTTCTTTACTGTTGAATTTATATAGTATCAAATATTCAATTTGAGTCATTTTTAACCATTCTCGTATTAGGTCGCCACTGTTCGTACTCAATATGTTGTTAATTTAACTAAAATAATGTTAATTTAACTAAACCAATGGAGAGTTAAAATAATACTGTTTTATGTTAAAATAATAAATTTCGACACACATGATAGTTAAAAATAACAAAATGTTATTTAATTCAAGATATTGGGTTAAATTTTATCCTTTAATATTTAACAGTGTTCTGTGTGACATTAATACGTTCCATATAAATGCTCTAAAAGTTGGAGTTTATTATGTCAATTCAAAGTCACACAGTTTTCACGCAAAAGTCTATTACACTACGTTAAAAACGAGGAATATGTTAGAAAAATCGAGGAATTAAATAAGCTAGAAACTAGAGCATCTCTCGCGCGATAATTAAAATTTTTTTAATAGACTTAAATAACTTTGGACCAATCAATTCTAGTAATTCGATCGGGAATTTAATCGTTATTCGGGCTACGAACGATACCTCGTTTGTGCAGGACCAGCTGCTCCAGGTGGACCATCAGGAGAAGGATAATAAAGGACGCAGCGAGATCGACGTAATGTGCCATCTTGCCTCATCGATCGAACACCGCGATTATTATACCTCAAACGATTTTTCGCGTTGATCGAAATGCGATTAAAATTTTTCTTTTTTTTTCGCGAAGAAACTATCAATTCGACCTCTCGGTTTTTTTTATCACTTTTTTTTATCTTTTCGAGAAAAAACGTGTGAGCAACCGTTCCGAGGAAGTTTCATCCGGATGTGCCGCGGACGAGCGCTCAACTTGCATTGAAGCATTTGGTACGCCGGCACTTCGGTTTTGTCATCAGCACCTTTGTACATCTCCCTCGCAGGTCCCGGGCCTCTCCTTCTACCCTTCGTCCTCATCCTCCCTCCTTCCACGCGCAACACACTGTTGCGTAGTACAAGTCCGGCGTTTTTCTCTCTCACTCTCTCTTTTTCTCTCCGTCTCATTATAGATATGAGAATACGCGTGATACGCGCTCGCAGACTCCGTGTGTGATTAATAGCGCGATTCGAGCAGAAACGGAGGCAGACAAGCGCGATTATCTTCAAAATCGTCGCCGGCATCATCGTTCGCGCTTTGATAGGAATAATTGGGAAGCTCCGAGTGTCAATCAAAGGCTTTATTAAAAAAATAAGTTTGAAATGTAATTGTTATGCTAAAAGATACTAACAACCAATTCGTATTTCAAATTATATTTTCTCTTTATCGGATAAATATGTACTTTCATATAGGCAATCGCAGCTTATTCTTCGAGTTCTTCGCCGTCCTCATCGTGATTTCTTCTGCTCCAGGCCGCGGCACAAAGCAGCTTTTTTTGCCGATGAGGCTTCCTCAACAGTCAACAGTGGCCCCCTTGTCGCGCGAAATTTCGTACCATGCACCCATCGGGCGCATGTTGCCTCCAAATTTCTCAACAAGGGGAAATTTATAATCTACACAAATCATTTCTAAATGATGACACTATTTGTATTGCAAATAGTGTCATCCAACTCCGTCCTCTTTAAATACCAAGAAATTTTATCAAATTCTATATTTAATGTTAGCGATTTTATTTCAAAGACATTGACTTATAAATTTATATTAATCAATCGTCGCGATCGTCGATAAATAATATTAAGATGCCCCTTCAGTTTATGTAGATCTGCGTTCTCAACCGGGACGCAGAGTATCGCTTATCGCCCGCCATCGTCGTCGTCGCAGCGACATTGACGCTGACAGACGCTATAACACCCTGGTTCACATGAGTCGCGCATTGTGAAAAAATCCCGCGGCTTTCAGAAGACGCTGTATAGCAGCACACGCTCCGCATCATCCTCGAGGTTCGCCGTTAACGGCTTACGCAGCCTTCGGATCTAAAGTGGTTGCTTTTTTGCCGCGGCCGGCTCTGCATGTGCTCGGTCTGCTGGTAATAGGGCCAGGGCGAACGAGGCGACGACGCCGCGTGATTACGCGTGTCGATGTAAAAAGCAGAGAAGTCGACAATCCGCTGGGAAAAAAAGGAGATGCGGTTAACGCGTCTTTATAGGGGCCCCGAGGATAAGTTTATTTGGTCGGCCGCTTCCTGTTCCGCGTTTCGACCGGCGACAGCTATGCGATCGCGGCTCCCACGAACTCAAATTACCCAACGGCGATTCGGGCGATTGTCAATTCCTTCCTGAAAAAAATTAAAAAATTTTACGGCGTTTTTCCTTGGTTTGATTGTAAACAATTTTAATTCCGCAAAGACTACGATATACTGATCTTTGAAATTCCGACGTGACGGCAAAATTGTCCCAAGGCTGTCTAATTATATCAAATTATCATCGTGAAATAAATTGCGGCAGCTAAATAACGTTCGCGACAGGTGTGGAATATCGTACATGCGTATCTCTATATCTACGAGACTAATGAATAATATAAAAACTCAAACTTTGTATATCAAAGTAGCAACTTTATTCGATTGATCTGTTGCATGATTGCGTAACACGAGCACATCGCTCGACGTGAATAAGATTTACACTTGATTCTCGCGTTCTCCCATCTCGTCCTCGCTGACACGTTTCTTTATTCTTCGTACGGCAAAAAAAAAATAGAGAGCAGTTTTCACACAGTCGAATTTGGATAGCATCTCCGTGAAAGAATGCACGACGACAAATTTATTACAACTCGCCGCTGCCCAAAAGAACCGGCCAACTATTTTTTTTCTCACATAAGACGCAACGAATCGAGTCAATAGGTATTAATGAATATAATATACATAAACACACAGGTGTCTAATGGTAAAATACGAATCTTATTGGTCTTATTATTTCTATAATTTTGACAATCGTTTCTTTTCTCACACATGTTAGCGGTAACACGTATTAATCTAATAAATACTGACAGAACCGTATCTCGGAATAATAAAACAACACGAGAATATATATATATCCTTAATTAAAAAATATCGCTGTTGTACTTTATTCTAAAATTAGACAATTACAGCTTATCTTATCAAATCGACTACGAGCGCTTTCTATTCGAGATGTAGTACGTACTTGTTTCTTCCTATGCTTCGAAGAATGCAGAGTAACCAACGAGATTCGGTTTATTGATGCGAATGTGTAACCGACAACTTGTGTCTTATTTTCTCTCTACTGACGATTATAGAAGATGTAAGAGTATCGTCGCGACTTTGCATGTTGATTTCACCTTTGCCATATAATATTCGATAATCTCGCAAAGTGAAATCATCGTTAGAAGTACGTGTGTATCAAATGTGACAAATGTTCGCGAAACACTTACTTTATATGAGTAAATCGTGACACGAAGTGTGGAAGAACGTGAACGAGGTGTGACCAGATGAAAGTATTTTTCTTTTTTGAGTGTGACAAGTTCGTGATATCGTCAACTTAAACTTGAGAATTCTTCGAATAATTGTAACCCAACTAATGCTAATCAAAATGGATTTCAATACAGAGCACATTGTCATTTATCCGTGAGTAATAAAGTACACAATTTTATATTGCAATTTTTTATCGAAAAATTATACATAATTCCTTGAGCGCAACATATTTCTGTATCGCTAAAATATCGATAACAAAACAATAGTTCTATCGATAACAAACAGTCGCAAGTAAAAGTTTTGTAATAACACATGAATATACAATATCTATGTGTTTCTGTTTATTGGAGACAACATTGTAAGTATTGTAACATAAGTAACCAAAAATCATGTTATGTCATAATCATGTCATGTGTATAGTGTAAATTTTTTATGTAACTTATAAACGGGGCATTACAAGTATTTCTCATTATATACCTATTAATACAAAATTATATAAAAAAGAAGTCAAATAAAATAAAAATACAGTTAGTTACAGTCTGCACCTACAGTGATATAAAATGAATAAATTATTATCACGAATTATTAATACAGTTTTTTATCACTACTTCCCGAGTAGTGATAAAACATCCACAGTAGACAATATGCGTCAATGTAAAATTAATCGGATCTTTATTCTACACGTTTTATTCAATAGTGAGACACGTGTGTAAAAGTCCGTGTATTTGATGTACGGAGAGGAAATACAGTTGTCACTCTCAAAAATTCTATCTAAAACACCTCGTTCTGGAAGTCATGTCTAAAGAACAATTTTCATCATGAGAAAGCAAATGGAACTCCCCACCTAGTGCCTCGTTCTATTTTATCCTAACTTATCGATAAAATCCGCGATATTAAAGACCAAGCGGACAATTTTTCTGTCGCATATTTTAAGGGAACGACGACTAGGCCATATGAATATAACTGAGGACGTCGTATTACGTTCCGATACAGGTTTAGTGCAATGGTGAAACCTATCTAATTCAATCCAGACCCTTTCCTCTCTCTCTCTCTCTCTCTCTCTCTCTCTCTCTCTCTTTCAAACCACTTTCAATATATCTTAACAAATGCTGTGTTTTTATACATAGGTTCTCAATCGAAAGGGTCTAGATCTCCTAAATTCTGCTTCTCTATATTCATATATTCAGAAAAAATGTGTCCTGAGATTTATTCATATGGCATAATATTTTTAGTCCACTAAACTATCTGCTCTTGATTGATTCGGTGCACACACGTTCATTCATTTTTCTTTCTTTTTTTTTCACGGTATTTGTGGAGTGTGATGTTATGAGAAATCAGACTCTGACTTTATTCAGGTTCTTCTCCCTCTGAAACATTTACAATAAAATAGACCCAGAGGGTCTACTTGTATAATACAGATATTATACAAATCATACAATAACGTGTATCATAGAATAACGCGTTCATTTTAAAGTTTGTTTTAACGCTTACCGTCACCATCGTCCACCAACAGATCATCCTCTTCATTGACACCGTCATCCTCATCATTCACAGCCTCGTCCTCGTCATCGTCTTCATCGACATCATCCTCGACTACCACTATGCTGTCATCGCCTTCCTCTCCTTCTCCACCTTCATCACCATCATCCGCGCCATCCTCCTCTTCCTCCTCTTCTTCGCTTTCGCATTCTTCGCCGTCACCCTCAATGCCATTTTCAACATCTATATCTGGAGCCAGGTAATACTAAAACCCATGAAATTATAATAAATAACGTATTAATGCATGTCCAAACTTTCTGACATCGACTCTCATCGACATATCCACATTTAAATACATTTCTAAAGTAAAGCGTTTACCTGCAATGGATTAGGCCACATATCATCTTTAATTAGTTCAGCTATCTCGTCTGAGCTTGGATCTCCATGATCCGTGAACCAATCGAAAAATGACCTGTGTTTGAGTGGCCTTTTGCGTCCTTTCAGCGGCGTTTTGGTTTTCGCTTTCTTTGTTAAATCCGCACCCTCTTTCCAACGAATAGACGTACTTTGAGATGCTGGATCTCCTGCAAAACAGCAGGAGATTCATCGCAACTATGACACTCGATTTAATTACATCACGTCGCACAGTTTTTAAGATACGTGGGGGTAACTATGGGGTTTGCTACGTATTATCGAGTTAATAGTGCCGAGTGCTGACAAAAAATGCGCTCACCAGAAGATCCTAGATGAAATTCCTTAGTTAAAACGTCATTTTCAAAATATGGATTCTCGTCAAAGTAAAAATTAATCCTATAGCCAGATTTGATATCTTCGAATTCTTCAACTTCTAATTTGTTTAGAAATCTTAGGGCGTCTTCCTCGTCTTCCTCCAATATTTCTGCTATTTCTTTGTTGTTTACAAACTAAACTTTATGTAAGGAAGAATATTAACATAAATCATCTCTTGATACAAATAATAATTGTTAATAAAATAACAATCAACGCTATCTTATCGTTCGAAACAATCCATGCAAGAGTCAAAAGTTTGTGCCAAGTGACTCCAATTCAGAAAGATCCCTACACGCTTGGCGTTACCGACTTGTACGTGAAAATCTCGAAAGATCGGCACGTCGTCACGCGTTTCCGCGAGCTGACAACGGCGTGGCGCAAATTCTCCGAAAGCGTGGCGTTACGCCGGTCACCGATATAAAAGAAATAAATATATAATCGTAAAACTAAAACGCGGAATCGTCTATATACACACGCTTACGCACGTATGTACACAAGTAGGCAAGATGGCGGTGGTCGCCGGCGCGGCGGACGCCGGCACCGTCGGGGCATCGAGTCCATCGAGAAACGTCAAAACGGCGCGCGGCCGCGCGTCGATCTCACGCTGTCGGCACGCGGAACGCGGCGGGGGCGCGGCGTCGGCCTGAAAAAGGATACAGCGGTGACCCAGAAGTTGGGTATCCTCTTGATGATGTCGTTACGCTTCTGGAAGTAGGGCTTGCGCAGCTTGTTATACTTCTTCTCGACCTCGAGAATCTCGTCGCTGGCCTTCTCGTTCAGGCCATCGATTTGATTCTGACAGCCGTCGATCTCCTCGAGGGTCTTCTGTATCTCGACGTCGTAATCACGGGCGTCCCCCTCGCCCGAGCCCGGATCCTCCAGCTCCTTGGCCTTCTTGCTCGACGACGACATGATTCTTAAACTGTCTTAAACGCGCGCTCTCTCGCCACCACTACTACACGCTGCACGCTACACGCCGCACTCTGTTTATTTCCCGTACGCGGTACGCGTTCCGCTCCCGTCCGGCGTCCACCGTCCACTCGTCCACTCCCGTCACGCCGATGCCGAGTGCCGAGTGCGCGCTGCGCCACTTGCGCCAGCCGCCAGGGTGCGCGGCGCGCAAGCGACTGCGAAAGCGGCCATGAACCGCGAATCGTCTAGATAGGCCAATGCATATTCCCCTATATTCCGTTAAGTCCGTATCGCACCAATGCAATTAAATCGTGGAGAATTATAAGAGCAATAATCCGTTTAATGGAAATGGAAAATCGGTGATTAAGGGTCGACAGGAGTAACACTACCGACCTCTGTCGGGTTGCTTAGCTGCGAGTCCGTATTTTATTTATTATAAATTTTTTTAAAGCCAAAATGGAAAATCCGGCTCTGTACCAGCTTGCGGCTGATCTTACTGATTAAAACGAGCATAAGTGAAATGAGATTCGTTAATTAATTTGGCTAAAATTTGGGACAAACCGTTCCTAAGCAGCTTTGCAGGCTTGCTTAGAGCTGCAAAGCTGCTTAGGAACGGCTTGTCCCAAATTTTAGCCAAATTAATTAACGAATCTCATTTCACTTATGCTCGTTTTAATCAGTAAGATCAGCCGCAAGCTGGTACAGAGCCGGATTTTCCATTTTGGCTCTTAAAAAATTTATAATAAATAAAATACGGACTCGCAGCTAAGCAACCCGACAGAGGTCGGTAGTGTTACTCCTGTCGACCCTTAAAATTTAAGGCAAGGCATGCTAAGATTGAAATAATCAGAATGAGCAAATTCTAATTTTGCAGTCCGATTTTTTTAATTTTATCAGCTACTGATAATATTTTTTTTGGATTGCCGACATTTATTACCGATAAAATTGATTCCCCGAAATCGACAAATCACAAAAGTAGAACCAGTAGAATAAATTCATGTTAGAGATGGCGCTAATCAAAATTCCAAGAAATGTAATTTCAAGAATTCTTGCAATTTTAAGTCTGCGGATTTGTGGACTTTCAAAAATCAACATAGCACTAAGAAAATATAATGAGATAAACCTGATAAACAGTAACGCGATAGTGAAAATGTATTATTGCAGTTTAAAAAAAAATTGACTTTTTGTGAATTCTCGTTATTGGCACTCTGAGTGCACTGACTCATTTGTTCCGTTCGGAAGTACGCTTTCGAGATTCGAGATTCGAGCGTCCGCGACAACCGGGACAACCGGAAATCCACGCTGATCCTCGCGGGCAATGACACGCGGTTCTCACGCCTCTAGTCCTCCCGTCGCCGTCGCGCTTCAATCCCGGCGTGACAATTGACGACGGTAGGTGGTAGGTGGTAGGTGGTAGGCGACAGAAATGGAAAAATATCGCGGAGTCGCGGAGATCGAAGATTCCGGCGGATAAAAATGTCCCTCATCCGCTGTCCGCTCGTCTCTCGTACTGATAGAACCGCCCAGTCTACTGGCGCGGCCCCCACTCTTCGGCGTCGGCGCGGGCGAATGGCGGTCGGCGCGCGCCGCCGCCGGCGAGCGCGATCGCCAATCGGCGGCCGCGTAGTATCGCCTATCGCCGCGTCCGGGATGTCGCTCACGGCTCACGGCAATTCACGGAACCAAGATGGCATCCGAGGACGGTGCGGGTATCGTGTCAAACGTAGGATGTGATGTAAATAATACGAGCGAGCGGGCAACCGAGTCAGTTGGGAGTAAAGCAGGGAGCGTCACGTCATCCGGGACGGCGTCGCGTCCCGTCGTCGAGGGGACGGACGTACGTGCGAGCGATCCCGCGCGTCATTCGCCGAGGACGCCCACGGATCTCCCTGCAGCGTCACCGTTTCACGGGAACACGGAAGGGCACGCGTTACCGAGAGACACGGGCACGGCCCTCGCAAGCTCGTCTGGTGATGTGGCTGCTGACCTGGTCGCGAGCAGCGAGCCCGACAACGAAACGCAGCAGCCGTCCCCCCAACGGCGCAGCATGTCTCACCATGGTAGTGACCTGGACGACACCGCTTGTCTTCCGGGAGAGCCAGACGGTAATCTTCTTCCGTGTTATTAGTTGTCGCGCGAAACCCTTGGGAGATATTTTCAACCGACCGGCTTGCAAGCAGCTCTTTGATATCTTTGATGTCCTTCGAAATGCCAGGATGTGTTTATCCTCGTAGTCTGACAGCTAGCTGTGAAGCTTTGCATTCCAATGTTCCAATACGTAGGATGTATTCAACACAGATAAACTGTAGTTGAGTTACGATCAAAGTAAATTTCCGTTAGATTTGACGATATATAACATTTATGTTCGTAAGTTGCACGTACAAAAAAATTGTTGCCAGGGGATATATTTATTAAGTCTATTTATATTAACAATTTATATTTATATTTTAATAATTTATACTTACGTGTTTTAAATTTATTTTAAACATATAAAAGTCTGGGTTAAATAAAAATTAACTTGTATGTGTCTTGGTTGAAATGTTACTAGATATTTGAGTTTATTTTTTTTTTTTTTTTAATTTATTAATTTCAAATAAAACAGCATGAATGAAAAAGTTATTTTTGCTGCTAATACAAGAACAAGAATTGAGTTTAATACGTGTTTTTAAAAATAGAATTTTTTCCATAGAAGAATAAGATAGACAAGTTTTAAATGTAAACGTGTTATACGTTGCATACATTTTACATAATCGAAACATGTTTCTAAGATGGGTACATTTATCTCATCCTTCTTCTCTCAAAACCTTCAATTTTTCTTCCAACTTCGTATAAAATCCAAGTATATGTGGGACGGTCCCAGGTCAGGTTCAAATCTGGGTATTTACTAACTAGTTGATCATTCTCACCTCACATGGAGCCACCCATCACCCTGACATATCGTATGTTATATAATAATTATAAAATTGAGATATAATTTATAATAAGATTTACTACACATCACTAAATGGAATGGTATATGTTTGATACAGGAAGTGCAGATCATTGCAACAATGATGTAGTAAAAACTGTTAAGGAACCAGTTGAACATATTGCGCATGTAGGTATCGCACAACTTTTGTTAAGTACTTTTTTTATATTTATATATATTTTTATATTATTATTATGCACATTCTACACTGTGATACATACCACTGGCACAAAGCAGTTCTTATATTTATTTATACCGTAGAAATGACGCTACCAAGGTAATCTTTATTTTATAAATAACTGTTTCCTGTTTAGACTGATTCCACACGTAACAACGACACAATGTTGTCTGGAGATGTACACGTGTTATCCACAAAAACGAAATTAGAAGGATGCGTGACGTTCTCCAACAATACACCACAGTTAGGGGAAAGCCCGCAAAGTAATGGCGAAGTGATCGGTAGTCCGAGGAGTCCTGATTATCCTCCAAGAGTTTCTGTCAGTCCTGATCCTCGTAGTCCAGATACGACATTTCCCATCAGTATGATGTCGGCGAATTCTACAGTTATCATGGATACGGCAAAATATAACGAAGAGAACACCGATAGTGGTGCAGTCACGTGTATAGATAAAGTAACTGAGAATCTGTTTTGTCCATCGCCAAAGAAGATAAGCGACTCACAAGTTGGCGTTACAAAAACAGAATCAAGCAAACAGCAAGATGCTATCGGACAGGAAGATATCACAGACAGGGAATTGACAAGAGAGCCTCGTGATATTAAGAAAGAGCCCATAGATTCGCAAGAAGAACTTGAAACGGTTAAATCCGAATGGGTAGAAGATACGTTTTCAGCAGAGCCGGGTAGAACAGAATTGGCAGCAGTGTCCCAAGACAAAACCACAGATTCCGTTATTAATCCATCTTCCAGTTCGCATTCAAAAACCTATTCGTCTTCAAGAGAGAAACGCTCGAAGGAAGATAGACGATATTGTTCACGGTGTGTCAAACGCAAAGGAATAAAAAGAGCTAGCATTGGTGTACAATGTAAACGGGATCGTCACATTTTATCCTCGTTGAGCAGCAAGGTTCTCCCATTCTCAAAGTCTGTCAATGAAAACCTAAGGTTAAATCTACAGACGAAAAACTACAAGATGCTAAACAATCCGGTGACGAAAAAGGAATTGTTAGAAGGCCTAAAGTACAAAAAATTCATCCATATAGAAACGTATCCTAACGGTGGTGCGACAGTTGTCCATATGTTTCAGGATGAAATTGGTATTTTAACGAATGAACAAATGCAAGAATTGGCGCAGGAGTACTTCAAGGTACGTCGTAAATGCGACTCAATGCTGTATATATGTATAATAATGAAATAAATTCAAGTAGCTTTGTAGCTTCGTGATTTTAACCGCATCAAAGCTCTTTCAGTTCCACGCACGGTGGACTCTTATAATGAAATCTGTTTAAATTTCCTAGGTGGTTTTCGGCGAAGATGAAAATGGAAATGCTCATCATGTTATGGGCATAGTACATAATGCAGCTGCATACCTACCTGATCTTCTGGACTATATGGCGAATAATTATCCCACGTTAACTGTAAAAAATGGAGTATTGGGTAGAAACAGCGACATAGAAACAACCACAATGGCTCAATACAAAGACCAAGTTTGTAAAGCTTATAGTAACGGTACTATTAGATACGGGCCGTTGCACCAAATAAGTCTGGTGGGCACTGTTCACGAAGAAGTCGGTGGATATTTTCCGGATCTACTGCAAAAATTAGAAGAGAATCCATTTCTAAAAATGGTAAGTACATCGTGTAAATCCACATATTTGTTATACATTTGCTAATGTAATCGTGTCGTATTCTAGACAATGCCTTGGGGACCTCTGTCCGTTGTAAAGATGGATACGCCGCAAGAATCAAACGACGGCCCTATCTTGTGGATTCGACCGGGCGAACAACTAGTACCAACGGCCGACATAAACAAAAGCCCGTATAAACGACGTAGGACGGGCATTAACGAATTGAGAAATTTGCAATATCTACCACGGCTTAGTGAGGCTCGAGAATACATGTTCGAGGATCGTACAAAGGCACATGCCGATCACGTCGGCCATGGATTGGACAGGATGACTACAGCGGCAGTTGGCGTGCTGAAAGCCGTCCACGGTGGCCAGGCGTCCCAATATAATAGGATCACAAAGGATGTCGTGGCCTTTTACGCGGGTGACTTCACTGAACTTGTCGAGAAGCTACAGCTGGACTTGCACGAGCCACCGATATCGCAATGCGTACAGTGGGTGGAAGATGCAAAGCTGAATCAATTGCGTCGACAAGGTGTCCGTTACGCCAAGATAAATCTTTATGACAACGACATATATTTTCTACCACGCAATATCATCCACCAATTCAGGACGGTTTCGGCCGTCTCGAGTATTGCTTGGCACATCAGACTGAAGCAGTATTATCCAGAATCGCAGCATAGTACGAGCATCAGACACACTCGCGCAGTAAACGAGTCTGCTCATCGTATTAAGGAGAAAAAGCCTCTGGAAGCTGTCGGTATAGGCGACGAGCAGAAGGAGAATACGAATCGGCAACGTTTAGAGCAGAAACTGTCGATCGATTCTCTCGAGAAGGCGAAGGAAAGAGCGGCCGAATATCAGGGTAATCTGAAGAAATCCGATCAGCACGGGAAACATCGTAAGAGTCGACATCACTCCAGGCACTCGTCGCTCAAACGAAAGGATAAGGAAGAGGGTAGCGACAATCAGTCAACGGATCCATTTGGTAGCACTAAATCGTCCAAAAGTGAAACCAACGAACAGAAGCAGAGCAACGACAAGAGGGATGAGAAGAGATCCGAGAAGAAACATAAGGATCGTCGTCGCAGCAGCGAGAAATCGAGCAGTCATCACACGCATAGTAGCAGCGGTAGCAGTTCTGACAACTGTCACTCCTGCAAGAAGAAAAAATATGATAGCAACGGTCACAAGTTGGATCATCGTTGTGGTCATCATGAGAGAGACAAAAGTAAGAGTGTATCCAGTAAAGAAAACGCTACCGGTGTAGTAGTAGCGAGAATGGTTTCCAAGTTTGATAGTTCGTCTTCCTTAAAAGAGACTAAGAGACGATTGAGCGGATCAGAATTGTCTTTGTCGGGAGACACACCTGGGATCGGCGACACTTCTCCGATTGTTCTCGACGACGAATTATTGATGCAGCGGCAAAACGTTGCTAAAACGTACGCCACCGAGGTTGTAGACAGGGCATTGGAGATAGCTATTTACAAATCGAAGACTGATGTCGAAGAGGTGTGCCAGTCGCTGCGCACCGAAGTTTCGGAGGCTTCCAAGGAGGTGATAGAGAAGATCCGCAAGGAAAGCTTTGAGATCGCCGATCAATGGTGCAAAGATGACGCCGCAAAACTGAGATACTGCAACTTGCTCGAGATAGAAACCATGTTGGCATTTACATCGAAAATGGAATGCGCGACAGAAAATGCTGTTAAGGCGTTGATCGAAATGGCGGAAGACGAAGCAAAGGAGAGAGCAAAAAACGAGAAAATCGGCGATTTTGCAACCGACGGTAATCCAGGCAGCGAGAATTCGACAGCGACGACGACCGGCGTCTCTTCGTATTCTTCCTCGTCCGTGATATCCTCCACGTCTCCGTCTACCGAGAACGAAAGACACAGCAACAGCAGAAACGGCAGCAGTGATGAGAACTCGCCGAAACCGTCCGAATCTCACGGCACGGCGCACTCGAAATCAAAATGCAGATGCAGGGACGAGAAGGATTGCAGAGAGCGAAGGCACAAGAAGAGAAGGGACCACGAGAGACGAGAACGAAAGCACGATCGACATCACCATCGGAGTCCCACTCACCAGTTGAAATCCGAATCTAAAGTATCCGATGACGCCAACAAGGATGATGCTCCGAGCATTCCTGGACTGTCGCACAGTTACCCCGTCGTTGAAAAATCTGAGCGGGTTGGCTCGAAAAACGTCGAGAAGAAATCGGAGGATAGGAGAAAGAAATGCCATTGCATTGGTCACAGGCATGGAGAGAAGCGGTCGTCCGGCAGTAACGCCAGCAAGGACGGCCACGCGACGTCGAGTCGCTCCCACTCTTCGAGCTCGAAGCACAAGCGGAAACCCAGCTCATCCGGCGAGCACAAGGAGGCGAAGAGACCATGTTTGGAGAAGGACTCGAGCGTGCGAACCTTTGAATCGAGTGCGCAGGTGAGCAGCGTGGTGAGCACGACAATGGTGACGACGACGACGACGACGAACACAACAGCAACGACGACAAGTTCGACGCATCTGTCGCCGACGAACACTGTTGTGTCGACTACGTGAAAAGGTGATTTTTTGGCGACTGTAGTACAATCCGTTGTTTAAGGGCGTGAATCCGCGCGCGGCGGAGCGAAACCGGTGTTTTACTTGAACGCGAATTCTAATTGTATCCTCATCCCGCGCGAGAGGTGAGGGACGACGGAATAAATTATAGACCACGGGAGATGTACTTTTACCAAAGTAGAGATCGCCGTGATTCAATCCAAAGACGAGAGATAGAACCTTCACTTGATTGAGAGAGAGTTTGCTACCTTCATCCTTCTTCCCGCGACTACATATACATACATATAAATTGGAACACAGACACACATACCGCCTTAGTCTCGAACAGAGAAGCTAACAATACGAGAAGTAGTATTGTTCTCTAGAAAGTATATATACACATATATATGTCGCAGGAATTTCTTGTAATTTTTTTTTTTTTTTTAGGGATTTTGCAAAAAAAATAACGAATTAAACAAGAAATCCCTGCGACATATATACACATAACACCCTCCGATACCAGGATCGCAAAAATTATTTTGCTACGAAAGAAATCCGGACGTCTCATACACTGCTGAGAGAATTAAAATTAATATTTATAGTATATAGACGACCAAATGAGCGGCGTAGGAAAAGGGAATTTGTACAAATTTGTGATCGCGAAAATTGATCCCAATTAATAACGGAGCTGTGTGTACTTGTACATAGATTAAAATATTATTTCCTTTTCCGAGAATCATATCTCACCACGCGGAGAGCTTGCTTAAGTTATTTATATGCGTTATTCTACGCGTAAATTATTTATAACGATTTTTATTGGCCACTCTGCGCTAACATAAAAACAAGTCCATACTAAGGAAACTTCATCGCGATTTCCCAATTGATGCGGCCGTACTCTTTTCGCAATTCTTGATAGCACGACTATGATTTGTGCTATAATCGAATGTTTATATCTTATATAATATGTAGATCGTCTGCATGTCACATAAAATATAAATATTTATTTATATTTCATATAGATATGTAGAATGTCTTGAGGAATAAGACATCTTGTACATATATATATATAAAACTTAACAATTAAGGAACTGAGCATAGAATAAGGAAACATTTTTGCACGCGACTTTTGGTATACACATCGCAAAACTGTCGCGAAAGATTACTGACTTGATAATATCACTTATTATCTGTTGAGAGTTTATCTTACCCAGTAATAGCTAAGTAGAAGAATATCTTAACGCGCTAGTTGGTGGATAGTACTAGGTATATCGCCGATCCCTACATCTTTTCACGAGGGACATAAAATAATATATTTCAGTTAATCGGAAAAGTCCTTTTTTCTCTCTTTTTTTTTTCCTCGCTAAGTCATTTTAAAACCATACTAACAGACGTACAAACTCATCGCCTTCGCAGATGAAAGAAATGATTTGACAGTGAAATATTGTGACAGACATCGTAAATGTTAATGATATTTTCTCTATCCGAATACACAACACAGGAACGTTCTAAAAACAATCGATTATCTAAAAATCTATCTATTAACAATCGATTTCGACGACACGCCGATGAAACGATTGACAATTTCTGCATTTAAACGTTACAGAGAAAAATCAAGTTTTACGAATTTTGACAGAACTCTGCATATATTTTATGTGCTTCGCGTTTGCGACAAGTTTCTTTCTTTCCTTCATAAATACTCTCCTACATGTTTCGTTACAACAGTGTACATACACAATAATGATTATATTGTTCGCCGTATATTTTATTATTTTGTAAGTTCGTCATATTTAGCATGATATACGTTATGATTCTAATATAAGAAAGACATTAATAAAAATGTCGATGTATACGTTGTGTTACGCTTTCGTTATACATGTAAACCCGTTTCTAGCTAACATAGCTATTTCATTCTCACTTCACTTTATATTAGTGCCTTCACGTTACGTTTTTAATATAACCGAGAGAAAAAACTTGTAAGTCGAGAAATAAAAAAGATTTACTTTGATCTTCAGTTGTATCTGCGTTACATTAATTTCAACCGCAGATTTTTGTTGTAATGTGACTTCTTAATAGATAGGTTTGTAGCAGCGTAAGCAACTTTCTTCCTTTTTTTTTTCCTCGCAAAAGAAGCCAAGAACGAAATGAGTAAAAAGATAAGAATGTATTTATTGGGTAATTGAGTACGACGAAAGTGTACACAGATAACAGGTGCGTACGTCTGTAGTAATCTGCGATCGCGGAGAATACACGCACGCGATCTACTGTATAAAATCGTTCGAGCGTTAACGATGGAGTGTGTGTAAAATTGCATAAATTCTAGTTCCATAGAATCGTAGGTGCCTAAAGTCAGCAATGATCCGATGAGATCATCAAAGGTGAACCTATTCGCCTCCATTCGCCCACCACAGAGAGAGACTTCTTTTTAGACACTTTTCTATCCCGGAGACTACTCTTTTCCGAAAGTTCGTTTTCACGCTCGAGACGAACGAGACGAGAAAGCAAAACTCGCGACGAAAATTCGACAAGCGGATAATTACTTAAGAAAAACACCGAACGGGTGCGTCCGTGAAATAAAAAGGACCAAATTGAAAACAGAATGATCCGTATCCGTGTCCCTCCCATAAGGAGAGTGACTGGGATCACGTGGCAATACTTTTTTGAAATTCGAGTCAGGATGTAGAATTCTCCTCTTAACGATTGAGCCCAAACTCCCCCGGACTATTCACTCGAAGCAGTAACGGTGAAACTAAATAATCATAGGTGCTGGATACTAAATACGCCACTTGATATTTTAAGGTGCCTTCGCTCTGTTCGCAGTAAACCTATACCGGTTATCATCGATCATTTACCCAATCTATAAAGATAAATTTTGATTTCCACATGCGTATGTGTGCGTGTGTATGTGTATGTGCGTATATGCGTATATGCGTGTGTATGTACAAGTAGAGCGTGTAAATTTTTATCAGCCACGACTAACACGAACGTATCGACGTGTTGCTTTCGCTCCAAAAACGTTTCATCGCGCGTGCAAATTTTTGAGAGGTAGAAAGAGAGAAATAAAAAGAGGGAGAGTAACAATGAGAAAGTTTTCTTTCACGAAAAAGACTTGTAGATTGTACTGTAGACACTTGTGTAAATAATTGTAAGATATTGATTGGAATTAGTCTAGGTCTCGTCGAGAAGTCTCGTCGTGCTAAACAAAGGGCACGGCCAGAGTTTCTTCGAAAATCCCGACCGTAGTGCGAGTATTAAATTAAGAAAACCAAAATAGATATACTGACAAGTTAGTGAAAAACACTTGTTTAATTATAGAAGAGCAGAGGACTTGGATTGAGACTAGAAGGGTAGACGGATATATAATTTTTGGAATAAATAATATAGAGCAGAGTTTAAACTAAAATTTACATTAATTCAGAATACGAGTAAGAGGGGCAGAGTTGAAAAATCAAAAGAGTATACCTTGGCAGTCGGCCCTTCTAGTGTTGCCAAGAGTTAAGCAGAAGAGAGAGAGAGAGAGAGAGAGAGAGAGAGAGAGAGAGAGAGAGAGAGAGAGAGAGAGAGAGAGAGAGAGAGAGAGATAATATTTGCAAACTTTCTTTTATCGGAGAAACGAGATGGTCTATACGTCGATGGATCTATTCTTTGTAGCTGCTATGCTTTCGTTGCAGAATTTTCTTCCGTTCTTCCCCTTCTTCGAGGAGCCTGACTCTGTGCTCTTATTTTAGTTCAAATACAGGAAGCGTAACGAAGTGCTGCTAAAAAGAATAGGCTCGATAAATTGACGCGCGTCGCGTTTGACGTCTCGCGGCCTTTGTGTTTAGGAATAGTATTCTCCCTTGTTGATAGACCTACCGTGTTAAATGTACAAAATCTCGACATCAGTTAAACGGAAAAGTGCAATCATACCGTGTGACCCGCGTACGTGATTTTCTGTCGTAAAACAAGGCTCGGATCGATGATCGTGAATCCGACATTCGCGACAAACACGTTTCTTTCGTTCGAGCGGAAAAAAGCAGTATATAATTTCGATAATGCGAAGCGAATCCAGTGGCCGACTTGACCGACTTTTCTCACATTGAATAATCGTCTGATGTTTAACAACTCTGAGAGACACGTATAACAATACAAAAATTTAAAAAACGCGTCTAACGAGATGCAAATATATCGTTTTACCGTGGGTCGACGATTGTGAAATCATTCGTATTCTTGTGTCGGTAAAAATGAAGAATAAAAAATGTAACATCGATAAGACGTTGAGAGATATCGGTCAAGTTGGCCACTCCGTTCAAATAAATCTGTCTCAAACTATGCGTATATATAGAATAGGTATCGCGAAATAGACTAAACGATATCCAAGTCCACGATTCATCTTTTCTTTTATTGAAACAAACGTTAACAGGTATAGAGTGTCATTAGTTTCTAAACGTAAGCGAGAAATACGTTTTGCAATACTTGGAGATCTAAAAAAAGAGAAGTGAAGAGTGGTAGATTTTATCCCATTTTGGATTTTGTCCGGTAATCTCTCTTTCTTACCCTCTCTGATTTGTGCCGCGGATGGGATGATTTGTCCCTGCAACTCACCCCTAGCCTGAAAGTACTTTCAATTTCGATAATCGCCTCGCTGGTATACGATCGACCGATCCCTCAGAGTCGCCGTTACAACGTCGCGCGGCGTTGTATAAAAAGAAATTGAAAAAGAGATAGACATATACGTAAAGAGATAATTCAGATAATTATGTAAAACGATGACCTGCCTACGACGCAACGGGAATCCTGAGGGACCGGGAGAAAACGGGAGGCGACGACTTGGCAAAATCGTGCACCGAAAAAAACTTTCGCTCGGGCGGAATTGTACATTTCTGTAAATATAGCCCTAGATCCTCGGTATGTATGCGATGCGATGCGATGCGATGAGCCGGGACGTGAATGAAACGTCGGGACAGGATGCTAATCGCAGAGCTACGTGTGAAGAAAGAGTTTCAAACTCGAAGAGTTTGACTGCGACGGTTCACTTAAATATTCTCGTACACAAATTCCAAAATCGTGCCACGTCATGATGTTAATAATCGGAGTGGCTTACAAACTTGAGTGAGTGTAACTTACAAGGTGTATTTCTCTCTCCGCCTGTCCGTCGCTCATTGTATTCTGCGTGCGTATCGTGTCCCGACTTGGATAATCGAACGTTCGCTTGTAAAGAAAAATCAATGTAGCGGGAGGAGGGAACAGCACGCGGTAGTTGGCGCATTGGAGGTTTACGTATCGCTATCGAACAATATACGCACGTATACATGCGTACGTATACGTACGTATGCATATGTGTGTATATATCACAACGGCTATTATTCTATTAACTCATATACACGATATATATTTGCGTTGACCAGTGAGGACGCGTAAAGAAATAAGCATATAGTTATAAATATAAATATCGTAGCGTTTAGTTTTACATATTATACCCGTCACACGTGTAGAAGTCGCATTCCAACGTCTAAGTTTTTAATGAAACAAATAAATTACTTTGGTCAAAACGAACTCTGGTCACTCGGGTCTCCACTCTCCCGTGTTCCCGGCGAGTCTGCCTGTAATCATCCGTATTAGACATGCATTCTGACGCCTGCACGTCTTGCACGTCTTCCAGGAGACGTCGAGCACTTCCTACGAGGATAGACCGATAGAACCGTATCGAGGAAGAGGAAATAGATACAACGTCCATAAATTCCATTACGCGCGTACGCCAACGCCAGGTCGCCAGGTCGCCAGGTATCCGTCCCCTCACCCTCACCCCGGCCTGTAAGTGCACGACGTAGATGCGGTCGCACTTTAACAAGAAGAGAAACTAGCAGGAACACGTGATTTGTTCCTAGAGACGTAGAGATTCTAGACAAATAATCTTGCTACGTGCGAGGTGGTTTCATGGGAAATATTTGCATAACTGTAATGATAATATATTCCCGCTCGAGGCCACGTGGACTACAATTTTTAGCCACTTGCTCATTGAAACCAATTATATTTATATATATTTTCATGTGGATATTGTGGGTGTAGGGATCCGGGACGAGCTGTAGGGAATTTGCGAACTGCGAACCCGGGAGGGAACAATAGGGGATTTGCGAGCTCGGGGCCCGGGAAGTACGTAGGGGATTCTTCCGCGACAGGATGTCGGCTGTCGGCACCGCTCCGCGCTCCGCGGCTCGTGCGCGACATAACTGCGCCAGAGCCGCCAGAGCCCAGGCCCAGAGCCAGACTCGCAGCCGCAGCCAGACGCCAGACATCACGGCGCGCTCGTCTCACGTCTGATATTTGCATGCACTCGCTACTCGCGTGCGCTCATCCGCTGACGGTCTTGCACGTGATATCAGCTAATGCCACTTGCCGTAGGCACGGGCACCGTCGCTCGGTAGACCGGGACCGGGGAGTCCGGGAACCCGTTCGTGTCACACGTCGCATCTCGCACCGCGGGATGCAGTAGTCGCGGTAGTTGACTATCGACGGCGACCGCTGAGATAGGGTAGTGCTACGACTGCTACGGAGTACGGAGTAATAAGACGTCGCTTGCCACCCCGGACGGACCGCTGTAAGGTTAAGCGCAAGGAGCACGACGCGAACGCCGGAGGACGACGGCGAGATGGACGGCAAGGTCGACGACGAGAATCAGCGTGGCGTCAACGACGGCGACTGGGTCTGCCCTGACTCGCAGTACGTAGTTTCGCTACGACGCGTCGCACCCTCGATCACGCCCCCTCTCCCTCCCTGTAACTACGTTTTTATCTCCCTAAATCAGGATTCGGGTGCATCACGCGTGAATAATGATCCGTCGATTTTCCCCTCTCTTTTTCAGATGTGCCAATATCAACTTCGCCAGGCGTAACTCCTGCAATCGCTGTGGGAAAGGTACGCAGCTGTGCACAGTCGAAATATTAATGTTACACTGACGCATGAAACTGTTTTGTGACGATCTTGTTTAGCAACAATGGTTTATTTTATATCGAACGTAGAGTGTTACTTGCATATTAGATAAATAAAATTAGCAAATGGAGTAGCACTTCAAGTGAGTTTACTCCATGTGAGACGTTTGGACACTTTATTTATCGATATGATTTTCTGATGCAGATAGAGGCGAATGCCCGAAAAAGAAAAAATTAGGTCAGGAAATTGGGAAAGCAGCCGCGGAAAAAAGTAGAGGACTTTTCAGGTAATGCCACGTTTGGTATCAAGTTATTTCTTCGTGGTAATAAATGTATGAAAATCACGTACTTGTTGTATGTGTATGGAACGTGCATGAATATATTATACAGTGTGAATGGATACAATAAAGTGTGTGCATAAATAATAGGGTGAGACGTAAGCTAACGTTTTTATGTATATAAAGAACATATTTATTAGATTTTAACGCTATGTGTCGAGTTCGTGGACTAAATGTCAACACGTCTAGTTATTAAACATGTATAAAAACAGGCAATGTAGTAACAGTGTATAATACTATTTTGCACTTTCATCTCTTTCAACGTATCACTGTATGTGCAAAGCATAAAATTTGTATTGCAGCGCGGACGACTGGCAATGTAGCAAGTGCGGTAACGTAAACTGGGCTCGCCGGCAACAGTGTAACATGTGCAATGCCCCGAAATTCGGTGAGATAGAGGAACGCACGGGATACGGAGGTGGGTACAACGACCGAGGAGTCGTCGAGTACAAGGAGAGGCGAGACGACGATGACGAGTATGACGAGTTTGGACGGCGTAAAAAAAAGCGGAAACTAGAGAGGACGTCCGACGACGACTCGAAGGATTCCAAATACAGCAGCCCGTCGCGTAGTAAACCCAGAGATAAGGAAGAGAGGAACGAAGTAGACGAGGAGGAGCAAGAAGAAAACGTAAAGTCTTTATGCTTTAAAGCAACGTGACGTGAAAAGTGTGATGTCACGCTCTTCAATAGCATCACGTGAAATACTTGGCGAATACTTAATCGGTAATAACGTAAATCACAGGAGGAAGAGGACGAGGAAGAGGAGGAAGATGGTGATTTATCCAAATACGATCTTAGCGAATGGGATGACTTTGCACCAGCCCCAAAAAAAAGGTACGTATACATACACAGCTAAGTTATTATCCGTTGTAAACATTATTTTGACAACATTGTGACGTTTTACCTTTCAGTGCAAACGGAAGTACTACATCTTCAGAGGCGCAACGGTCAAGGTAAATTAACAGCGGTAATGCACGGCAAATATATCCGTTAACTGCATTAACATACGTAACAATGCACGGCTTTCCTGTATTAAATTAACGACGTTTGTATCAAAAACGTTTATTAATAAGGCATGAAACTTATTTACAGAAACGGAGATGATCGGCGCGATTCAGGCACATCCAACCAATGAAAGGCTGTACAGAAGGACAGGTTTGACTTGGGTTTCGGGTATAAAATTGATTATGATGAACAGAGTTGCAGACAGCATACAGTGTGATGAATTTTGCTATAAATAATGTATAGTCCCAGATCCTTAAGAATTAAAGTATAGCTTGCTTTTATTGCGCGTATATCTCGGTATATACTCGGTATATCGCGTAAAGACATCGAGTTAGAGAGATTAGCGACGCGATTTAGCGAACCTTTAAGAAGCGCAAGTGTTCTTCTCATTCAACGTATCAACTTTTTACAGGAGTGAACCAGGAGACGAAAGAACGCAACCGGTGCTCGGCAACTAAGAAATATACACAACAACGCAACAACTTTTAGTACGTTAGTATGCACCTTTGGATATAAAGTGGCCGATAATGTGTGACTTATTACAAAGGGAAGTCGACTAACGATAAGCTTTACATTTATACGTGAGCTCATAACTTCGTTGATCCTAAGGAAGCGAAATGTAGGTCTCCTCTATTTGCGCGGGTGTATCGTTGTTCTAACGCGTGCAGAGTTTATGAAAAACTACTTCGGCGCAAGTAGCATGTTTCGCTAGCGAGATACGAGATTGATACGTCCAACATGAATCTATAGAAGAACGTATACACAGCTCGTTTTACAAGCTAAATATGACGTTGTAGAAAAAGATCTTACTCCTATGTAATAGATGGTGTCAACGCTCTGCGCAAGCCCCGTCGTCTCGCAGTGTTCTAAGATTCCTATTACTTTATCACAAACGTAACTATGTCGATGTAGCCGTGTCACTGCTTCACATTGCTCAAGTTGCCTGAAGGAATCTAACTTTTCTTCTTTTGTCCCCTCATCTCTCTCTTTTTACATCGTTCATCTATGCATAATGCTCGGATTAAGTGGACACGCGTCAAGTATAGTATTAAAGAATCATTCCCCAAACAGAGCAGATATGTATTTTGCATCTTTTGGAAGAGACCAAAAGGAAAGGATACGTTCTCTTGCTTTGACTATCACAGATTTGAGTAAGTTGAGAATCAGCCTGCTCACTTTGAAAACGTAGCGCTTTTTTTTAAGTTAGTCGCGTCCCGCGTCTTGGCAGATACGGACTCTTATCGTCAACTCCGACGGCCGTTCTTGAATCGCAAAACGATTACCGATCAAATATCGTACTGACTTCTTGTAAATATCTTTATTTTTCATTTATAATAAAAATCATTCATCAACAACATAATTGTTCTTAGTTCAATTAATTCTTTCCTTATATTGTAAACTACAAGGTAAGGGAAGGGGGAGGGAAGTCATGATTATGCACAGAGTTGGTCATAGGGAGGATTGATGAAGGAACGTTGGGGACGGGCGATATTGAAGGATTATGTTGCAACAGGTATATATATAATATATATATATATAATATGTATAATATGTATATGGTATATATGTACAATAATAAATTTGAGCTTGTTTGACTGTGTTTAAGTATTTTAGTGATAAAGGAAGGATGAATTACGGTACCGACGTACCAAAATCCTCTTGCTCATCATACCATGCACATCTGCATACGATTACTTTATCCCGAGCAACCATTATGAACAAAGCACAAAAAGAGAGGAGAGATCTCACCTGTTTTCTTCCTCTCTTAATTTTTTTTACACTCGAGTGTAGTAACGTATTTCTTAATCTAACAATGTGCTTCTCGATCGCTGAAGTAACGACTCCTACAAAACAAAAAAGAAAAAAAAAGGAGAAACCAGATTGTACATCAGTATTTACACGAACGCGTAGGACAATATTCATACGTCTCCGTTAACATTTAGGATTTACAAATAGTTCCGGAAGATTTCGATTTGAAACGACACTTCCAAAACAGGATAACAGATTTGGAAACACGACATTCGGTGTCATGGCCCAGAAATTAAAAACAGAAAACGAAATAAAAAAAATTTATGTAATACATACATAAATGTCATACACAAATCAAACGTTAACTAGAATTTTCGCGCGTCAGTCGTCAGGATTATCCTTGAAGGTAACTCAGCGATGCTCGTCAATACCCATCATTATTCCTGTCCTTTACATCATCGTTAGCACAGTTTACACTTCCAGAACTATCTCGCGTGATTAATAGAAACATCCCTGATAGACGAAAGATTAGAGATAAAGATAGATGGATAGTTAGAAAGAGAGCAAAAGAGATATTGAGAAAGAGAGAAAAAGAGGGATGAAAGGCCACCGTAAAAATCGTCCTTGTTCCCGTCGTCATTCTCGTTCTCGTCATCGTCATCGTCATCGTCGTCGTCACGATATGAATCAATACCGGGCAGCGTTTACTTCGGCATGAAAAATTGCTGATGCGAGTGCGAGTTCGGCGGTGGATGCAGATTAGGATGCGGCGGCCCGCTGCCTCTGGTACCAGTGGCGTAAAGTTGCTGCTGGAAGTTGTGAAACTGTTGAGCATAATTCGGGTCGGACATGCTGGGTCCGCTGCCGACGAACGGGCCGGTTTTGAACGTGCTGGTCGCACCGCCCATGCTCGGTGGTAGAGGCTGAGTAGCGTCGGGCGGCGGTCCCAGTCCCATCGGACTGGCCTTGTTGCCGGATACGCCGTACATGCCTGGATTCGGCTGGTTCGGCAGATTTTGCGGCACCATGTCGGGCGGGAAGACTTTGTCGGAATCCATGGAGCCGCCTGGGAAGACGCCGCCACCTACCATATGCTGCATCCGCATCAAGTTCGGTTGCGGTCGCATGTTGCCGACCGGTCTCATGGACGGGTGCATGGCGCCGGGAGAGTTCATGGACTGGCCATCCATTCTAGGTGAGGCACCCATACCGGGGATCCCGGCGGCATTCATATTGGACGGCATACCGCTATGCGGACCTCCCATGCTATTCGGCACACAACCGTTCGGGAAGTACTGAAGGTTCACGGAGGGTGTCCCTCCCATTTTCGACTCCAGATTGGACAGCGGATTAGTGAATCGCTGAAGGAAATCCAGACTGGGTGGGCCCCGAGGCGCGTGACCGACGTTTGGCCTGGCCGGCAAGTATTGTATGGTATTGGGTGCATTCGGCTTTACTTGAACATTCGCGCCGTTGTAGGGACTGGGCCCTACAACCCCATGGCCGGTTATCAATCTTGGTGGAGGCGCGTGTCCAGGGTCACCGCCCGGATAACCAGCACCGGCTGCACCGACGCCCGAATGGCCGCCCATTATTCCGTGACCACCCATCATGGCGGGATGTCCCATCTTGCTGGGAACTCCGCCGGGGCTGCCCGTATGCGAAGTGGTAGGGCTGTAGCTCGTTGGAGGACCCGCAAGACCCATGCACATTCCGCCAACCTCGTTGCCGGGTTCACCACTGGTTGCACCCATGTGACAGCTCCCGTTCATCTCGCCGCCCATCTGCATCATGTGCATGCCGGCATGTGGATTACCAAACGGCATCATGCCGCCAGCATTGCCGGAATGCATAGGCTCGTTGCCCAGCGACGTGCTCGCCGCCGTGTTCGTAAGCTGTTGGCTCATTTGCGCCAGGGATGTTATCGGATCGAACGTTGCACCCATGGTGTTCAAGCCACCAAGTCGACCGCCAATGTTGTTGGGATTGAGAGGCACGTTATCAGATGGTTGACTAACGTTTATGGACGGCCTGCCGCAGGGGAAGGAACCACCGGGGGGACCACCGCTCAACGATGGCACTACCGTCGTATTGCCAGACGTATTCGGATTTACCACCGTAGGCTGCTGTTGCGGAGGCTGCTGCTGCTGCTGTTGTTGCTGTGGTTGCTGCTGCGACTGCGTTTGCTGTTGCTGTTGCTGCTGCTGCTGATCTTTTACGGACGGTGGTGACGTGTCGGGTTTCATGGTAGGCGATGCCGGCACCGTTCGCGGTGGACCCATACTGTCGGGTAGGCTGGTGTTGTGCGGCGTCGGACTACTTTGCGCGCTCGCGCTGGACTTGTTGCCTGGTTTCGCGGAATCCGCTGGAGTATGCGGCGCGGCGCTGCCCGGCGTGTGTGGTGTGTGTGGCGTGTGAGGACTATGCAGAGAACCCGTGAAGCCTCGGTTCATGCTGTCCATCTGTACAGGACTCGCGCCCTCTGATCTAGTAGGGAATTGATTGTTGCTATCTAAACTTCCTGGCAAGATTCTGTTGGGCATCTCCGAAGACGTACCGGTGTTCCTGTTGTCAATGTAAAGGAAAACGTTATAGTTATGCAAGCTTTATATACGTATTACCCGAGATTTTTTTCGCTCGAGTTATGTATAACTCGAAAATTAAAATGAGAGAATGAAGATACTTACGTAGATGACGTGCCATCCTTCAGACTTGTATTGGGTTGTTTCTGAATGGTCAGTTCCTGCCCCTCGAACGTGCTAAGGTATTGAAGTTGATGAGGGCTCGGTACTGGCATCAGATTTGCTTCCTTCACGGCCGATGCATTAACGTTCCCAGCATGTTGCTGCTTCTGTTGAGCTAAGGATTGTAGCGTTCGGCAAAACATACCGTCCACTAATGCAAAAGGGGCACACAAATGCAATTTATAATTTACAAAAAAAAAAATCATAAGTCATACTTTGAGATCAAACCAATGAAAAATTCTTTTCAGGCAAACTTACCGTTTGGTTGTTGATTGGTAGGAAAATCGAGGGAAGCATCCTTTTGAGCAGTAGCACCACTAGGACTAAGTGCAGCAATATGGGAATGAGAGACTGGTGTTCCTGGATTGCTGTGGTTCAATCGCGTCGTCGAGACGGCTGCTGTGGCTGCCGTGGAAACGGTCGGGTTCGGAGAGTCCTGACTTGTCGGGCTTTGCCCCGGCAGATGGCTGGTCCTCTGATTACCAAGCTGGAACTGCCTGTTGCAGTCTGCCGGTGAATTCAGAGCGGAACTTGCGCGGGGTGACGGTAGCGATAGATTGCTGGTTGGATTATTGGGCGACGATGGATTCGGACTTTGAATCGCGATTGGCACGCTGGCGGACCGAGTCGTTTGATGATACGGTGGTGGCGGACCTTGACTTCGCGGTACTCCGATCATATTGGCACCGCGCAATGGTACTGCACCAGGATTACCGACAGTTGTCTAGAACATGAAATGCGTGTATATATTTACATATACATATATATTTTTTTCGCGACAAATATTTTATCCACGACATCCACGTAAGTTTATCACACAAAAGAAACATACCTTATTTTTTGCTTCAAGAAAGTGATGCTGCAATTTATGCCAATCCATAGACGAAGAGCATTGATTTGGGACACCAGGAGGAACATTCGTCGGAGGACACGACACCGTCGTTCCTTGCGTCGTATCTGTTAAAGCATTGCCAGTTTGTTCCTCCTTGTGACCGTGAAATAATATCATTTGCATTTTTCGTAAGGTCGCCAGTTGGACTTCTCTGTGCTGCCTTTGTTTCGGCGTCAAGTTTTCGTCTGGAACTTTGACACCTTGGAGAGACGGTTGTAAACCTCCTGGGCCTGGGCTCGTTGTGCCACCTAACAAATTTGGACTGTGGCCCATGGTAGCGTTATTAGCGGGTTGAGGGTTGGCTGCGTTAAAAATATAGAATACATTAAATCTTGTCACAAAAAAAGTTAACACGTTATTTAGATAAAAGATTTAATAAAACGTATCTGATGTACCTGAATTAGGTGAATTCGGCACAAGGCAAGGCACGTCTATGTTTCCATCATCCAATGATGGTTCAGAATTACCGAGGGAGTTTCCACCGTTTATGTTTCGCAAGTTAGGTTGTTCGTTCCAAAATTGTGGAGCATTCGGATCTAGCGCTGGTAAATCCGGGGGTTGTTCAGTCGGGAAAGTATTATTCGCATTTCCCTGATGGCCTTTCTGTTTCATCATAGCAAGATTATTTAACCATTGAGCAGGATTTTGTCGAAATTGATTTACTTTATTTGGATGTTTCTAAAAGAATAAAACGGTAAATATATATTAATGGCAATCAAATAAATAATAAGTAATATGTGTGGTGTGTGTATGAAAAGACAACGTACCAAAAGTAACATTTTATACGATATTTACATTGAAAATGATATCAAACCGAGACAACTTATGAAATAAATAAAAAAATAAGGATATGAAATAATATATTGCATTTTCATATTTTCATATTACACTGATAAAAAATTATGCTAAATTTTTCTATAACCAAAAATTCAATTTTTGTAACAAGCTGCTCATGTGTGTAACAGAGAATCTGGTACAGTACTATTAAAATACGTCAATGCTGCACACAATACCTCCAAATATTTTTTAGTGCCTGGTTGTGCACAATGATAAGCGATGATCGTAGAATATTCGCCTCTCAACACCGTCTCTGCGGCTTTATTTGCCAACGTCGTAGAAAATACAAAAATCTGACTCTGCTGTTGCATGTATTGAGCCTCCCCGCTGCTCGTACCAGTTCCCATCTGTTTTCCCACAACATTACTGACAAGTGGTTGAATGCTGTCCGCTGTAATAACATTTCCACTATAATCTACAGCAAAAAGGACACGTTGATTACGCTAATATAACGTATGCGAGCGAAGAAAAGAAAAGCAAATACACACGTGACGTACAAATAAATACAATACGATAAAGATCTGCAGATATAAATCAAGTTACGCTTACCAGGTAGTTCGTCGGCGGGCGTGTTAGGGTCTCCTTCCTGCTTGACCGAATTCAGGATGGGCTGCGTCCCATTAGCATTCTGATTCTCCCCAGACATGGTACCTTCGCCGTTAGACGGATCCAAGCAAGGATCTCTCGGGCACTCGGAGGTGTCCTCTCCAGTCGCATCGTCGTTTCCACCCGTGCCTTCTTCCTTAATTTTAACAGGGTCGGCGTCAGGTTCATCCTTGACAACCGTGGTAGGTGGACAACAGCTGGGCTCGTTGGGCTTCTTTTCAGTTTTCATGGCTGGAGCGTTCCAACGTTCGCAAACGACCGAGCGGGTCAAACCTTGCTGATGCTGCGGTTGAACAGCGGGAATAGACGCATGGCCACCAGCACTAGGTTCGCGTTTCCCCAATGCCCTGGTGTCGCGCACGGCACGCGTACGCGAAAGAGACAGGGCTGGACGAGTGGAGAAGAGGGAGAGACTGATAGGGGGATAGGTTAACGGCAAGACGCACGTCGTCCGGTCGAACGTAGATGACGCGCGCTCACCAGACGGCACCCACGAAACTGTTCGCAGCTCCGAGCATCGCCATGTGGCCACTTGCCGTGGAATAACACGATGGATCGGTACGGACGACGAGAGTTGAGTCTATCGCGCGAGACGTACGCCGCGCACCGTGGCCCCGGGGATGCTGCGGAGGAGCCTCGCCACCTGGATAACCGAGACCGCGCACCGATCACCGATCCAGTCGTGTCGCGGCCGGAATACGACCGACGTACGCTAGGGCGAACCGGCTGGAAGCTGCGCCGGAACGCGACGATAGTCCCGTAGCACTAGTCCGCGTGGGAGAAAGTTTATCCCAAGTGTCAGCCTCACCTCCACGGCGAGAGCATAACGCACCTTTTCGGCTGCTGCTGCTGCTGCTGCTGTGTGTCGCGCGCGGCTGCTGCGGCTGCGGCTGCGGCTACGGCTACGGCGGTGGCGGAGCAGCGGTGGTGCGCGGTGCGCGGCGCATTCACGCGCCGCGGGGCCACTCACGGGGACGCGACGGGTCCGGGTATCAAACGGCGGTGCGGACGCACGTTACTTGCGCGACTCGGGGTGTCCTCCTTGCCGTCGTACGCGCGAGCATTGTTCTCTCAATCCCCGACTTTATTTGTCACTTCATGGTCGCTTTGATTATTTATTTCTTTTACGCACGGCTGCCAACTGCCCGTCGAAAATTCGACAGAGTCGCCTGATGCGCGCCACCCGTGCGCCCGACGGAGATGGAACGTTGCGCGGTCCGTACGGGCGAAAGCGGGACGCGAGTATCGTGTCTTTGCCGCGCGCACGCGCGCTCGCCTCTCGCCTCGCCGCCGCACCGTCGCCCGCGAGGGTTACTATTTTGGTCTTTCTTTGGTTATATTTTCGCCTTCTCGTCGCCTCTTTCGATCGTGGCGGCGGCGGCGGCGGCGGCAGCGGCAGCGGCGACAGCGAAGACGACGCTCGGACGCTGCCCGACCCGCGACCGCCTTCGCGTTCGTCGACGCTGCACGGCGCGATAACGAGGAGAAAAAGTGGATGCTTTTGCCCCCAGATTTTATTTCGCACTCGAATTCGCGTTTCGCGTCCGCGAATCGGGGCTTCGTGAGCGGCGAGATCGAGTCTGGAATGCGAAAAGGGGGGCTGGGGGCTGGGGGCGAGAGCGAGTTGGGAGTTGGGCAGGTTGGGCTCGCGTGGCGTGGCGATGCACCCTGCAGCCCTGCATTCCCCGAGTTCCTGGCCCTGGCGAGCGAGACGAGACTGACGAGTGACGAGAGACGGGACCCGTAGGTGTCGTGCCGGTCGTGCGCTTAGTTCCCGCAGTTCCGGCGGCACTTTCAAATTCTCGATCGTGAGGAAAGTGCGAGAAAACGAGAACTCTCTCGCCAAATAAAATTAATTTTATCGATCCACGTTGGTCCACGTCAAGCTCGCACTCACCGAATGTTTCCTCGTTCTTCTTTCATATTCGTTTCTTCTCCATTTCTACGTGAATGCAAATAAATTTCTGACTTTCGACCTTAATGCGATCGAATCTTTTTTAAATTTTCTATCTCTGCGCTTCAAAAAATATAAAAACATATAAGTTAAAAAAAATTCGATAACGAGCGGTAATCCAATCGTTTTTCCAAGTTTTTCCATGTTTTAAAAACACGTGGAAGTTCGATCGCGAGTTAGCTCTATTATACTGTGACGAAAGAAGCTCTTATGTGTTATTTATAAATTATAGTCAATCTTAGACTGGTAAACAAATGCCTTTTTTTTTTAATTAGATCATCGATTCTATAAAAGTACTTTTGTAACGAGTTTGAATCGTTTTTAGCTTCACGGGAGTTTGGCGTTCGAGAGGTTCACGCGATAACCTAGAATGGAACAAAACTGCACGGCACGCGATTGGCGTGGACGACGATAAAATGTCGATATTACTTCCGGCATAATTATAGAGATCCTTTGCATAGAAATTCGAAATTCACGCGTGTGAATTAAACGACAAACGTGTCTCGCAGTTTCGTCCAAGTCGAGGAGCACGCAAGGTGAAAACAAGAGAGCGTAGAGTGGCGTAGATCTTTACTCTTCTTCGAACGGTGTTTTTTACGCGAGAGAAAAAAAAGGCGGGTTTCACGCAGCCCACGTACGTGGTACGTAATAATATAATAATAAAATATTTGAATTTAAGACGTACGCAGTTTTTATCATTGTTGAAGCATAACCTCTGACAGTTTGACTGTTGTGCTTCGACGCTGGAAGTTTGGTATGTGTTCGTCAGGATTATTAAAAATTTGTTATGCTGCAGCGACAGATTAATATTGCGCTGAGAAAGAACCGAGTTTCCGAAGAGATGACTCAGCTGGAGCTGGATCCTCAATTCACCCAGGGGTTGCGACTCCTTTACTCTACCAACAAGGACTCTGCGGAGCAGCTGCGAGCTCTGTTAGACGAGGCGATTAAGCAAAAGTATGGGCCGTCCAAGATGCTCTCCAATGTGCTGCATAAAAAGGTACGCGATATAGCTTATTCCGTCGACATGGGCCACGAAGCAAGAGCAGGTCTCTAAGGTTTTCTATTTGTTTCTCAGTACATGATGGAAGAACCAGTGTTGAGCGATCACAGCAGCAGCAGCAGCAGCAAGAAGAGCAAGAGTTCCAGCTCGTCGAAGCATTCGAGTAAGTCGAGCAAGAACAGTTCGCCAGTTAATTTGCCAGCGCGTGACAACACTCCACCGGACATCCTGCAGTCGGACGATACGTTGGCCCTGGAAATTCTGGAGGATGATCTTACGTGCGTTATTTGCAAGGGCATGGACGTCGGGGCGAGGAATAGGCTTGTGGAATGTCAGGAGTGTCATTCTTTGTACCATCAGGAATGCCATGTTCCCCATATCTTGGACTCCCAGATAGATAACGTGCCAAAACAAGTGTGGTACTGCTCTAACTGTACAAAGTCTCAGGTGTGTGTATTCACCCACGTTTACACGCTACGCGACACGTCCTTAGGCACATTTTATATTTCTCGGTGCCACATTTCATTTACTTATAAAAAATCTATCTTTATCATTACGCACCAATAAGGAACTCGTGTTAAATTTCAAATAAGATAACATACCGTATATCTCTTACTTGCCTAATGTTGATGAGAATATTTTATTGTAAGAATCCTCTATTTTCTCATTGCACGTGTATTAACGTATCACGATAGACGCGAGAAATCATGTGAATCTTTTCCTTGTGCTATACGTCAAAATAATTTATTTTCAACATGTTGCCTGATGTTGCCATATACATTTAATATAGATTGGTGAAATATATACCAAAGATTCTCTCTTCAGTTCGCAACGTAATAAATAACTGTAAATCTTGATTAACTATCGTAAGATCCGTTTTTGGAAACATCAGACGTATGCAGACTAAAATATGCATGCATTTGCTAATGTGATGTAATGAAAAAAAGTTTTCGATATAGATTTTATTAATCAAATATATTATTGTAACATACGGAAGAAGTAATTCATTTCAATATGTTATATATAAAAAAAGATTTACGTGATTTTCTGCTTTTAATGTCGTTCGATATGAATGCAGTAAGAAAATCCTTTTATATGATTATTATATAATTTAGGTCTCGAAAGAAAGGAGTTCGCCAAAGACTGTGATAGAAAACAAATCTAAGGAGCAGAAAAAGTCTAGTTCAAGTAAGTATATAAGTACAAAAGCATGTTTGTAATTGACACATGTGTAAAATTAATCACTAAACTGTTAATTTTTATAGGCAGTGGAGCTAAGATAACACCAAATATCCATATTATCAGCGCGGATAAGAGACTGAAAGACATGATGAAGAAAGCTAAGCAGGACAAACGAAACACGGGTACTGCCACGGGTTCAAAGAGCTCTTCATCCAGTTCTCCTGCATTATCCTCAGCCAAATCTCAGGATAAATCGTTATTATATAAAATCAAGTCAGGGGTAGAATAAACTGCTTAATTTGTGAAAGAAAGAATAGCAAACAAAACGGTACGATAAGTATATGCAAATAGTGTATTTTATAGAAATAATATGGAACAGTTTTTTTTTTATTGACAACCTAATTATTTTGTAATTAATTTTGTTAATCTAGGAGAAAGGGCGACAATTTTTGTTGTTACTTTTTTATGAATATATTTTCGTACGACCAGAGAGAGTAAGAAAGAAAGAGAGTAAGAGAGAGAGAGAGAGAGAGTAAGAATCGCGCGTCCTTTTATGACAAAGACAAAAATTCTAGATAGATGATGTTATTAATGTGTATTTATATTGAAGTTTTAATCTCGAATTACACTCAATCGATATTAATACACGTGGGCCTTTGTGTAGTGTCTGAATTTCTTACTGCCTATATAAATACAATTCCATATTATACAATTTATTAATAATTGTACAAACGTGCCATGTGTAAATTTGTTATTTTTAAGCTTTCGCATTATTATTACAAAAATATTAAGTATGTAGAAAATAATGACATAATATTACTATCGCTAATAATTATTACACACGTAACATCGTTCGTAATACAAGTCTGCGTTGATAGTTTTAATGTAAATATACAATAGATCATTTTTTAATACCTTTTTATTGAGATATTTATAAAAGGAAAGCGATAAAATTATATAAACTTTACATATCTCAAGATTACGCATTAATTGTACTATTATATATATATAGCATATACACAATTTTCGTCACCGAAATCAACTCGTATCGAGTACGCTAATTTATTACTGGCGTAACGATACAAGATCGACACCGGAATTGATGTTAGTGTCAAAAATGCACAGTGGAAAACTATAACACACGCGCCAAGTACGTTCTAATGTATACAAGATATACATATAAACTCGTGTATCTCCGCGAATGCGGAGGTGATTTAGTTGCGACATAAAGAACTCCGAATTAACATAACGACTTGCGTAACGACACTTGACGACTTTTGAATAGGATATTTCCGAAAAGTTCACGTTTTACGTATCCGTATATTTATAGCAACGATATTTAGATCTTAGCGCATCACAACGAGCTGTGATAATTTTGCACGGGCGCGCGGCGCTGTATCGCGCTCGTCCACGTACAATAAAAATCTTTACAAAGACTCCCCCGGAAGAGAATTTTGAACCTCGGAGGTCTACTAAGGACCAGAAAATCGATCGCCATCTCCACGTGTCTTTGTCTTTGTGAGCACGATTCGGACGAATGGCGACTAATTATAACGATCCAAATTACAGGACACGATCCACCGTCTCCCGATCCCGTAAGGCTGATAGCAGGTCTGTACAGCTGAGACTGCGGGTGGGCAAAGAATAACGAAGAGATAACGAGATGCGAGTCGTTTATAATACCAATATATTTCTTGCGATTTATCGTTTTAAATGCACGTAGTCATTTGTCCCTATGTCCCATCGAGAATTTGGCAAGAATCATTTCGTTCTCTCGAGTGTCACTTAAAGTCTACTCGTGCGCGAGATGAGATGGGGCGGGGGGGAGGAGTGGGCTCAAGTACTATGTACAATGGAGGGGAAAGAGAGAGAGAAAGGCGGCTATTTGCGAGGGGTTGAAATTACATACATACACATATACTCTCACGTGGATACGTACGCAATTATACACGCGCTCGGCTTGATGAACAGAGGACAGACACTTCTCCGGGATACTTTTAGTGGAAATCAAGGCTGGTCAGCGTAACGTGACAACATACGTCCTTTTTTTTTGCAATCTCAAACAATCCGCTACTAAAGACGTATCTTTCTAGGACCTAGGACGCTGATTCAGAACAAGGATAACAGTTGTCCAATATTGGTCAATTATCACTCAATTATCAGCAATTAAGATTAAAATAGAATCTAATCGAAATAACGCGCGCTGCTTCAACCGGGAGGATTTCCCGGAGGCGAATGTACATACAAGAGAAATGTCCTTAACGGGAAAAAATTATTGGGATCATCCTTTCATTCTCTTTCTCTCCCTCTCGTCGAAGCTTAACAAAGAGTAATAATCTTAACTCGACACACGACGTGTTCGGATTTATCTATATATATATATATATATATACTACGAAGCATGACACACTAATTTCGGCCCACGGACGCCGCGAATCGCCTCTCCTCTCAGTCCTCCGTTACGTTATTAATTACAAACGTTGAATTGCAGAATTGACAAGCTTTTCAGATGGATGGAGTCGACTTCCGACCGTGCGGCCCGCCGGGAAACTCTGCCGCGTGCTTCCCCGGTATTTATTTTAAGACGCTCACGGTTCTGCACCTTCGTGGCCGCCGTTTTTAATGAAATATTCAGCGGACACGCCGACACGCCGCGTATAGAGGTAGCGTCAATATTTTACCGTTCGCTTCTTCCCCGATAGCGGGTATACACACACGCGCGCGCGCCTTCGTCCCTAGCTTACATTTATTTTTATCACCCGCTTGTGTGACACACAAACGTGTAAAGATTAAGAAGCGAAATCTTAACGAGAGAAACGGATAGATAAGCGCATTTTCTTTCCTTTCTTTCCCTTATCTTTCGACGCGGCAGAGCTGCGAGTCCTCGTATGTACGTTCGCAAAGTATAGGGTGACGCTATATGAATTCTATCGCGCTCGAACGTTGCCCGACATATAATATTTTACATGCCGCATGGGAGTATCTTCCAACTGAATTTCACGGAAATAAAAACGTTCCGCGCCTGTCGTGAGGCCAACTGGCAACCCGATAATAGCGACGACACGCGCACGCGGGTGCTTGTGTGTATGTGTGTTATGTGTTACGCGTGTGTGTACATATACGAATACGTGCGCACGAGCGTGTCTCCATGTACGTCAATCTGTACAACGCGATGTATATATTCGAAGAGACGCAAAGCGGCAAAGAGGAACGCCCGTATTCGCGCCGCATGTTTTAACGCTAAACGCGCGCGACTGGAATACGAGAGACGAGATCGAGCGCAATTTGCCGTTTCTTTCCCGCTTTTTTTTCCCCCGCGATAATACGCGATAACACGCGGGAGGGTCCCTTCGACGGGGAAAAATTTCTGCGTCTGCACGCGGACGATTCGGCGATGCGGCTCGACCTCTCGCCTCTTTAAATGCGAAACATGGCAGTGACAATAAAAAAAAATCGAGAACGAAATCAGAAGGCTGCGTGTGTACGTTAGAACTTTACGAAGGACGTTTGTCACGTGTGTATGTACAGGACTCGGTAATATAGCGACGGCAATTCTCTGTCGTTGTATCTCTCCTCCGCGAGTTGACCGGAAACAACGTTAACGGCAGTGTGCTCCGCGGTGCGGTCTAATCGCGACCGCCAGCTTAGCTCGGACTCTCTCCTGTCTCGCACTCAGGCTCTCTTTCTCGCACATACATATACGCGTATACATATATATAATATATAATTCTTAAATATAAGTTTGTGTCTTTTTCTTTTTTTGTTTATTAAATAAGTAATGACGGCTTTTATACATCGTTAGTATAAAGTGGAAACCGAAAGGTGTACGATACTTTCAACGCAGGACGAGCGAGGTGCAAGCCGGTCGCACCGTCTCGCCCGTATGGGTACAATCGTCAATTTAATTAATCATGTATCCCACACACCAAGTGTATACTTTCGTTATCCTGCTCGCGCGGACTTTCGATACCGGGTTGAAATTCGTTAACAGGGGGAGGGAAAAAAACAGTACTTCATTGCGAATGTCCGCTTACCAATCTGCGCGCACCGCACTCAAGCTCTACGTACGTAGAAAAATCTACACGAAATACGTTTGCGATAATGGGGGGCTGAAGAGGGGGGGGGGGAAATTCGGTCTCGAAAACGAAAATCTCCGTTGATCTCGTTCGGGGGAAGACTGCGTCAAGCGGTCGTAGCAAATTCGCTCGCCTCGCGCGAAGTCGGGATCTCCACAAGTAAACGGGATGTTAATTAATTAGCGACATCGAGCGAAATCGATCGCGACGGTCCACGCGTGCCGGGAGGACCCGATAATAGATACCGCGCGCGCGCCTATTTTATTTAGGGGCGGAAAACCGTGCCCGGGAACGAGCGGATCTCTCACCGCGTCGAGACAGATGGCACACGTACATACGTAAAAAGAGTCAGAAACGGGCATGCGGATACGGATAATTCGTACGATCCGATTACAAAGAGGACGTGCACACGACGAAGTGTAAAAAGACTCACAGTTAGCACAGATTGACGTACATCCGCGGTCGAGAGAGAGAGAGAGAGAGAGAGAGCTCCTCGGTAATATAAATAAATACGATACACGTGTAATAGAGAGAGAAAGGAGATACACACAGGTGGCCGCGAATGGTCGCAAACGCGCGGGGGAGCCTGGGGACCTGGGAGTGTAATTGAAATTACGACGCGCGAACGTATTAAGTACAAGAGTGTGAGCACGTCCCCAGCCTCCCTGGACCTATACCGATGACTCGCCGATCAATCTTCGTTGCGCCTTCGATTGAACGACGAGTTTCTTACATTGGCTCTGAACGGATCGACAGACTTCGTAAAAGTGCGCGACTCGGAAAAAACTTGGCAGTGCGTGTCGAATACGAGAATCGTTACTAATTTTCCGCCGGTATTACACAACGCGAGGGTCATTAAGAATTTCCTTCAAAAAAAATAAAAAAAATAAAAAAAAATACAAATGCAAGTTAAAAAGGAAACTGCCAGTCTTATGTTAACTAAAAAGTAAGAGTTAGATCTTTTAAAGAATACTGCGTGTCGTTGTGCCACGACGAGTGTCCGCTAAGACCTTATTGCGACAATAGCACATAAATCTCGGCCAGAGTATATATCAGTGAATACAAAAACTTCTCTTCAGCACGATCAAAACAGTCTATAATAGTCTCGCGACGTGATTAATGTAAAAAAGGTCCGTTTCGTTTTGCATCCGTTACACTTAATAATATAGCATAATTAATAGGCAGCATTAATAGTTTTATATATATATAGATAATAATAATAATAGAGAAATAATAATTAATAACCGTTGATATCGTAATAATAATAACACAATAATATAATAATACGTACAATGGAAGATAAAAATTTTTAGATGCTCCACAAAATGGCCTTTCTAAAAAATTATTCGCACTTCGTAAACTACCACGTATAGCAGATCTAGAGAGACTCAGAAGCAAAATAAGAGATAAAGATAAAAGAAAACAATTTCTTCGTTCGACAATATGCGTAGATAGGCCTAGAGTAGACTGAGCTGCTCTTATAACTTTTAACTCTTAAATTTTTTTTAACGTTACTTTAATCGCCTTAATTTAATATTATCTGTTACTCTGTCTCTGAATTATAAGGGTGCGTAACCCCCAACTTATAATACATATAGTCCCTCTCTAACTAGCTCACTACAATCCGTGGAGGTGTGTTGCGCATGATTCTTTGCTTTATATATATATATTTTTCATGTATATATATATATATATATATATGTATATATATATAACATATTAATAATTATATATATCATAATGAAGATAGTAGGCATAGCCACTCGTGCTCGGATCACAGACTACTCGCTGCCGTACGTCGCTCCCGTACAGACAGTCTGGTGGACACTATGGCTTTCTCTCACTTACCATTAGACATGTTACTTTTACTTTATGTTATTTATTCCGTATTTACGTACACACGTATAGATATCAGGTCGGCCATAAAATTTTACATTTTAAATTTCTTTCCTAATAAGTATTTGCACCGATCCACGTCTCGGATCCTCAAAAGAGTCTCGACAGAGAAAGCACGACGGCGTTTTACGAGAGTAAAGGGTTAAAATAACTTAATATTACATAAGACAACCAAATCTCTCTCGTTTATCCTACGATAACAATAATCACCCGCGAAAAAATATCTTACAAATTGAGATTCGTTCGAATTCGATGAGATTTATATATATATATAAATACTTTGCTCGTTTCCTAGAGAGATTCAATAGGCGTCTGTCCAGCGTCGTGATTTAAGGATCAGAGGCGCGTACATTGCCTACTACCAATATCCATACATGTTTACAAGCGTATTTCGGTATGGCCAACGCGTAAAGACGGTAAAATACTACCACGAGAACTGTCTATCCCGTGACCTAACGCCTGACTAGCCCTAACGAAATCGCGTGTATCTTTTTTACGGCATTGTTATTCACACGGTGTGTTGTAATGTGTAATATTTGTACATATGTAACGAGGTGTATCTGATGCATGAAGTGGAGGCACTAGTCAGTGTTTCTGGAGAGGTTGACGGGTCCTGGGATGGAAGTGAGGAGGGTATGTCAGCAGGCACTGGTCTCTTCTCCCTCGAGCGTGTACGCTACGTTTTCTAGTCTATGAGCTAGGTGTAGTTTACGACAGCCCACATCTGTCTCCAAGGCCTCTAGGATCTGAAAAGAATTTTATAAAACACCGTCACGGCCTGACATCTTACTGACCGAAATCCTGAGGGAACGGGCGATTGATAATAATCGATTATTATTAAGCGTGTTACTCACTTGTTCATAATACTTGCTGACATAGATGTAGAGCTCTTTCAGCGCCGCGATCACATCGAACTCGTTGGCGTGAGACGCGCTCAGTTGCTGCATGGCACTAGACATCTCCTGGTCGGTGATCTGCGGCAGTCTTTGCACATCCGTATAGAATCGACCGACTTTCTCGCGATAGTGCGGTATGTCCTTGGCGAAGAGCAGCTTGTTAGACGGCGAGTCCTTGCCCAGTCTGTGTTCCGTCATCGAGCACGAGTCCATGAACGTCTGCGCGATCACGGAGAGACTCGAGTCCACCGTCGTGGACTTGTTGATGTCGAACATGAAATCTGGATTCTTGATAAAGTTCACCCAGAACCGGAGCGGCAGGCTGTTCGACTTCCACGCGTGCGCCACCTCCGGATCGACGATGCCGTGTTTCTTGGCAGCCTCGTCGAGAAGATCGAACAACCATTTAACCGCGCCAGGCAACGCCTCATTGGCGGTCAGTATGGTGTTTAGAAAATCGTCGACGAACTTTTGTACGGTGCCCTTCGTCGATAGCAATCGCGTCAGAAATATTTCCGGGATCGCCTTGTGCGTTCGCTCGGGATGATGGTGCTTGTTGCTTCCGGTGAAGCCCAAGCCGGGCGGATAATGCACATCCTCGATGGGCCTTACCAAATGATAGAGCCGCTGATTGACGTCATGGGCGCTCTCGACGTCGCCGTTCGCCGTTATGATGGGCGGCGAATGTTGGGAGTCGAAGTACAAGCCGCTCACGGGATGATTGTACATTACAGGACTGATCAGCCCGTGATTGGGCGTGGATGGAAGATGCGTGGACGAACAATGATTCGAGTGTCGATGTAGATGATGATGCGACGGCTGGTGGTGCGGATGAATCGACGGCTGCTGCTGCTGCTGCTGCTGCTGCAGGTGATAATGCGAGGGCTTGCAATTATGGCAGGGCGGTTTACACGCCACCGAGAAGCCGTCGTTTTGCCGGGGAATCAGCGACATCACCGCCGATTCCTTGACGCCGTAGTGCGCCAGCGTGTTTATCTTCTTCCATTCGCCGCAGCACTTGGTCGTGAGATCCTCATCCTGGAGGGTCAGGTGACCACCACGACCGTGCCGCCACTCCAGATCAACGTCATGTACGGACGGCCTCAGCGAAAACGGAGTGTTCTTGTACAGCGCGTCGAGAATCTTGGACTTTACCTGGCTTATGGTATCGCAGTCTAGAACCTTACACTGTATCTTCTCGTCGAGATCGTCCTGCACCACGTGCAACGTGACGATCGTGTGTTCGATTTGCTCGCGCAGGAGTCTCTCCTCCGAGAGAGAATATCTCGCGTCGTGCGTTATTACGTCCACCGGTCCTTTCTCTATCTGATGCTTAATCGCCTTGAACAGCAGGAACAAGGACGAGCCGGCATAATCTTTTAGGTAATTGTACATACAGAGCGCCATCCAATTCGTCAGCATCTTCTCCACCACGGATTCCGTTCTCCTTAACATGAGCTGCGGATGCTTCGTGTTCACCGCTTTGTCAATCAGTCTCAACAATAGGTTCATTAGTATATCGGTAGCATATTCCATCTTACCCATTAGAACAACCATGAGTAAGGAAGCGACGTTCACTTTGTCCCTAATATTAAAGTCCTTCTGAGCCTCCAAGGTTTCTATGAACGTCAGCACAAAGTACTTGTTGTTGACGAGCTGCTCGAACTGTATCATTGCCGCATCGTAGTTGGTCCGCGAGACATTGCTGCGTGAGCGCGGATCGTTCAATATGGGATGGTCTATTACCCCGGGGAAAAATACTTTCATAATGTAGTTTTTATGATCGAGAGTGGGTATACCCGACGACTCGAGATCCGCGGTCAAGTCCGTCATATCCGTTTGCAGTTCCGCAAACGCCTGTTTGCACTCCATACGGACGTTGCTTTCGAGCGTATCCATCTGTATCTGTATGCGCTTGTATTCTCGCTCCGCCTGCGTGCTCTTACGACGGTATATCACCAACACCAGGACGAACAGGAAGATAAGACCGAAGGTGCCGGCGGCAATACCGGCGATTGCTTCCGGCGGTATTGGATAGGACTTGATGACCTCGTAGCGCAAATAACCGATGGGAAAGCGTAGGCTACGACCGACCCGTACCACCACCAGAGGCAGTCCGCTCTCGGTTTTGATGCCGAGCTCGTCCGTGTCAGCGGGTTGTTGATCCGGCGGCGTGCAGACCAATTGCGTGAGAGCGAGCGACGTTACGTTGCAGGGCATGATACCCACGGTGACATTTACATCGGACTCGTCGCTGGCATAATTGAGATTCTCACCCTCGATCACCAGCGTGTCCCCCTTGTACAGCTTGACGTTTCGTGGAAATGGAAAGAACTTTGGATCTTCGACGTAGAGCAGTCGATTACGAAGACTTTGCTTCTCCAAATCTCTCACGCTCTCCACGTTATCCATGATAAAAGCGATCTTGAGAGACAGCTGGGATTCCTTTAGTCTCAACGAATGCGGCGACGAGGTAGCTTGAGCATTGGCGGCTGCCGAACGTTCGGTGCGTCGGATCGAGGTAAACCTCTTGGCAACGCTCGGACTCGGACATTCCATTTGCGTAGGATTCAGGACGGTGCAAACGGTTCTGTTCACCGGCAACTGCTCGTTATCGAAGTAAACCTCCATCTCGGGTTTTTGAATGGTGTCCAAGTTTGTGCCATGTACGGTGATCATGCGGCCGCCTGAGGCAAAGCTCCTCAGTGGCTTGATCTCCATGATGGTCGGGTCGTGAGTATAATTATACGGATTGTCCATAAGAGTGCGATTCGCACCATCGATGCTCAGCGTTAGCCTGTGAATTCGCCTGACGCGGCCCGACTTACTGGTCACGCAAGTCAACCTCGTACTGCTCGCTTGGCTCGCGTTCACGTGGCACGGCAACTCGTCCAGATACGCCGATATCGTGCTACCGATGTTAAGATACTTACCGGTGATGGCCAGTTGCGTGCCGCCGCTCTGTGGCCCGACCGATGGATACACGCCTGACAGACGTATGTCCTTGTAATTGAACAGCACCGCACTCTCCGTGTATCCGGCGTCGTTCCCGACCACAACGGACGCTGCATCCGTGGCCTCGTGCCGACCGGTACGGCAAACAATGCGCACCGACACTTCATAGTCCACCAGGGTGCACGGAGTGTTGCCGATGTGTATCTTACCCTCCACGTCACTCTCCTTCAACCCAAGATTGCTACCCTCGATCGTCACCAGTGTACCGCCCTCGATCGGCCCACTCAGCGGTTTGATCATATCTATTCGGGGTTTTGGACACTCGGTGAACGGTGACTGTAAACACGAATGCCGGTACACGCAGCTATTCCCGCACCAAGTGCACTCAAACCGAGCGTCCCGTGTCACGCACAAAGAACAGTCCGCGTGCTCGCGATGCGAGCCGAGCACTTCGCACTTGTATAAAATTATCGTCGTCTTGTCCACGTGGTGATTCGTGTTCCAAACAACCGTCACTTCGGCCTCGTATTCGCCGCTGACCGCCTCGTAAGAATATACGGTCTTGTCACACACGATGAAACGGCTGCTGTCCACACGAGCCTGTACCTTCAGATTGGCACCCTCGATGCTAACGATGCACTGGAATCCACTGTGGCCCACCTGCGGATGCGGCAAGTTCTCCACTTCGAGCACTATCTCCTTGGGCACGCTATTTGGCAACATCAACGGCTCTTTGCGTTCCACGAATCTCGGACAATATTGCGCGCCATGCGCGGCAAGATTAGCTTGGTTTTGCTAAAACAAAAAAAAATAATAATAATAATATCTATTGTAATATAAGTTACGACAGACGAGTTTGTAGACAAAAGATATAGACGCAACAGATTAAGCAAAACTTACGTTTTCCCCTGATATAATGCCCTGACAGCTAGTATTGTGAGTGCACTTGTTGTCGTAGACGCACCAGCTACATGCCCATTGCGACTTTACGCACTCGGTGCACACGGTGTGTCTTGAACAATCGAAAAACGCAAAGTTGCGCGAAACGAAGTCTTTGTTCGTTTCACTCGATCGTACGGACAGCGGTACGAGCACATGATCGGCGCCCTCGGGAATGTTGGGTCTCTCCACGACGGGTGGCGTAGGGCAGGATAGTCCGAAACCGGTCATCAGCGCGTCTATTGGCTCGGCGTTACCAAAAACGCACTTGTAATTAGCGCCCGTTGGTAATTCCGGCAAAGTTCTAATTGTTAATTGCACTGTGGTCATCTGATTAATGGGCATACGGTCGGGTAGAACCTGCTCGAAATCGATGCACTGTTGACCCGTGCCGAGGGACAACCATCGTGGACTGCTGTGACTTGCCTTTTGACAATCTCCTCTCACAGTACATCTGTGGGCAAAAGAATATTCACATTATTATTATTATTATTATATAAATATAGCTACAACATAAAAAATTTCATATTTGCGAGGAATATAAAATTTTTGTATGCAAAGTGTTCTGTATAATAACCACGTTACCTCTTTTCTAAAGAGCACCAGCCACAGTAAGGATCTTTCGCGTCGAGGCAACTGCTGCACGTGGTATAACCACTGCAATGCTCCACTTTGACCTTCGATATCTTCGAGGAGGATAATACATAGATGTATTCGCCATCCGGTGAAATCAGCGTGTCAGGCAATAGCTTTTGTCCCTTATCAATCGTAACGCTTTCGTAGACGAACGCTTCAACTCCAGACAGTAAGACCTTTTTGAGAACGCCATCGTTTGTGCCGAAAAACGCTACGGTATGGCTCTCGGTGTTGGCGATGGTAACCGAGGTAATAAACGTATCGGGAAAATGCAGGATAGCCTGGCCTGTGATTGGCGATACGCCCGAAATTTTTAATCCAACCTCACAAAAGTTGAGAATATTCCCTGTGGTCTGCAAAGCAAAATAATATAATGTAGAAAACAGCAAAATAAAATTTCTAATGCTTATTCTTTCCATTGGTTAAACGTTTACTTACACCGGCAGTAGGACACTTTCCATCTTGTATAGGACCGCTGACGTAACCCATATTTCGATACTTGATGCTACCGTTGAAGCACATGTGAATATTTTCGTTGAACTTGGTCTCGATGTCTTGCAGGCTGTAGATGCAAACCGCCGAACGTGACAGAGGCTCATTCGTGATGCCTCTGCTGGGCGAAAATACAGAAACGAATACTGGATCGCCAACGGAGATACCGAGTTGCATGGCCAGATCGCTGCCCGCTGCCGCGACTTTCGCGTCCTGTACCAAGTTGTAATGGTGTTGCTTGCCGTCCCCTAGATCGACCGTACACTGCAGAGTTACTTCAGTATAGCTGTCGTAATTCGGATCGCTTATGCAACTTCGCGCCAGCCTGGAGATGTATCCCAGTTCTTCTTGCTCGGGCAGGTACGATTGTTTCTGCACCAGGACGAAGTACGCGTAGTCGCTCGCGTTAAACCCGTACACGTACTTGACCAGAAAGTGATCTCGATACTTGACGTCGATGTACACGATCGACTGCTTGTTGAACGTGTACTCGGCGAATTCCAGATTGTCGAGATTCCTGCTGGAGATAGCGGGCACATCGTGACGGTAATCTCCTTTGTTGGTGAACGTCGTTCCTACGTAGAGTATGTTCGTCTGCCCCCACGGATTGTATTTCTCGGGCCCGATGAAAGCGTACGTGGACGAGTTCTCGTCATTGGCAGCCACGCTGAGAGGAATAAATTCTGGCTTGATGGATATGTTGGACATTTTGTATTTTTCGCAAGCGCCTTGAAGAAGGGAGCCGCAGGCGATTAACGTTTGCGACTCGAGGTTGGCGATTAGTAGCTTGTTCACATTATCCATTAAGGAAGTGGGTATATCTCTTGTCATGCAACCTGTTGCATGACACTGAGGATTGTCCAGTCTCGGTCCTAAAATGAGAAAAGATTCATTATCCATTGTAACATTATACTGAGGAGAGAGAGAGAGAGAGAAAAGAACTAACCTGTTGAGACATACTCCTCCAGTTTGAGATTCGAATCGAGTTGAAAAAGTCTGTTGATCGCGCCTCCATAGAGCCTTCCCGTGGAAGGATCTATAGCGAGATGATTAAATCTCAAAGCTCCCTCCCTGGTTGCATTGGCGTCCAAGGGAAAATGTCCGTATCGCTGTCCATTTCCCGCGGGGAACTGCGCTAGTACGTGCGGGGATCTGTTCTCCTGTATCGGTGGAACGGTGCTAGCGGGAGTGTCTATCGCTGCGGTCGCCAATATCACTAGGAACCATGTGGCAATGGACATGGATGAGAAGGATACGCGATGAAGGAGTGGCGGCAATGGCACTTGCAGAGGCGTCACTGTAGGCGATTTGGGAAATGACTGGGTAAGTCCCAGGAATCTCATGGTGTGTACGCGACAGCTGACAAAGCACGTGCGCACACGCGTAGCGTGTGCGTCAGTGCGTATGCAGGTCTAGGAGAGGAAATGTAAAAGGTATCAGGGTACGTGCCCTGCCGCTGGTGGCGAGCCAGTGTTGACGCAATACTACCAGCTATGCTCGAGCACAGGCACCGACATGTCGATCATTGTCTGGCATCCCTGAAACATTACGAGGAAATTATATCAAATAGGTAAGCGTGAATAAATTGTATCGCATATGCGCGCCACGTAACCATTCAACGCGTTAGGGAGCTTCAAATTATACACGTCGTATTTTCACTCATTTTAGAATTATTATCTCGACACCCTACGCGCACGTTACGTTTGTCACATTCCGCGTTATTATTCCGGCAAGGCAAGTGTTTTCCAACCTCGACGTTTCCTTCTCAGGTCCAAAAAGAAGAAAGTAACGGTAATACACGGAGCAGAAGTACGCTAGACGCAGATTTTCGGAATAACCTTAAAAAACGCACAGCAGCGACTCGAGCAAAATTCGTATACACGATGCGTTAAAAAAAGAAGCGTGAAGCGTGACGAAACGCCACGCCGAATGCCGAATATCGGTAGCGTGAAGCGCCGCAGTCCGCACTCCGCACGTCGCGTACACGCTGGCAACGCGCTTCCGTTGGACAGGTTTCCCGTCGACCACCAACGACCGCCAACGACCACCGAGAGGCGTAAATAGGAGCTCGCCGAGTCTCCCTAACAATGAAAAGGCACAACGGCGAGGGGCAGATGGCTCCACGCATTTCGGGCAATACCGTAGCACGCATCGCCCTTCATTAGCGTGGCCAACGTAGCTGCACTTGACAGCTAAGGCCACTGTCTTCGCACAAAGGCAAGGATACTCCAACTCCAACTCTTCCACCAACCCCGTTCCGTCGCCCCTCCCTCTCTTCCTCCACCGCCACCACCACCACCTCCTCTTCCCATTCCCATTCCCGTCACGATCACATCGCCTACCAAAACACGGCCGCGGGGACGAATTGGCGATCGCGCCTGATCGCGCCGCCGTAAGCCGTAACGCACTAACGCCGTAAAGACGCGGAGAGAATTCCGATCGTAGAATGAAACGGGAACGGAGGGCAGGCACCCCCGATCCCCGATTACGCGACACGCTGGGCTCTCCGATGCTCCGATTGCTCCGAGCGAGCGACGATATCGGCGCAGAGGCGAGACGCCAGGGCCGCCACCTCGCATCTCTCGCCGAGTCGAGTCGCGCGCGGCTGGGCCAATTTACCTTGCTCGCTGCGCGTCGCAGGTCGCGGTCGCGGATACACGCTGCGGGTACGCTGCTCGCACAACGGCGCGGGCGTGATCGCTACGGGGCTACGGCACATCGCGGATGTGCGGCATGCTCGCTCGGAATTCGGAATGCTCGGATGGAGGAGGCTCCCGGCTCGCGTAGATAGGCACTGGTCGCCACCACGAACGGGCTGTCGCTGTTGCTGCCGCTGCCACTGCCACTGCCACTGGCCGCCGCCGCCGCCGCCGCCGCACACGCACAGCACCGCCCGGGGTATTGCCGCCGCCGCCGGATCCGGATGATGATCCGCGATGCTCGCGTACCGTCTCGATACCATAAGTCGGCGCCGCGCGAAGCGCCGAGCGGCCCGTCCGTGTCGCCTCACAACGCAACACTGCAAACGGCGGAGTCGAGATCAGCCGCCATTAAAATTCGTCCGACACGGGACACGGGGCACGGGGCCGCTGCACGAGTTTAGAGGCGCGAGGCGCGAGGCGCGAGTCGGGGCCGTCGGGGGTCGGGGGCCGTGGCTACGGCATGCGCCGCGCTGCTCACTGCTCCCTCTCACTCTTTCTCTTTCTCCCTCCTCAGTCCTCCCCTCGTTTATTCGTTCCCTCTTATCGCGGATCCTAGCTCCTCCGAGTCGGGCTCCACTCTTTACTCCCCCCCCCCAACACGTACTGTGTAGTGTGTACTGTGTACCTCTTTCTCCCTTTCTCTTTCCGTACACGCTCGACGCATGCATGCACACCTATGTAGTAATATACGGGATGTCCCGAAATTTTTCAGTTTTCTCTTTGATTATGAATACTCTACTCCAAGAATTAATCCGAGACGTTGAATTTTTTATCCTAAAAGTTAAGAGGTCGAGATAGTTTTTTGTTACAAAGTTCGTCAATATAAACGTTCGATTACTCAACGAACAATTGTTTCTACTTGCGATCCCAAAAGTTCGATCGAAATTTTTTACGAATACAGAAACTTGATAAATTCACGTCGACTCGACCGTCATTGTTTTTAATTAAGCCTCTGATATCTTTTGTTAAACGTAGGATGCGATTTCTGGGATATCATGTATACTTATCTGTATACCTGGATGAACGCATCACGCATGTGCACGCGTCCATCGCGCCTGCACATATGTGGCCGATGTGGCGATTGGCGAACGAAGCGCTCTCCCGCGGCAAGGCGGTAAGGCACGCGTAGCTCCCTTCACGTTCAGAGTTCAGGCAAAAAAACGTCCACGCTTCAATTCCACCTGATCAGATCTGATACTTTAGCAAATATCATATATTTGATTGATCTAACAAAAAAAATCTAATAAACAAAATTGTATATATATAGTATATATATATGCGCGATTTGTACAGAGCATGAAATTAAATGGTCTCATTTAGGGTCTATTTTCTATTGCTAAACTGGCTGCGCTAGTTCAGAGTTTTTTTACTCCACATTGGAGGGAAAAAGATAAACTCGGAACTAGTGCAGCTAGTTCACCAACATAAAACAGACCCATTGTTTGTTAGCTTATCGTGCGACGTGAAGTTAGTTCCGAACGATCGAAATGGCGTTTATCGGAAGCCGAAGCGGCACGTTAAAAGAAAAAAAGATGAAATGACTTTGAAGTGGGCCACATGAAATCGATTGTCCTTCGGTTAGTCGTGTAAGGAACGATCGCTATTGTTAATTGTGAGAAGAAATCACAATAAAATTATTACATTTACAACTTTATTAGCATAACACGTCTCAATGAGTTAAGTTTTTTTTTCTCAGATTCGGATCCTTTTTTCCCTTCCGCGACATTTAAAATAGTATACTTTTGTACTTACGCTTTTTTTTCTGTACAGATGTACACAAACAAGAGAAAGAACCTGCTTAGAATAATCTTATCTGACTGATGAAGTTAATCGAGTTCAGAGTGTCCGATCATCGTCACAATTTATTATTGTAAATGTTATTTACACATATACCTAAGCTTCAAACAGCTTCGTAACGTTTTTTTCTGTTATCTTCCTTTTTTTTTCCGTCTCTATGATGGACATGAGGTGACTCTTTTGGCTGCGATAATTTCTTTAATCGTATAACAAATATAGTAAATAACTAATATTAGTTCGTAATTAAGAATATGTGAACGCATAAGTGTAACATAGTAATATGAGTGTAGACTCATTCGTTCTGTCTTCCCTCTCTGCGCATCACGTTTCTCACTTTTTTTCCATCTATAATAGAATACATATATGTATACATATCCGTGTGTTTATATATATTTATTTATATATATATATAACCTAAAATTCAATGTGTCAATGTGTGTTGCAGATATTAAATCGTTCACTTCGCACAAGATCGACTACATATTCAAAAGGGAAGTCTCTCTCTCTCTATGTATACATATACATATATATGTCAAACTTAGCATGTTCTAAGTAGATGATTTATTTAGGATGCGTTTTCTTAAATAGAAATCGATCCTCCCTATTAAAAGTTTCTTACATCTTTACGCATGGCAAGTGATCAAACCTGCCGATGTGTGTGTGTGTTGTAAGGAAGGACTCTTCTTTTCCAAATGTCGTATAAAACTTATAAAACAGAAAGTGCGTTTAAAATTTACGCCTAAAAAGAGATATTATACATGTTCGCGCGCGTATCGATGCTACATCCAGCCTCCTTTAGGCCTTTAACGCGACATCGAGATCAAGATCGATACCGCAGCCCACGTTCCATTACTTTTTGTGTACAGCAAACGTTCCCCTTCTTTCGGTACGTATCGTCGATTCGAATTTAAGCAGATTGAAACTGTAACTTGAAGTATATATACTTTTCCTACGCTTGCTGGTTCGCCTAAACTCCTTCCGTCTCAATCTTCTTTATATAGTCTTCCTGTCATCTTTATGGATTCGAAATTGTTAACAAGTTCAGAGACTATGCTTCACTCTTCACAGATCGTTCGTCCGCTGGCCTGGTGTCTCGGACTAGTTACAGACAAATGGCTTTCCACAAGTACAAAAAAGGATCGTTATCTATTTTTTTTCTTCTTCATACATCATGCAACTTTTTCATGTGTACGATTATGTGCCAATGCGTACGTGTGACGTTCAAGTCACGAGAGGAATTTTTAGATAATATTACGTATCTCATTTCTGTAACGGTGTACTGTATTATGCATTAATAATGTTATCACTAACGCAAGATTCTCGATAGTAATATTTTTTGTTTTAGTTAATGTAGCTTTATCTGTAGTAAATGTACTGATGGTGACGGTAATGGTGGGATGTTGTATAGTCAACAGCTGAAGCTACCTATCCCAAGGAAGGAAAGTCATTCTCGTCGTCTACCTTCGGAGCGTTTTGACGACTTCGCGGCGACCTCTGCTCGTTCTGTGGCTACAAACAGAAAGCACAGATCATTTTTACATTCTCTTTCTCTCGTTTTTTTTTTTAATGTTCAATAATTAAAAAATGTAGAAATCTTTATATGTGTATATTTGTATATAATGTGGGATACCCACGCGTGTATCACCGTCTCTGGGAGCACCACGGTTCCCAAATCCACGTCCGTTCATGCGGTCGCCTCCACGACCGCGGCCACCTCGACCGCGACCACCGGCACCGCGTCGTGAGTCACTGAATTGGATCTCGATGCCTAACACACGTTTTTGCCTGCCAACGCGCTGAGGATACTCCGCAGCCGCGTCGTAGTCCTCCTCCTCTTCCTCCTCTTCTTCGGTACCCTCCTTCTTCTTCTCAAGAGCGTACATTTTCTTCCAACGCGTCAGATCCTCACCTTCGCCGGCCTTTCGCAAATTGTATTGAGGCTTCGCTCTGTTACTCCGCAGAGCTTTCCATTCGTCCAGGGTGAGTTCGCGCGTTTCTTCCTCGGCCGGTTTCTCCTCAACAGTCGCATCCGCGGTTGTTTCTCCATTCTTAACCTCGGTTGGCGCTTGAGGATCAGCTTCCGGCTTATCATTAGCCCAATCTTGACTATCTTGATTCAGGCTCTCTCTAAAAAAAGACAGAAAAGAATAAAGGTCAAGATATATTATCATTTTTATTCAAAAGCAACTATTGCGGAAAACGCCAACTACCTTGAATTACTTACTCTATTTCGTCATTATGAGTACCCCAGTTATGGCTGCCAGCACCATCTTTTTTATCCACTGGTTTAATTCCACTGTTAATAGACAAATGTGGAATAGGCTTTAAAATTATAGTGCACCAATCAAGCTACGCGTAGCATTACACTGTTACATAATTAACCCTCCGTTTGTATATGTGGGTCTACGACGTCCGAGCCAAAATGATATCTGTTCGTAACTGTAAAACTTGCAAGCCTGCCAGAAAATATTATATAGACTATGTTTATCGAAATAACTATAAAATCGTCAACTACAATATGGACAGACGTTTTGTGAATTTTTTCAGATTTAAAATACTTGAAGTAAGAAAAAAATAGCGTCAAATGTGACACAGACCCACGTATACACTCCGAGGGGACAAAAAAAAACGTATACAGACGGAGCGTTAACAATGCGTGCCTCATTACAAATGCTTCAGTTGAGAACTTGACATTCCTGTTTATTAACATGATTAATGTAAAAAAATTAAATTATTCGACAAGCTATCTGTGAGCATTCACCATCGTGTGTGTAACATAAAAATATAATACCACAACACTAGAAAGAAACAAACAAAATTAAGCATAAAAATACAAATACAAAGCAGAGTGGGAATGAATTCAGACTGCATTTGTCGGTGCTCTGAAAAGAATACGATTGAACGTAACAATAACCTTGATACAGTACACACACCGAGGCAAGCATTATTATATAGAGAGATATTCGAGTGTAATGTCTCTGTGTGTAGTGTATGCATCCGCGCGCGTGTGTGTGCGTGCACGTTTTGATACTTACGTTTTATCAGAACCGGACTGACGATCGAACTCGCGTTTGCCGCGATTATCGAAGCCGCCGCGTCCACCACGAGGGCCACCACGTCCGCGACCCATGCCACGCATACCACCGCGGCCACGGCGCTCCCCATATTCGCCGCGTTGAGTCTCGGTCGAGTTTCGGAACTCGCGGGTCTCGCGGCCTTCACTGAAATGAAACGGAATATGCAACTGTTACGAATGCGAAAAAATATTTCAAGTTTAGGAATCTGGACAATTAAAAATACTGATGGACCTGCCATCGCGCTAGCCATATTTCGCTTCTGCCGTTGCATATACATGATGCATAAAATTTGCTCGAGCATTTAATCGAAACAGTGCTATCGTGTTATCATGTTTATGTATCTGACATACACGTATACATATATAGCGCGCGCGCGCACATGTTGTCTTGGAACTATTTCTTGTTTTTAAGATTTTAGTAACTCGGGAAGCTGGATAGCTCGGTGACGAAGCAATCGTTTGTTAATATAAAGATCCGAGTTCGATCCCCAGGTCCGGCATCCCACATAAGGACAAGTTACAGACAAATGGCTTTCCACGGATACAAAAAAGGATCGGTCTTTGCTATTTGTTTTTCTCCTTCATTACGGAATGTTTCATGTACAATTATATGCTAATGCACACGTGCATAACATGAATTCACGTAATAGAAACAAAAACAAATCGAAAGAGACTGGAAAGTACAAAATCTTATCGCGAATAGATCTATATAAAGTATGGTATACATTGTTTCAGTTGGAAATTTGTCATATTACTTAGAGAAAGAAAATACTTGAATTTTCGAAAATACAATATTTCGTTACTAACATAAATAACGAAATGTATTAGAAGGTAACAAATATTCCAAGACAAAACGATCAAAGTACGATCATATAAGATTATCTTAATATCTTTGAATATCTTATCTTAAACTAATAAGATAATCTCAATTAACATATTTCTACATGCTTCTTACATTATCAATTAGATAAATGTATAAAATTCAACTATTAAAATTAAGTAAAATACCCAGGAGGTCCTCGTCTGAACTCTCCTTGTCCTCGCAGCGTCCTTTCTCCGTCTTCCCGGTTACGCCTGTTGTTCCGTTCCTCCCGGGATTCTCCGGAGAATTTGACGTTGCGGTCGCCTCCGCTCGCTCTTGGCTGCGCAGGCTTCTTATCGGCTGAGAACATTAACACACAAATGTAAGAGTGCTTGCTCTTCATAAACAAGTACTGCTCTCAAGTGAGAGAATTTCAATTAACCATGTTTCTACATGCTTCTAACTTTATCAATTAGATAAATGTATCAACTTTAAATTCATATTAAAATTAAATAAAATTACAAGCACTTTGATGCACTATTTCAAAAGAAAAGGAGAGACGTATGTTTATGTATCTTGGAAAAAAAAAACGGTTAAAATTTACAATTTGCTAACAAGAGCCGCAAACATGGTTCTTGGTTATATAAAAAAACTTTTATTGAGAGGACTGTGTCCTTTCATATCCTTTAACGAATATTTCCTCAAAAGATGGGTTTTAATTAAAACAGTTTTTTTTTTTCACAATTAAAACGCAAGTACACAAAGACTGGGGGAATGGACATTAGACTTTCTATGGTGGTTAACCGTGCACGTTGTTCTTATCTACACACATGGTGGTTCATAAATTCAATATCACGTACAGAGATAGAGATATCGCGCAGCAACAGAACAGGATCTCACGATATACACCTGCAATCATTCTTAAGACATCTCGATGCAGATATTGCCATGTGAGAAGCATACCTGGAGAGAGTTCGCGCACCGGATTTTGACTTGGATCGTGTACCGAGGCAACCGAGGTCCCCGCGCGCGGGTCATATAAGACCGTCACGGAACCGGCAGGCGCGAGCCTATTTTTAAGGCGCACAAATCATTTTTAGAAAATTTGGTGTCAGACACGGCGGACGGTCGCTTCCACGGAAGGTGCGGCGTCTCGTTCGCGGCCAGGCCACTCGCCGAAGACGCCGAATCGCGGCGTGGAGCTTGGGATCGATCGGGAAGGCGGGCGACGACGGGACGGACGTCAGACGGAGGAACGTTGGCGTCGGGGAAGATGGTAGAGCACATGGGTGCCGGACGGCCATGGCGCGCACACGAGGCCGGAGGCGCCGCACGCCGCACGCCGCACGGGCCGGGAGGGAGGGGGCTAGGCTAACCTTGATCCTTTTTGGCTTCCTGCGCCTTCGACGGCGGCTGCTGGGCGTCCTTGATGACGCGGCTCTTCTGCGTCTTGTTGTTGGCGGTCTTCTGACCGTCCTGCTGTTGCTGTTGCTGCTGCTGCGGCTGCTGCTGCGGTTGCGGCTGCTGCTGCGGTTGCTGCTGCTGCTGCTGCTGTTGATGCTGCTGTTGCTTAGTCTTGTTCTCCTTCTCCGAGATCCTCTCCTTCTTCTTCGCTTCCTTCTCCTGCTCGCGCACTTTTAGCACCTCCAGAGGGTCCTCGCCCTCGTCGAGCGCGAGCAGGAACTTGTTCGTGACCGTAACTGTGTACTCGTTCTCCATCTTGGCTCGATATCCTCACGGCGTCGAGGATCTTGCGAAGGTTTCACGGCTACTCTTGAGCCTCTGTGTAACGGAGTCATTCACTATCCAATATGGCCGAGTCGGAGAGCCCGAGTCCACCACGAGGTCTACCCCGCTGCGGCACCGTGCGGATCCGTGGGGGAGGGGGGGCCGAGCGAGGAGGGCGGCGAGCGGCGAGGGACCGGGCGGACGTGCCGTGCAGCGAGCGCGCCACCTCCCCCACCAGACGTACCGTGCTCGCTCGAAATAACGTTCGCGTGCCGGTCCGTCGTCCGCGGGGACGTGGAAAAATTGCGCCGTGAATTTTCGCGCGGCCCGATCCGCCGGGTTCCAGAGCCGCGACGCTCGAGGAGACTCTCAACTGTTCGTAATCCGGCCGCCGGGCCGGACGTGCCGGAAAGTCGCGCGATTTCCATGAGACCGCCGACGACGGCGACGACGGCCGCGCCACCAGTCTCGAGTCTCGAGGAAAATTGAGGAATAATCGCCTGCGCGATCGGTGTTTCTCGATCGCGTCTCGAGATATGAGAGACGATCGTTAAATAAATTATTCACTGTTCCCGTAAACGCCTGCGAGTCCTGCGACGCGGGCGAGGTGTTCCGCTTTCGTACGGCGGCGCGTGACGTCACGCGGCCAATCGGTGTCGGCCGAGCGGTGTTGTCCAATCGGTGCCGGCCAATCGACGCTCACCGGAAGTCGTCGAGCATCGAGCGTTTTGCGACGCCACGATAGTGGACAGGCGGCGGGTTTACAAACTCATCCGACGTACCCGGTTCCAGTAGAGTTTGTCAAATTAAACGAAATTTTAATTTTTTTCTTCAATACTCTTGATCTACTCGTATTTCATGTATAGCGATCGAGAAATCGCGCGCGTTTGAACGCTTATATGCAAAGTGGAGCACCCAGGTCCCCCCAGGTGTCCGCGGAACCGCAGGCGACTGACTGTGGCCAAGATGGGCAAGATGAGAGATCGCGACCGAGATCAGTCAATCACGAGCCCAGAAATACAGAACGCCCCGCGCAAGATGGATTTATTTTCCCAGTTGGTTGCGTTTGCACGCGGGCGGATGGCGGGTGCGCGCGCAAGCACGACGACCATCTTGGGCGACTCGCGCGTACTCGTGTGCGTATTTTGGCGGTTTACCAGTTGCACGCGGCACGCGTACCACGACCACGCGCGCGGCGGCAAAGAGGTCGCGCGTGTCAAGTTAGTAATCCAGTTGGTGGGTTGCCGCGATCGCATCGCATCGCGTATCGCGTAGCGAGTAACGAGTAGATTGAGTGACAACGTTTTGCGGCAAGTGTACCGCGCGTGTGTGAGAGAAAACCGAGGCGAACTGAGGTGAGCGAGAGGTGAGAAGGCGAGAAGAGCCAAGAGCCGCGAGCCGCCACGGCCGACGGAGTGGCAGCGCGCGCCGCGCCGCGCCGCGACGATGGAGCTGCACACGCCGAAACGGGAGCCGCGGCCGTCAGCGGAGTCGCTCGACCGCAGTCCGTCGATGTGCGACACGACGCTCTACCCCTGGAACTGGGGCGAGGAGGCGCGCAACGTGAACCTGAGCCCGGGCAGCTCGTGCTCCTCGCCGGAGTACCGGGAGCAGCACGTCGCGGGACTGGAGGCGAGTGGCGGGAGCGCGAACGGTAGATCGGCCGCCGGCAACGGTTCCGAGAGCCACCGGCGCGGTCGGCCGCGCGCCGACGCACTCACGAATCTCATGAAGCAGGGCAGCACGTCGCCGAGCAGCATCAAGTGCACCTTCTGCAACCGGGTGTTCCCGCGCGAGAAGAGCCTGCAGGCGCACCTGCGCACTCACACGGGTAAAAGTCCATTTCTCCCGCGACGCCGACGCCGACGCCGACGCCGCAACGCCGAGAAGCCGCGCGCTGCTTTATTTCAACCTCCGCCAACCTCTCCGCGATCGTCGCGCGCGCGTCCCGCCACGCGGCCATCATGCCGCGCTTTAAATACTTAAATGGCTCGCCTCGCGTCACTCGCGTGCCGGCGCGGCGCGGCGCGGCGCGGCGCAACGCGTGGACGCGTCTCCGACCCCGACCCCGACTCGCCAGGCGGTCGCGGCTCGTCGGTTGCGCGCGAAATTTACGGCACGGCACGGCGACACGTGTAAAACGAGCGACGGCCGCGCCGAGTGTTGCATGAGAATTTTAATTGCCGGGGAGGGGTGGGCAGGGAAGGTCCGACGGTGTACGTGCGCCGTGCGCCCACGTTCCCGTCGGTCCGTTACGGCACCAAGTTGCGTGCGGTCTTTGTCTACGAACAACAAAAAAAGGACGCGGCCGCGGCGACGCTTTTCCGCTTTGCGGCGTGCTGAAAAACAAAGTTTTTCGAAAATGTTACAAACGTTCTTGAATGCCGTGTTCTTTCTCTCATGACGGGACTGATCGAATAGAGTAAACTAATGTTTGGCAGATATTTAAATGCCAGATACATAATAAAATCTTTTTTCTTGGTTCATTATTATATCAAAGATTGAGCTGTGTATTAATCGTTTTAAAATTGTTTAAACATTTTGATAATTGGTATTTTGTGATTACAGTTGTTTGAAAAAATTAAAATTTAGCATGCTCAAACAAAACATGTACATGTACAAATAAAATTCCGTTTTGTATTTTATAAATTATGAAATAGAGGAATGATGATTCATAATTTATTTATATGGCGACGGAGATGACAGTTTGATGAAATATAATAAAACATTTTTGTGTTATGACCACACAGGAGAACGTCCATATCCGTGTGACTATCCTGGATGCATGAAGGCTTTCACCCAATCGGGACAACTCAAGACTCATCAACGATTGCATACTGGAGAGAAGCCATTTTTATGCACCGAACCAGGTTGTGAGACGAGATTCACTCATGCCAACAGACATTGCCCTGATCATCCTTATGCCAATCTTACGAGATCGGACGATTTTGTACTAAAGCCAGTGTCCGAGAACACGGACGTGCCATACGATGTAAGTCGATGGTTGGAGCGTTACAAGATGTCCAGGGAACGAGAAGATCGAACTCCGACTGGGAAGAACGATCGAAAAAAGAAGACGTGGAAGAGCACCGCCGAAAATCACAAGAGGATAAAATCCAGAAAAGGCCTCATGATGGATATAGCGGGGGAGCAGGAAAATCTCGATCGCACGCCGTCGAATCAGCGGTTGCGCTGTGGGGAGAATCAGGACAGTCAGGAGGAGGAGAGCCAGGATGAGGATCCAGCGGAGACGTGCTGCGCGATACTGCAAACATCCGAGGATGAGGAAGCGTCGAGCGCCAAGTTAGCCATCAGCTCGCTGAGAAGACCCTTGGACAGACTACAACCAAAGAAACGATGGCTACGATATGCTTGCTTGGAACAGCAGCTAGACCTAAATGAGGACGTTAAACCTAACAACGTAACGGCCGTACGCAAGATTGACGAGAAACAAATTCTGAGCGGGTTTACAGACGCGCCGCCGCCGCCGCCGCAACTCCAGTGGTACACGACATTCTTGGACACGTCTGTCACGGATGATACATCTGCATCGACTCTGAATATCAAGCTGGAAAGTCCGCGTGCGCAACAGTTGGAACCTTTATATGCTGCTTCTGAAATGTCCTGCATGATAACGCACAACGACGACGCGCCAAGAACAGCGGAGGAAAATGTATACGTGCAGCCTCTGAACCATCCAGAGTGGAACTCGCTAACTTGCTTGTCAAATGATCCAAGTATTTTTCAACCTAATATTAACGAACCCACCGTAACGATTCAAGGTTCTGAAGTTACATGTTCGCATTTCGATTACGCGGAACAGATCGTTCATAGAGAGGCACGGAATCGGGATATGCTGGCGAGCTGTTGTATCAGCGAAAACGAAACCAGACCGACGGTACTGATGTTGGCTGGTAGTTCTAATAACAAGGAACGTGTTCCAAAACCACCCGTTGTAATAGATCCTGTGAAAACGGAGACGGAAATAGTTGGCGTTGAGCAGCAGGACGATATGAGCATAGCTAACGTACCGGTACAAGAAGACAACCAGAAATGGCAGGGTGCTTTGGCATTGATGGAATTAGCTAAGACGCAAGAAGAGGCGAGGATCTTGGCATGTCTTGATCATAATGTAAGAGACGAATGTTCCGTGGCTTCAGACGTACCATTATAGCCACATACGCAGACTGTGATTACAGGTTATTGTAACTTTGTTATTTTTATATGCAAGAAGAAGAGCGACGAAAAGCTGTCCACTCATGTAACACAGTCCATTTATCGGCATACAAACGTAAAAGCAATCTCTTGCTGTGAAACACATCTGTTTTCTTTCTTCGATTTATTGATTACTTAAACTTTTATTATTATTCTTACGTGATGACGTGTGTTTGTTTTAACTCTGATGGCTTTCTGAATTTTTTACGTTCATGTGTTAATTATTATCTATATATAGAATATTGATGAAAACAGGGTAAGCCTGTTTTACCGTTACAATCAATTTTCTTCCATACGCTTAGAAAAAAGCAAATGTGTCTCATAGGATTAAAAGGAATCTTATTACTTATTTTTACTGCATAATAATCGTTTTTCACACAAATCGATTTAAAAGAGTATTGTAATTAAGTTTGTTTTGTTTTGTTAGCGCAAAACCGCAGACGTGTAAACATGCATGTAAGCACATATTTACATGTTTATTTTTTTTTTGCTCCACAGTTTATTGTTATTATATTATAGTAGAGACTTGTGTGATACTTGATTTAAGAATAATAAATACGAGAATGAAAGAATAAAAGTGTCAACAACATTGACGTGAGTTTATTAAGTATTTAAATGGAACAAAATCAACGACTATTTATTAAGTATAATAAAAAGTAAGTTTAAATCCCGAATTTAATTTTCATCTATTCGAAATAATTTATGAGCATGTGAAACCAGCACGTTGAATGTAATACATCTTGGATTATTTATGAAATCTGATTTTTATTAAAAATATTTATTTAATCACGCTATGGAATACACGCAGTAGTCTTTTGTCGAAACCATCTAAATCTTCCAAAATTTTATGGAACGACGTACAAGTATAGAATTTTTTGGAAAATGCAGATTCTACATCAATATGTTTTCGCGATAATTTTTTTCAGACCAGACCAGAGATTGTATCTTGTCGACGCCTTGCACCATGATCTTCATTATTCTTAAGTAACGTGATATTTATCTGATGCATATTGTTTATTCGTTAATGATGTGCCCGTGTTTTCTTTTTTTTTCCAATCATCTGGTTTTAAAGAATATTTTTACGTGACTTTTTTCTATTTGAGTACGTGGAGATGATGGAGATGAGCACAAACTATATATCATCTGAGGCATTCCAAATTATATCAGTCCCGGGAATGTCTAGATAATTAATCTAATGTTTTCACCGTAGATTTAATACTATAGTTGCATTAATAGTTTTACATATTACATGACACTAATCGTAAGTATGTGACAAATATATTAAGTCTAAATATATTTCATCCGTATCTAAATACACGTGCACTTCTGACAAGTATTCCAGTATATATTTACAAAATAATCATTAAAATATTTGATATCCTTATCACGTGCTGACAATCTGTCTAAAATGTATGCTTATCCTCACAATTAAATGCTTCACGTGTATAATTTTTATGCGGTATCTGCATCAGTTATAATTCTCTGCATTCATCAAGAATAATATCTTAATCAAAAAATTCATGGTGTCACTTTCAGAATTGTATAAATTCTCATTCTCATAATTGTTTCTCTCTCATTCTGCTCATTCGTCTGTCATGTATAATAGCATCGCAAATATATTATCAATCAGTTCATTGTCGGCGGGTCGCACACGGATATTCATCTGAAAGATTAAACAATGAGATTGCGTGTTTATAGATGAAGATGATATTTTAAATGATAAGGAGTGTACCTCAATATCCTTCGGCACGTGCTCTGACTATATCAATTTCGTTCGCGTTTCAATTTTTGCCTGCACCTCGTCAATATCTCGGAATGTAAGAACGTCGGCTTTATTAAAATCCCATTATACCTGTCATTCCTTCGTGACGGAATGCTGAAATTGCCGATCACTTTCGACATTTTGTTATCGCGTATAACATGTTAACATCGATGAGAGATTTGTTTTGCTAGGTGGGATTTTAAACTTTTGTGACGCATTGGGCGCGTTCAGCAGACTAAACCGCTCAGTAGCATTCGAACGTGATTGTCTCTTACTTTTAGAACCAACCAATCAACGTATTGTGTTGATAAGACGAACTCAACAGTTGTGTCTGCTGAACGCGGCCATTATGCTAGATCTACAATGCGAGTCGTAAAGTCGTGAGTCGTAAGAATTGACCAATCACAGTCGATTATTCTTCTCAAATTCGATTGTGATTGGTCAATTCTTACGACTCACGATTTTACGACTCGCATTGTAGACCTAGCATTATTTTAAAAATTTGCGAGTGTAAACAATGTTTTTTTTTTTCTTCAGATTCTCGCCGAATAACGAGGTTTTGGATGCTTTCAACTAGAGATTATACGCTAAACATATGAGTTTCGATTGGCTGACAGAAGAGCGACAGACGCGGCGTGAGAGAGGCATCGATGAAAACGCGACATAAGAAGAGCGAAAGAGAGAAAGGAGAAGGGCGTATAGTGACGTCACGATCGGCGTGCTGTTCTTTCCTGCTCCTTCCACTCTTTCCAGCTAACCAGGCTAACCCTAACCTTCGTTGACGTCGGTTGGCTGAGTGACTCTGTATGTAGCTTTTTTCAACTACGATTAAAAGATTAGATCAGTCAAAATGGTTTCGAGGGCGACGTCGAGAAGGATTCCCGAGGCGGAGCCGCGTATAGACTACGTGCAATGTGACGGGCTGGTGGTGATGAAGATGGTGAAGCACTGTCACGAGGAGTCCTCCGGCAACATGGAGGTCGCCCAGGGCGCTCTTCTCGGCCTGGTCGTGCAGAATCGTCTGGAGATCACCAACTGTTTTCCGTTTCCCAAGAACGACGAGATCATGGACGAGGAGGAGTATCAGCTTGCCATGATGCGAAGACTGAGATGGTGAGTATTCAAGAATGTCACCGTACCATGTACGGTGTGCCTTGGACGGCAAGGATATTATTTTGTTTAATGATGGGCAGGGTGAACGTTGATCACTTCCATGTCGGTTGGTACCAGAGCGCAGACGTCGGCAATTTCCTGAATCTGTCTCTGCTGGAGTCGCAGTACCACTACCAGACTTCCATCGAGGAATCGGTCGTGCTTATTTATGACACCGCAAAATCTGCCAGAGGTTTCCTGACGCTTAAAGCGTACCGACTCACTCCGCAAGCGATACAGATGTACAAGGAGAATGAGTTTACTCCAGAAGCTTTGCGTACCTTGAAAATTGGATACGAGAGTCTCTTCGTTGAGATCCCGGTAGTCATAAAAAACAGTAATCTGACGAATATCATGATGTCCGAATTGGACGAGATGATTCCTGAGGAACAGGGTACCAAGTACCTGGATCTTGGAACGGCCACGGTATTAGAAAACCAATTGAGATGTTTAATGGATCGAGTGGATGAATTGAATCAGGAAGCGATGAAGTTCAACAGATATCAACAGTTGGTGGTTCGACAGCAGCAAGATAAGAATAGGCTGCTGGCCAAGAGAGCTCAAGAAAACGCTGCCAGGGCCGCAAAGGATGAACCGCCGTTACCTGATGACGATATCAATAAGTTGATGAGACCTCTACCAGTCCCACCAAGGTTAAATCCAATGATTGTCGCTGGACAAATCAACACGTACAGTGAACACATTTCGCAATTCTGCGCTCAGAGCTTAGCAAAATTGTATATCACTCAAAGCCTGCAAAACGCAAAGGAGGCAAAATCTTCTCATTAATAAGATTACTGTACTGTACTGTATTACGAATATCTGTAACATTCGAAGAATGTACTACACATAAATAAATGAAAGACATGTACACGTTTTTCAAGAATTTCCATTCGTTTTTTTATTTATTGTACTTTTTTCAGATTGAGTATTATATCCATAAATAAAGAACCGTTATAATACACTATGATACAAATATTTCTGATAACATTTAATAGTTGAATAAACTATAGCATGTATATAATTTGAAAACTATTCATATTTGTCATCAACTTTTTTCCTTCGAAGCATTCAGCTGCCAAATCTTTGGTAGAACATCACCGCATCTTCCTTTTATTCTCAAATCTACAGATTTATCGGCTCTAGTTTCGCCAATGTTTACTATTGCTATCGGCTTCTTGGCATCACGCGCTTGCAGGACAACCCTGTACGCGGAGAATGTGCTGAGAGATGTTCCCAGAATTAGCAAGGCATCTAAACTCTCTATATTAGCCTTTACGTTTTGCACCGTATCATGTGGCACATTGTCCCCAAAAAATACAATATCGGGTTTTAAAATGCCACCACAGTTATCGCAAGCAGGAACATTGAAGCCTTCTACTTGGGCCTGTCAAATATATTCCGTTATCAAAATAATATTTATAGTATTTAAAAACATTGCAAGTATGACTGTCATATGTATCATGTACCTGTGACACGTCTACGTCACCGTCGGGCCTTATCATCTGGGCAGTTGCAATCATAGATGGATTGAGTTTTTGAAACGTTCTTTGAAGCTCGTATCTACATATTTTATGATCGCACGTAAGACACATGACTCTGAATGCTGTTCCATGTAACTCGATCACCTCCTTACTTCCCGCCTTTGAATGTAAATTATCTACATTCTGTGTAACAATACATCCTACCTTTCCGACATGTTCCGAGTGTTTCAGTATCTCGTGCGTAATGTTTGGTTTGAGAGAGGAAAATCTAGAAATACACAGCTGATAAGAGATGTCGATATGTTTCTATGAATTTTTTAAAATAACGCAGGAATGTCTGAGCTACAGAAAGACAAACCTTGGCCATCCGATATAATTTCTGGCCCAGTATCTTCTTCTGGCTGTCTCACTGTTGCAAAATTCCTTATAAAGCATCGGTTTGTGCGTGCTCCGGGCGTAAAGACCAACCTCGGCCGATCTGTAATCAGGGATACCGCTTTCCGTGGATATTCCTGCCCCGGTTAACACGCATAGACGTTCATGTTTATCGACGAATTCCTTCAATCTCGTCACATCCTCCGTTGACGCTGGATCACATTTTGGAACGAATGCGAGGCTCGACAAATGCGCTGCAAAGGATATACTCATAAATAACGATAGGGCACAGAGTCGTAACAAGATGTTTGCGTTAAATTATTTTTATTTTTAATAGATATTGTCCAACACTATTAAAAATAAAAATAATTTAACGCAAACACCTTGTTGCGGCTCTGTGCCCTATTGTTATTTACGTTTGATCAACCATGATCTCTCGTTGGACGGAGTAGGGATATCTTAACGCAAGAAATCTCTGCACGCGATGTAATACGTAGACTCGATTATTATTTTAAATTAGATTAGACTCCAAACAAACTTTAGTCGTTTAAACGAACATAACCAAAGCATACACTTACGATATAATCTTTCTGACGGAACACTCGTAAGAATTAGTTTCGCGTTACGGCAAGTACACCTCACGATCATGATGAAATCTATAAATTATCATTCTGTCATCATATCATATTCTTCGTCATATCTTATCATATAAATATCAAAAATGCACATATGCGTCAACACGTGTGAGGTGTGAGTCGTGTGTCGTGTGGCTTTTAAAGGTGGAAGCACATAAAATTGCAGGAGCCATAGGCCTAGTTTACACCGATCTCTTGATACGCGTATCAAATAGTATATTTGAACTGATCAGCCAATAATCAGACTTATTTACTAGTTATTTACTATTTAATACGCGTATCAAGTGATCGATGTAAACTAGGTCATAAGCAGAAGGCAGAAGCCATATGCGCATGCGCTATGGTATTTATAAAGCTCTACAGATACCATAGCGCATGCGCATATGGCTTCTGCCTTCTACTTATGGCTCCTGCAATTTTATGTGCTTCCACCTTAAAGCCCCTTGCACAATGCCAGGCAACAGGCAATAGGAACAGGAAATAACCAAAAAATCGTTAATTACAACCTAAAAAATTCAAATGCTATGATTGGTTGGCAATAGGCAATAGGCACAGAATTTCCAACGTGACGGAAACTCTGTGTCTATTGCCTGTGTCACTGTTTATTCTGCATTTATACATGATTTCTGATTTCTATTCCCTGTTCCTATTACTTGTTGCCTGACATTGTGCAAGGGGCTTAAATCCTATTCTTCGCTTCGCGACATGGGAGACCGTCGAATCGCCATTGGCCGCGTTTGGAAAACACAACGATTCTCGATTGGCCAATAGCCATCGCTCGGAAGCGCTCGCCAATCGCGGGCTTTCCGAAACATTTCCGTATATATATTTTGATGCGGGTGCAGACTCGAATTTCAATTTCACTCAGCGATATTCCTATGGTATATGTCACGTGCACTATAGAGGGGAATCGGAACGCACCCCTGACTCCTGAGAATCAAGTGCACCAAGTACACTGAATATGTTGGTGTGATCGAGAGAAACTCTCTCGACTCTCGCGCTCTCCGGATCGAGTCGACCCGCGCCCCGATTGGCCGATCGCACAGTGTCCGCTGCTTCGCGCGTGTGATTTGTGAATGGGCTTTTATCGTCGACGAATGCCAGTGGCCGACGGCCCCGTCGAACCCTCGTCGACGACAGCGCCTTCCTCGTATCGCCTGTCCCTTTCCACATCGTGTTCCGGGAACTTGTGCCGTAAACTCCATCTCCCTGTTTCCGATCCCCCTCGGCCAGGGCCAGAAACCGTACGGCGTACGGCTAGCGTTGCGTGGGATCGCGGTGGCAGGAGCCAGGAGCAGGAAGACAGGCAGACGCAGGCAGCCAGGTGATCGAGTCAAGAGTCGAGCTCGGAAGAAATCAACGGTGACAAAAGTTGGGAATCGCGCGCCAGCCATTTTCTATTTTTGCATAGCAGACGCGAGTCGCGACTGCCGAGTGCCGAGAGCCAAGTCAGCGAAGAGAACCCAGTGCGTTTGGTGCGTTGCGCGCGCGCGTGTGTGTATGTGTACACGGGATACGGGTACGGGGCCCCGTTTATCTCGTTGCGTGTGATACACGGCGATCGTCGGCGGACGAGAGCTGCTCTGCGCTACGCGAGACCGTGTTGTGACATGAGATGACCGTGCGGCGACACGCGACAGAGATCTCCCGCGATCCAGTGCCACTCGCAGAATCGTCCGAGCCCGTCTCGCTCGCGCGGCTACGCGTGTAAACTCTCACTCTCCGTTTCTCCTCTCGCGGAGTCGCGGACTCGCGTGCACGCTCCCCCCTTTATTCCAGTGAACACGCTCCTCGTTGCTCCTCATTCTCTCTCTCTCTCTCTCTCTTTCTCTCTCTTTCTCTCTCCCTTTTTCTCCGTCTTTTCTCTTTCTCTCCGTCTGTCCTCTTCCCCTTCTCTCGTCCCCTCCTCTCCCCTGTCCACCATTCGCTCATCTCTACGTTGAAACGCTCGGAAAAAGAGGTACACATCGCCCTATCGAGGCTTCGTCGATCGCTGGTCGAGCCGCGACACGTAGAAGGGAAAACCAGTCTGTGATAATAAACAGTACTAAGCAATATATATGCATATATATATATATATATTTAGAGGTGTAAACTAATACGTGTAAAAGGTGCGCGTGCTCCCGTGGTATTTGTGTGCGTGTGAGTGTGCGAGGTAGCTAGAACGCGATCGTGCGCGTCCCGCGTGTACGTGTGTATTCGCCGCGCGCGCGCGCGCGCGCGCTCTCCCGTCCGTCTGTACGTGTGCGTGTGTGTGCGGTGGGTGTTACGTACCACCGCTATCGCTCGTGTATATGGTATACGAGAGACATAGATAGAGATCGCATCTCGGGGAAGATAGCGAATCACAGGGAACTGAGGGAACGGTACGCCGGTATCCGCGCAGGACACCCCATCCTACCCTCCGCCGATCGACGAAGGCCGACGCGATCAACATCAATCAACATCAACGACGCGATGTCCGTCGAGGCTGTGACAAGTGACAAGCAGCAGCAGCAGCAGCAGCAGCAGCCGCCACCGCCGACGGCGACGACCACCACGACGGCGGCGACGACAGGAACGGCGACAACGGCTGCGACGACGACGACGACAGCGACGGCGGCAACGACGGCGACCGCGACGACGACGGCAACGGCAACGGTGGCGAAGAAGCAAGAAGGTAAGAAGTCAACATTAATTTGCTTTTCCGCTCCTCGGCTCCGAGACGACGACGCTGACCAACGCTGACAACCGCGACGAGAATCTCCGGTCTCCCGAGATCTCGATCGTTATCGACGTCAACGACGTCGGGAGATAACCTCGCAGGTTCGTTCGTTTATGGGAGTCGACGTGTTCGCTTTTTCTCTCTTTCGTAAAACATTTATATTCTCCGCACTGAAAACGGAGGAAACGTTGGATTGAGAGTACAGGAAGTGCAGGAAAACAAAGCTGACTCGGTGCTTCTATTCGTTTGTCGGGATAACGCTGACGATTCAAGTACACTCGCTCCATAGATTTGTAATGTTTCGTAGTGCATCTTCTGACCTGTCTGTAGATAAGCGTATAGTTAGAACCGACGTAAATGAAAAAATTCTTTTTTATCACTTTGTATTAATCTTGCTTGCTTCCTTCGTCTTCTTTGTCATCCTTTTTTCTAATTTCAAGATATTTAATACACAAACAAGGATGGCATTAGAATTTTGCCAATAATGTTCTTGCTTCCCCTTTATTATCTGTTTTAGAACCTATAGCATCGTTGGTAATACAGACTCTTTTGATGACGTCTGTTCTCTTTCTCGTATTACGTCTCATATTCTTACACAGAAGATGTATATAACATGTTTAAATATTTTACCGAATTAAGAAAATTCCATTCTTTCTTCAAAGTATTATATAAAGGATGTAAATAAATTTCTGGCTATCGAATTAAGAATATTCTTTCACGTGTGTTCTAATATCTAATTCTAATATATCCCATAGGATTTGTTTGCATGGCGTACGTGTGAATAAGTGTGCAGTTCTCTGTGCAGGATACGTGTACGTTCTAAAAGTCTCCCTGGAAAAGAATCAGTTATATTTAAATCATCTTCTCCCCTCCTCCTCCGTAGCCAATCAAGCGCTCACCTTATCTTCTTAAGAAAGCTTCGATTGGTTTGCGAGAGAGAGATATCTTGTTCGAAGACGGTTGGAATCAGTCAGTCTGCGCTGTACTCTGCTTCCACGACGGCTTACATATATTCCTTCTGTATCAAGTTGTGCGAGTGTGATATATACAGGCAGCGGATACGTAGAAAACTGACCGTATCTAACGTCGAATACGTATTTCGATAACGGAAATAAGGGCTATTCTGAGGTCCGGTGTGTTCGGAAAGTCGGACACGTAGCATATATTTTTCCTCTTTACGAAGAAACACGGGAAAAACGAGAGTTTATTTTTCTAAGCTGCTTTGCTCCAAAGGACAAGAAGGCCAGAGTCTACCTGAAATCGTTTCGCTGATTCCAAGGCCAAGGAAAGGAAAGGGAAAGAAAGATTCCGCGATACTTGGGTCTCGCTGGAGCTTTTTTTTGCATCGATTTTTTAAGGAGAGTGCTTTCACACAGAGACATATCTTTTGTGGGAGAATCTCTTATTTTCTAGTGACTCGCGCCGAACAACGTATTCGTGAAACGGGAATTTCAGAAATTTATTGACCCTCGTTTGCCCTTCACCTGTTTGTTTACATTGCCGAGACGGTTGCGCGAGGAAAAATAACGAACGGTTGGATAGAGCAGAGCGGCCGAACATATAAGAAAGGTATTCCTTTCGCGTTGCTCGCGTTTCGGCGCTTATTCGTGGCAGGACAAACGACATTACAATGAGACTCATCGCCGTCGATCGGTTTATCGGCTCGAATTGGTACCGCCGACCGCGGAAACGACCGCTGGTCGGCCCGACCGGGTCTCCTTTCTTGGACATCCTGGTCATGCAAACCAGATCCTGCCGTTGGTTCCGGAAAAACAAATCTGTCAATCCTCTAAAGCGAGTGACCTTCCGTAAGTACGAACGCGTTGTAAGAATCCGCGAGAATTCTTGGAATTCTCGGCAAATCGTTCTTGTTTTATTTCGCTGAGATTTGGTTGCTCAACCGGCGCGCGAAGCCGTCCGGTCCGCATTTTTCCACATTGCACGTATTTCCTTTAATTTTATTTTTTTTTTTTTGCTTACAGGAGATGAAGCCATTATATCAATGTCGGTGGCCGGTGAGGTGACTGACGCTTCGATCATGGAAGTAGGCCGTTCTAGACCACAGTTTCAATATTCTCGGGTAAATATCGTTTGTGCAAGTGTTGGAATTTCGCAAGATAATCTGTCCACGATCCATGCGATATATATATTATCATCTTTATGTTCTTTTTTTTCCAGGAGGAACTTATGCTGATAAAAAATTTGCGATTATCTAGACGTAGGCCTACATTCCTAGATGTCGCTTATAATAAGTGAGTTGAAAAGATTTAGGAAAATTTTTATCTTAAATAATCGAAATATATCAACGTGTTTGTCTCGCTAACCGCCAACACTTTGTTTCTCTTGCAGCTCGCGAGGCGTTTGGGATCCCGAACGCTGGCATTCAGATAGAAAGCGTAGCGATACACCCCCGAAAGAAGAAAGGACTGGACGTGGTGATCAAATCACTGAGAATCATAGTAAGCGACGTAATAATGGCGATCCACGAGACCGAATACGTAAAGAGCAAGATGGCATCGTTTTGAGCCCGCAACGAAGAAGTTTTAATTCGGGATGTTTCGTTAACGTGAATCAGCCACCAAGCCGGCGTCCGGAGAGCCCGATTGGCAAAACAGAGGTACGAGTCCCTTTTCCTGAGAGATGTGCGCGTTCCTGCGTTTTTCATTTACATCGCTTTGTATTCTGTTTATAAACACACGTATGAAATACTTCATAGGTCAGTCATCGTGAACCTGTTCGTCGAATCGGTAGCGGCAGGATTTTGACACGAGATATATGGGACTTTAGAGCGGAAAATGAAAAGATGGAATCTGAGCGTGCAGATTATGGTTTTAGATCAGGCACGGCTGCTGGTGGCTCTCTGCGTGATCGTGATAATAGAGATAATCGTGACGGAAAGGAGCGGGACAGGGATCGCGACATGCGGGAAAGGGAACGCGACGGTCTGCGGGAGCGGGACGACAGGTTTGAGCGGAGATCATTCGGCCGGGATTATGGGGATCGTGGCGAGAGAGAGCGCGATCGTGGCGACAGGGGAGTGGAGCGAAATGAGCGGAACACGCATCAGATGGATCGCGATAAGGATCGCGGACGCGACAAGAGATTCGGCACGGATCGTCGACGAACTTACAGTGATACTCGTGATATGGACGAACCAGAATGGTTCAGCTCGGGACCTACGTCTCAACACGATACGATCGAGCTCAGAGGCTTTGAGGATATTCCCGAGGAGAAGGTAATGATGAGCAGCGGTAATGCCAAGAGTAAGAAACAAACCCCCGCGCAAAAGAAACGGGGCAAGAGGAATGCCACAACAGAGAAGGATGACAAACCGAATGAGAATTCGGCGGGTCCTAAAGGACGCAGCACTCCGACCGTTATGGATCAACCTATGAACGCTGTGCAGGCACCACATTCTCCGATTTCCGAACAGACTGAGCCACCTGTCACACGACAGAACAAAGAGAACGACGTCAGCGAGAGTACCGTCACTGAGCCAACGTCCGAATCGAGAGAGAACTCCAGTGCAAATCAGAATCAAGAGGATTCGCATCCCGATTTTAATCTGGATGAGTTCCTGAAATCTGATACGTTCTCCGGCGTCTCTGGTCTGTTGACGGTGAGTCGGCGTCTCTTTAATCCATTTGTAATATTCATGTCTCAAACATTTGAGATTACTTAATTTTTTTACGTCATTCAAGCACGTGTTTTCTTTTTATGTATAGAATGGTGTTGGCTCGAATAGTGGTACTGGGTCGCGATTCAGCCAATGGTTCAAAAGAGAAAGTCCAGTTCAGCAGGCGGATAGTCGTAGAGCTTCCATACAAGATGAATTGCTGAACAATTTATTGAATGACATCACCGAGCCAAATATTCAAATACCATCGGTGACGGAATCAAACACCTACTTTGCTCCAATTTCTCCGGCCACGATGACCAATAACACGACCACAAACGGCGTAAAACTACTCGAAATGTTACATCGCGGTAACAAGCCAAATCAAAATGGTCAGGGTGATGCGAGTAACACGGCTATACCTATGATGAAAAATTGTTCTATTAAAGATTTAGGTAAGACACAGATGTCGTTTTATCAAATATTATCGTCAAGTAAACAACGTAGTACAGTGAAACACGATAGGTATAAATTTCTTTTTAGAAGTTGGTGGTAAAGTTGTACACAGTTTGGAAGAATTGGAAGCACGTATGCGGGGTGGTGCTCCTCCACCTGCAACTTCGACTGATGCACCCCGTGTAAATAAGACTGAAGAAGATCTCTCTGCTTTTAAGAAACTGGTAAGTCGATATATGATAATTAACTTTGCGTTTCACAAATATATCAAAACAATTTTTTTTAGCTTGCTCAAGTGACTGGAGGACAAGCTGTGCCTGCAGCTAACGGACCTATCACCCAAAAACAACCTGTAACTTTAATGCAAGTAAGTTTATATTTAATTTTTTTGCTATATATCAATTAAACACGCATATACGTTGCATCTGTTTTTCATTTTTTGTGTCTTTCAGTTACTTAATTCGCAATTTAAAACTCAGCCGTCGTCGATGCCACATCAACCGCCCGCAGAACCAATTCATACTACAACATTTAATCATGTTGGTCCCCTTGGTCCTACTCAACATCCGCATCAGGCTCAGATGCAACATGAGAATCTATTGAAAGTCTTGCAAATACAGGTATGATATATATATATTTTTATGTTTAATATCATTCTTTGTTTGATGATGAATGTACGATGAATTTTGACAAATGACTATATGTAATATTAGCAGCAGCAGCAGCAACAGCAACAAAAGCAACAACAGCAACGACATTCCGATATGCTATCGATGATGATGCAAGGTAATCAGCGGATGCTAGGTGTTAGTCCAGTACCGACGGAGATGCAAATGATGATAAATAATGTCCCGTCGAGTCAAGAGCTTTTGCAACGACCAGAAGCTCAAGCAATCATTCAAGGTTTACAGCAAGGGGAGATTACTAGGCAACATCTAATACAACAATTGCAGGTCAGTTGATTATGATTATTTGCAATAGACTACACATGATTATTAAAGAATATAATAAAGATTTTTTTTTTTTAATTGCATCTTGCATAGAATCCTGCAATGCAGCATCGCCATCGAGAAGTGCTGGTGAACATTTTGAAAATGTATGGTGGCACTACACCTCGCACTTCAAGTCCACATCCTCATCCCGCTGCCCCTATTCCTCAGGATCACATACTGCAACAGATGCTGTATCAACAACAACAACAACAACAAAGAATTCCGTCTCCTATGAATAACGGTAAGACGTTTTATATGCTCACCACCTTTTTTAAATGTTTCTCTTATTTTCTCGTAAAGGCCAATTAAAAGTATAGAACCTTTGGTTTTTAAATTCAAATTGAACGATTTTGTACTGTATTTGGAATGCAGCTTATTGTCCACCTCCGATAATATCACCAAATTTAACAGCTAATCCTAGTACTTTAACGGTACAACATCCAGGTAATACAGTAAAACAATACAATAAACTTTGTATTTTGTAATTTTTTATATTATCTTTCATATATATAAAAAAAATTTCCAATTAAAATTACATGAGAAAATGGCTACATATGTAGTGTTTACATTTGATGAATTTATTCAATTTAAATTTAGTGTTGGGCAATATTGTCAAGTTGAAAAAAAAATTTTTTTAATTTAAATAATTTACTTTTTAAATATTTCTATTAATAAATTATTATTTCAACAGTGATACCACATAGAGTACCGTCACCAAGGGAGATTGTTATGCATACTCAGTCTATAATGCAAAGTGCTTTAATTAAGAAGAAATTGGAGGAGCAGCGTGAGAATTTCCGTAAGCGACAGGATCAGCAACAACAACAGCAGCAGCAGCAGCAACAACAGCAACAAGTTCAGCAGCAGCGCGTGTCAAGCCCTGTTAATTCACCGGCTAAGCAAACAGCGAGTCCGCTCGCTTTCACTCCAACTTCCGTTTTACGCAAAATGACTGCTGATAAGGAACCTGACGGTGCGAATCAATTCTGCCAAGTAGAAACGACCTCTTCTATCACTCCTGCAATTAATGGAAATGTTAATTCTCGCATGTCTAAAAACAATCATCAGATGTACACCGCGGCTTCTACCATTAATCTATCTAAGCTTTCTGATTCTGTCAATCAGGTGCAAAACGAGACTCTTAAAATGATCTTCCTGCATTCCGCTATAGCTAATAATACAAATAACACGTCCACTTTCGGTACGGAAGAATCGGCATTAAAGACCAAATATTTGTGTCCATTAGAGCAGAAAAAAGACTCGGAAGATAATTCGAAAATTAACACAATGAAGGAAAACGTTTTCCTTGAGGTTAATAAAAATGCAAACGACGATGCAAAAACAACCAAGTCTGATGTGGTAGATGGTGATAACGATACCAACAATAACGATTGTGTCTCGCTTGATGAGGCACTCTTAAAATCATCTGAGTTAGAAACGTTGGTAGACGAAAATAAAATGACCGCATCTACAGCATCAGACAAAATAAAGAACGTTGATTTGCAAAATGCTACTTTACTCGCAACCGGTGAAAACGTCTAATTGTGCTGTTACGTGGATGAGGAGTTTGATAAAGTGCACATTAATATTTCATAGAATAGTGAATTCTTAATTGTTATTCAGAGCTATGTTTTTCTTTCTATTATTTTTGCGTTATAATGAAAAGCAGCTGTTTTGTTTCTTCGTTTAATATCCACAGCGTGAGATGCTTTAGAAGCTTGAAAGATGTCTCTTTAATGTGACAGATATTTTGAAATATTATTTTTATTTTATATGTGATAAAAAAGCACTTTATAAAATAAACTCTTCATTTCTTAACATAGATTTATTACATTTTTGAATAGTATGTTGAAAGATAGTTTTTTTTTTAATAATAAAAAGCTTTATCCTGTCTCATCTGCTTTAACTTTCCTTTTCTTTACACACAAACACACTCACTTTTTTCCTATTTTTAATGTTGCATTTTTTCATCAATATATGAACTTGTTATGCTTTTACTTTTTCTACTTGAGCCGCATTTCTGCTTGATCCTTTAGCTTGCCAAAATTGCATGCGTTATGTTTTACAAGAAATGAATGTAATATAAATAAATGTGTAACTGACGGCTGCATTTATTATTACTCGCATAAAATTTTTACAATTACAACTAATTAAAACATGATCACAATGTGTCTTGAGTGATGAGCATACAAAAATAATTAAAACTGTCTATACTGAAAAATGGTGGGAAAAATGATGATGGAAATGGAAAATGTTGATAAATCATATTTAATAAATATTTAATTAATCTACGAGCTATGTGTATGTATATATAGGTATGTACGTATGTATGTATGAAAATGACATGAATCTTGAGGCCTTTGATTTCGCAAAGATGTTTATAAGAAAATTGGCCTTGGTAAACACTAAATTTTTTAAAGAAAAAAGAAAGGCAAGCTTTAACATTTGTATTTACATCATAAATGATCACCTTTTAAGTATAGTCTTAAACGTGCTCATCATAATAAAATTGTTACGTATTTGAATATAGGAAGCAGCACGGAGCCACCCAAATTGTCTACGCAAACTCAAGCTTCTCAGATGCAACAAATGCAGTCGGCTGCGGTTCAGTTACTTGCACAGGGAGCTCTCTCGAGACACACCGCATTGCGATCACAACCTGTTCAATCGACATGGTCAAACCCATCGCTTAAACAGCATCCAGGTTTCTATCTTTTTCAATTTCCCGTAAAGTTTCGGAGAAATTTTTTCATTATGATCTTGATATGGATATCAAGATGATTTAATCTAAATGTTGATTTTTATAAAATATCGTTTAAAAGACTTGATAGCAAAATGTAGCTACCATGTTTAATTGCATAAATTATAATTTCAGGTCGACCTATAGTAAAAGGCGGTAATAATAGCAACGCAAGCGGTAATCAGTTCCAATATAATACGGGAAATGCAGAATTTCAACAGCAGCACAGAACGGTCCCGAATGTTTACGGCAATCCACCACGATCTAAACACACGATGGCAACTTCGTTACCGCATCATAATGTTCCACAATACAACGTAGCGCAGAACTCGATTATGAATCAAAGATCAAATCCTATGAATCCCCAGATGAAGGCGCAGCAAGTCCCGACACATCTCGCTAACATGCAACAACAACAACAACCACCACCACCACACGGAACCGTTAACATGCAACAGCAACAACAACCACCGCAGAGAACTGTAAATACGTCGATGCAACTTGTCATGAGCCAAAACTATAATTCTAATCGCACAGGTAATGATTCGATAAAGTACGCAAACTAGTGTTTTGAATCAACTTGGGTAAAAAACGATCCCCGACCTTAGACCTTTAAACATCAATATTTGCTAAACTCAAAATTCACCTCTTTATCCTATTTACATTGATTTTCAGGTGTTGATCCTCTCCCAAATCAGATTGCATGCAACGGTGTTGAGAAATCAAAAAAATAACCCATTCTTGGCCCTCTCCTTCATTTAATCCAGTCTTGACGTCATTTATCCCTCCTTGGATTAAACTAAGTAAACAATTATTAATTACGTTGGAATGCTTTACACTAGAGAATTTTATAATAGAGTACCGTCGGAGTATATAAATAATATCGACAAATTATCGTTTTTATCATCTTGCGTGATTAATCCGCATACATAATAATATTTGCTTTTGTTTAAACTAAATGATGTCTATAACATTGAATTATATGCACAGATGGACGGGCGATGCGATCGCAGCAGTTGAACATGGCAGTCGGCCGTCAACCTTCACCGGGCCTCGGATTTGTGGGCAGTAACGGAGGTGACCTTTCGCCAACATCTAATCAACTTGCGCGATGGTTCAGCCCAGAACTTCTCGCTCAAGCTCGGGCCGGCAAGCTCCCGGAGCTTGCACAAACAAACGTCCTGTCATTGGAAGAGCTAGAAAGACTTCAACACGCATCAACCACAATAGTGCATAACTAAAGTGACATTGTACTCGACGTACGTTTCAATTTCACAAGCACGAATGTGCATTGGTAACGCGCTACTATTGGTCGGAGAATCGTTCTCTTCGTACATCTCCCTTTACGTCCGAAGCACCTGCGTAACATCCCCTACATAGATGCTGGATACATGCCGCTAAATTACAAGATGGTGCTCGCCTACGTCGATCTTTTTATCAAGTCTTTATATTGACAAGAGGTTCGAAGTAACGCCACGTATTTTGATTAGGAATAGAGTTGATTAATCGGTACTTTTTATTTCGAAAGATCTTTCGTCGAGAAACATTGCTGACCGCGTTTGCGAAGCCATTTTTCCAAGTTTCGCGGAATGTTGATTAGAAACTACAAATGTACAGAATAGTATATGATATTAAGAACGAAGCGTTAGAACGAAGAAGCGGACAAGCTTTCTATGCATACGACGTATTGTTTATAAGACTGAAAAAATTTGAAAATTCTTATTGTTGATCATATGACAAGCTGTTTGAGCTTCATATGCGTACTTTATAAATGACAACACACGTAAAGATCTATTTGCCTAAGATAAAACTGCAAGTTTCTTATGAACAACTCCTCTGTCTCATTATCTAGCAAGAATCTGAAAATTATCTGGCGACTTGAGCAATTTCAATGTTTTTTTTTTTTTTTTTTTTTTTTTTTTTTTTTTTTTTTTTTTTTTTCTTCAAAGTATATTTGTACCAACCTCTTATTTTTTTGTTAATGATTAATAGAGGTATTACGAGGATGTACTATGAGTGTATTTTGCAATGATTCGTAAGTATTGAAAGCACCTTTATATGATTACGTTCCTTTTATTCGGAACAAAGCAAAGCGATATTTTTTCACGCTGTCAGCAGGCATAAAAATATATAGTATATATTATGTATGTGTCTAATGCAAAAGAACTCAACGTTGTCGCCAGCAGGAATAACAACTAGATAGTCGATATGTTTAATCTAGTATTATTTATAGAGTACGTCGCGTGCGCTTGCTTATTTACAATGGGACTTGCAAAAACCCTTAGGCAAATAATACGCAAACTCCTCGAACTTGTGTGAATTGCAAGCTAGCACCTGATTACAATTACTTACACAGAGCGGTGGTGTCGTATTTAATATTCTATTCGTATTACTGCAAACAATGCGACCTTATTAACACGAAAAGTGAAATAAAACGATGAGTATGTGACATCAAGTCGTACATATATTATAAAAAATAAATATATAATATATACTTCTCGTGTGTAGAAGAGCGCGTGAGAGTGCGATGTCATTATCCTGATCGAAAGTGATATATAGACCTGTCTCTTAATAAAGAAACTCGGAAGATACATGGAAGAATCGTTCGCAGAATTAATTAAAGAAATAAACATTCCACACCAGCCAATAAAGGATCAAATTAAACGAGATATCTTTGAGAATTTTGACATCAATACTGTTGCCAACATGCGTTTGTTTTCGATTTAATTGTTTATCTCGAGAGAACATTTTCCATGTAATTACACAAAAAAAGGGTATATATCCTTTTGCGGACCCGCTTTGAAACGATGATTTCTGTTAAAAGTTTGCTTTACATTTCGAAAGAAGATGTTATTGTTTACTATTTAACCATACATTAGAGTCTCATGCGCGAATAATTGCATTTTTCTTTTTTTTTCATAATTCATTTAGCATGCAATTATACTCGAATACTTTTGAGAATTACAGCTGGAAAGGCGAAATAATTTGTGCAGTATTTTGCATTAAAAAAAAAAAAAGAAAAAAAAAAACGAAAGAACATTAGTATTTTATATTGTAAGAGAAATATTTATCTTTTTCTTTTGCTACGTGCTTGACGCTTGTATAAATGAGTTACCTAGTCTAATTTTTAAATATGGATTATATTCATAGTTTACTTTATTGCATATAATAACCTTTTACAATCGCGTCTAATTGTATAAGGGGGAGGGAGGGAGGGAGGGAGAGAGAGAGAGCGTTGTATAAGGAACTCTTGGTAAATTTACGTATTTGAAGGGAAATTAAAGTTTATTTTCATAATAATTTTATGCTTGCAGATAAAATTATAAACTCAAGTTTACGTAATGCATGCAATTACGAAAAAATATCCTAATAATACTATATAATTTTGATAAAAATTACGTGTGTCAAAATCAAAATATTTTATGTTAGGTACAGCATAAATATTATTTGCATCAGTACCACATTGATTCACACACATTTATTTTCGCCATTGAATCTGGCTGTCTGAAAACATTTTTATTTATGTAAATGCAAGGGATACGTAATCTCTTGTACGCTTATTATCTAATGTATAAAAAATATTCTTTATAATATGGTAATATTTTATAAGAAACAGCTCTTTTTAAGACATGCGCGCGCGCACGTTCTATTTGTAACACTTGATTACATTCAACAGTCGACTAGATTCTTAACTGATATATTAATATGTGTTGAGTTATATTTTGTATATATCAACTACATATATAAATATATATAAATATTTATATTATATTTAATAAAATGGAATATATATATAAGATATATGTTGCAAGAAACATATTTCATATATATATATATATATATATATATATATATATATATATATATATACACACATATATATATTATAATATAATATAATACGAAAAGATGAATGTCGAAAATAATTTGCACGTCGACGATGATTTCGGGCATGGTACATATGAGCTATTCGTAATATTTGCAACTCGTGAAATTTCGAAAAATGCAAGACGGCTTATGGGACTCTAACATTAAATACATTACATGGTACAAATGATACTTGTGCGTGTGTGACACAGAGAGAGAGAGAGAGAGAAAAAGGAGTTTTGTTTTTGTAGCATTTCCATTCAACATTTTTTCATCTAGCGAACGTAAGGGCGATTTTTTAGATTGTATCTCGAACCGCGATTTATCACCGTAGGTTTATCTCAACCTCAAGCGTCCATGAGTGTACAAAGCGTATTAGAACGAAAAGTAAAGGGAATTAAGTCATACAACCATGATATCCGAATGCAAGTATCAACGAAGAAAGATAGAGAGAAATTGGAATTTCTGATCGCTATACTATCATTATTTTGCTACACGCAAAAAGAAGCGCGAGGTACCGAGACCAAGATGTTCTACGTTTATAACTTTAAAACGTCTGAGGACGATTGAGAAACGCGTCGAAAGCCGGTCGTTCTAGCGTTAAAGTGGAAACTTGGGAAACGGTCTCCGGGACTCCGCGTTTCTTCGGTAAACTTGTCGGCTTGGTGGTAGCGATTTTTATTCTCTTGAGACAAAGGACTGCTACATTTTGGATCGTTGCTGCGTATCGCATTTATATTTAGCTTGACGTTTCTTGGACGACGACGACGACGACGACGAAAACGAAGCTCGTTTACCAATATCCGGTGGAGGAACGGAAGCAAAGCGGAGAACGTGTGCGACCGAGATGCGCGAGGGGACATTTGATCAATGATCTTTTTTATAAGACGCACGCGTGGCGATTACACTTGATCTGCTTTCATTAAATGGAAAATATTTGCGAGCGAGACCCTCGTCCGATGCATTTGCGGACTTTGGAAGATTGTTCCGTAACTCGAAGACACGTTTTTGTAAATAAATCGATTTCCGAGCAAACGCTAAAACGTACGTTTAGTCTGTTCACTGTGGGTCGATGACTTGTAAATATAGTTACTGAGTATTATATTACGTGAAGTCGAGAAAGAAAAGTGTCACAAATAAATGCAAGAAACTGTACGTATTATCCTCGTCACGTCATTCGTCCTGCCGAGATGGCCGCGGCGGTCGCTCTTGAATCTTACTTTTATTTAATATTTGCTCGTAAAAGGTCCAAGTCGAAAGATGATTGATTTACTGACGTGATGATATATATTTTAAGTTTTCTGGCATCTGCCAGACGCTCTTTTAACATTTTAAAGCGCGTGACGCGTGCACGCGTATTCATCGATTCGTGTTGCTTTTTTAAGTTTACAAAAACATAATTGAGCCAATTACAGCGAGGATAAGTCACGTGGCGCGCGCTCGACGTCGCCGCGCCGCATCTATAGGAATGGCGGTCGAGCTGCCATGTTTACTCCAAAGCTTTACGACGTCCGTGGCAAGGTGAAATTTTAATTTATCAAGTATAGTGTACTTTTCACACTCAACATTTTCATATTGGAAACAAAGTCCAGCCAAATGGAAGCGTTAAATGACATTATAAGAACGACGTAATGTGAGAGAACTAAATATAAGCCATAAGGTATATTTAAAAATGAACAGTGTCAACGGTGTCAACTACTCTATCAATCTACTGACTCGAGGCGCACCGCGCATGTCTACGCGCTTCTATACGCAAGAGGGCACACGCTGCGGAGTCGCCGGAGTCTACGGACCGTAAAAGAAAGAGAAAATGGCGAATCACTGTGCAGGCGTGCAGCTCGCGGAGCTCGCCCGCACCTGGTTGGACCCGTTGGAGTTGTCACGGCGCATCTCGTGAATCTCGTCCTCTAGAGGTTTCGACCGACCCCCGAGCTGAACCCGAAAGTCCATCCAACGAATCTGCGGAATAGTGTTTCAGGTTGTCCGCGACTCGAGTGCGAAACGACGTGTGCGTCGTGCGATCAAGAATCTCTTTCGGCGACGTCCGGGGCATTGAGGCGATTCGTCGGGTCGTCGGGTGTTGGAACGTCAAAGCGGTCGACTCCGAGAGCCGGCCGATTCACCGTTCTCCGTATTCGACGAGGTCTCTCGTTTGCGGACGCGAGAGATCTCTTTATAGTACGGCATCATATATATTCTAGCGGAATTAGAATTTTGATCCCACACTACCGCAGCCTCGAGTGTCGATTGTTTCTCCTGTTTCACCTTCCTCCTTCCTTTCCTTCGCCCAGACCGCGCGCGTACGCTACCATTGTACAAGTCACTCTCGCATAACGAGTAACGAGTCGTGCTGCGAGCTGCGAGTGACATCCGAGACGCGCGTACCGCAAATACTGCGGTCTGCGCCCTACGGTAATCGGCTCTTGGATCGCTCGTGAAATTCTGCGTTCTCCGTTCCGCGATCTCGTATCTCGTACGAGATCCGACAGAATCCCCTTCCCCTCTTTTGCGCGCGCCTGCACGTTCTTGAAATATAAATAAATAGAATCGAATCGCGATGCGTCATTCATAGACGTTTGGTTACTAGGGTGAGAGAGAGGACTGAGAGGAGACACAACGATCACCGCAGAACGTAGAAGGGAGGGGTAGGTCATTCGCGCACGTGAAAATCGATCGTGCGTCGCGGAATTTCGCGGCACGGCACGAGGGGAGCGACGGATTGGCGACTGGCGTTGGCGTTGGCGTTGACGAGTCCCCGACGGCGACGAGATGAGAGACGGGATACGGGATCGCTTGGCCTGCTCGGGCTCGGGGCCATGTACACGGCGGCCATTGCGTGAAGCGTCGTCGCACGTAGATCGCGCACGAGCGCGACTAGCTGTCGCGCTCGTTCCTCGTTCCCGTTCAACGGGCGGCCGTGCGCAAAAGAGCAAAAAGAGGGTTGGGAGGGAAAAGGACATTTATATCGGAAATACAAATAATCGCATCGCCCCGCCTGGATCAGGAAGAGGCTGACCGCGATCGTACCGACGGAATTGACGCCTGACGGGAAACGGGAAGAAAGAGAGACACTTTTCCACGTGCGTTGTTACGTTTTTCCGATTTGCGCGTAGGATGAATGCCGCGTATGTATATGTAATAATAATGAATCGTCCATGGCACGTCCCAGTGCTCCATGCAATACCGCTACTACCGGTCCTCGGCGTCGTGACGCCTCTTCTCACACGGTATATACCGCCGAAAGTACCCGTCGTGATCGTCGGCGTCCGCGTATCGCGACTACCGCGGGGATCGCCGATCGTCCCGGCCGCGGCAGGACGTAATCCCTGGTGACGTACGCCACGAATCTTCGAGAAACGCTACGTTTTGCGTGCCGCGTTGAGGTCGCGTAGGTCTTGGTGTTTGGCATAACATTTTTTTTTCGCCCGAGGAACCTCGTCGATCGCGAGCGAGAATGACGCGCGATAAGTGTGAGGTGCCGGCACGGTAACGTTGCTCGCCCTATACTTGACTCGTCTCCTTTTATCCGAGTTACCCGAGTACCTCGAACGGCTCGAACCCGAGAGCTCTGAATCGATAGTCGACGTGAACATTGAACGTGGCGTGGAACAATCGTAGATCGTAGGCAGTAAGGTAGTGTGATTGTTCCAACGTAGTGGCCGCGGAGTGGCCCGTGGCCCACCGTGGCCCCCCCGTCGCCCTCCAATCTGTATAATGACAATGACTCATACGGCCGAGGGAAGATATGCTGCATCAGCGACCTGCGATTCGGCGTCGTCGTCTAGCTCGAAACAGGAGGTTGCCGCGGCGGTGTACCTGTAATCGTACCCTGGACGACGTATCGAGATGATCGGCCGGGACTCGGTTTCTGCACGATTCACGCAACGGTAAATAGATGAAATATTTTATCGCGCGATAAGACGATAAGGGCCTAGGGCTTGACGCTCCCGTCCCGTCCCGTCCCGTCGCTTACTTATGTAGCGTCTAAACCGCTTAGATCGATCATCAGGATCAGGCCTGATCAGACCAGCTAAGAGTGCCGAGTGCCTAAGAGCTGCGTAGAACGACGTTTTCATTTTTTCCGGGATCCGTACGTGGATGCCAAGATTGCCAAGACAAGAATAATCATGTCTGGCCGTATGTGATGTATATATGTATTTGTGTGTATGTGTGTATCCTCTAGGCCCGGTTCTTGTTGATATCAACCGCGAACAACGGCACGTTTCCGAAGCTCGGCCTGTTCGGTGATAGCGCGAGCGGCCAAGGTAGCGAGGAGCGAGACCGGAGACGTTCCAGGTTCCAGGCAGTTCCAGGTGAAACCTCGGCACTCTCGGCGCGGCCTCGACAGATGTGCGCAGGAAGTCGTCGCATTAAGGCTCAGTCACAATGAGAGAAATAAGGAATAAGATAAAGGAATTAGGAATAAGGCATGTTGCATCTCACTTTAATGTACGTGTACTGAAGTGAGATGCGACATTCCCTTATTCCTTATTCCTTTATCTTATTCCTTATTCCTCTCATTGTGACTGAGCCCTTAACCTCGCGATAGTGTCAATGCGAATCAATAAGAAGTTGGGTCCGTGCGTGATGCGTCGCACATTTGATTTCTTTGTTCCATTTTCCCTCTAGGGGAAAATTTGCTGGGGAATTTTTACACGCAACACGCACGGATTTTCGAGGTAAAAAGGCGGAGAGAAAAAAAAAAGGTTCGTTTCTTTCTCGCGGGAGCATATATAAGTATGTACTGGCGAGACGTCGCGTCGCGTCGGCGAAGAAAAGTTGCGAGCTGGCGAACTCCTTGCGAAAATACGCTCAAGTACACTAGCTCGTGTATAAACCACACACGTATAACTCTCTACGTCGTCTACGTAGTAAAGCAGATGTGTAGGTCAGCAAAGTGAATAAAAAAAATCTACGGGAAAGAGTTTTTTCCTTTTTTTTTTTTTCCCGGCGTAAATCACGGAACACAAATGAGCTACGCGCAAGATCGGTTGTACCGACACGTGGAGTTAATGTTAGATTAGCGACTCGCGCTCTCGCCTTCTACAATGTTGGTGGAGAAGGTACATTGGGCTCCAAGCGCTCCAAGCGACGCCGCTACACGCGCGTAACCGCGAGGCGAGAGGTTCCAAGTTCCAACTGGCCGACGCCACGACCAGCCACGACCTCCGTGCGAGTGTCTCTGGGCGTTGGCACGAAACGAAACGAAACGTCCGTTGCTTCGTTGCTCGTCTTCGTCGGTGCTCTAATTCCCCGCACCGGCGTTGTGCAAACAGTCATAGAGAGCGCTGCAAGAACCTCGAAAAAAGGAAACCTCTCGTCTCGTGGTTCGAGCTCCGAGATCAGCGCCGACATAACTTGCCGACATTGTGCGTGGTATATAGCTTTTGTGTAGTTGGCGCGGAAGCGGGGAGAGACGAGAGAGAGAGCCGTGTCGATGAAACGTCGTTGCACGCTCATTACGGGAGCAGGGAGAGAAAGAGAGAGAAAGACAGAGGGCTGGAACGCTTCGAACGCAGGATCGTATCGAGAAAAACAGGAGACACGCGACGCACTGTTGGCTGTTGGCAGTGTTGCCCTCCAAAGGTGATGATTTATCAGGTGCGCAAAAAGTAAGGTTGCCTCTTGTCTTTTCTTTAGGTCTTTAGGTGTTTCTTTTTTCTCCCTTTTCTTTTCGATAAGACAGCGTGCGCACGGTGACTGTCGGATTTGACGCTCCATTGGCGTTCGCTTCGACCGTCTTTCGTTCGTCCCTTGATATGTATCATGTATATGTACGTCATAATTCAGACGAAGCGATTATACCGAATGTAATCGATTTTTGTCACTGTTCATCGAAATTTCAATAGGGCGTCGCATCGAACGTTCTCTGTAAACAGATTTTTATCATTTCGTGATTTATAATATCGAGATTTATCGTATAGCGATGTGCACTAGGAAATACGTTGTTATGCCAATGTTCGTTTGGAGAGTAGCACGTCTCAAATGCAGTCGCCATTGTGTGACACGACTACGACTCGTAGCTTCAACGTGAGGAAAGGTTTATGGCTCTGTTGTAGGAGACAACATTGATTTTTGCTTGTGCTTTGTTGTGTTTTATTGTGCATCGTCGAGGAATTTTACACCATACGGAAGAGAGAGAGAAAGGGATAGAGAATTTGTACGTAATTTTATATGTATAAAAATTTTATTAACTTTTCGCTACTGACATGGTTTACGTAACGCGTGACGTGTTGTCGATCATAATTATTTTTATAGGCGTAACACGTCGTATCAAATGTTTGCAACGCTACATTTCTGAAGGATTCCAAAAAGTTGAGTTTTTCAAAAAGCTTACTATTTTTCGTAACGCTGAAACACGTAGTTTCATAGCGATACGTATAATCCAAAATTAATTTTGTAGAACGTTCAAAACTTTTCCCACGTATGATTTCGTCGATCAACCTAAATATACGTATCCTAATAGCGTGATTTGATAGAACGTGTTTGACGTAACAACATTTTGAAAACTCATTAGCAATATATTAGTTTAATATATTGCTGTTTAGTATACTGTTAAATGTTTTAAATATGACGTTAAAACATTTAATATTAAATTGGATTTTGCACCTTTGTTATTGGGAATGGCTAAACTGCGATACGCTATCTGGTGGCAAAAACAGAACTAAAAAGAGTAGGTCGCCGGCTGCCACATAAATAAATCGAATTGCGGCATGAAGGCGTCGAATTGGTAAAATTGCATATTTCACTTATGGGCAGTCTCATTTTAATTACTGAAATTTATAAATAAGCACATACGTCGTATTGTATTGTGACAAGTGACCTACTCTCTCCGGCCATTTTGTCTTGGTGACGTCACGACCGCCAATCCCAATATGTGATTCAGAATATTTTTAAGCTCGTCAAACTTGCAGATTTTAGATGATTTTTCGCTCTTCTTGCCATATCTTGGCCGTAGAGAATGACTCATACAGCTTTCGTCATGACATTTTGTTTCACATTTTATAGCCTCACGGCATATCCAACATCCAACTGAACTTGACTTCAAGGTCGCGCGATGAATGGACAATGGACGCGTAGCCGTTTGACGATTGGTTGTTTAGGAAACTTTAAATTTTCAATCAAGTGGCGCCCCCATAACCTTAGCAACAACAACGTCCGCCACCTACTGGCAGCATTAGGTTACAAAGCTACGTGCATTGTGCATTGTGCATTTGGCTTCTGTCTTTCTACTTCCGTCTTCGAGTGGTAAAACTAGGCACGAGGTGTATAAAGTAAATATGCACGCGAGTGATACGTTGGTAGAGAACCTTTCGTACAGAGTGTTGACGATCGCGTGGTGACATTGGTCATTTTATCTCGATAGATAGAGTCTTCGCATAGGATTATCGGTACGTATGTCAATATAAATCATTCGCCTGTTAGTAATGGTCCGAGCAGAACATGAGTGAACACGTGAACCTTTATCCACGTCACCTGGATTTATCTGCTATATGATACTTACAACGGCGAATGGACGAATGTCACATCTTTATCCCGACTGGCAGTTTTGAGAAAACGTTTTTGGAGGTTATTTGAGTACTAAAACTTGCACAACTTGCGGGCTACACGTCAAATCTACTTGACTCATGTTCAAACTGTTTGCGTGTTGTTGATTGATAGAACGTCTAGTTTCCGATGACCGATTTTAGCAACTGGCATTTTGCTCTGATTTTGTTTAAACAGAAAATTATCTTTCACACGTATTTCGACTTTTGTCGACTTCAGAGTGTTTCCGACAAGAACATGGCGTCTTAACTGATCGCTTGCTTTGCCCTGAAATATAATATAAAGTAACGGCGCTTTACGCGTGCAACGTGCATTGAATAGTGTTTGAGGATACGTATGATTTTATCGCTATTAGAAGGTTCCTGAGGTACGATAAAACTGCGCAATGTATTAGTTGATATCTACAAGACATGATAGTTTTGTTTAAATTTGTTTAAATTTGACTTTTAAAGTCTGTGATGTTATAATGTGTGTTTGTCGTATATTCTCAAGTTTACGTGCTGTGATGTGGATTTTTAAAAAAGTTACATGCATGTGTTTGCCACAGAAAAGTGTGCAAATAATTTAAGTGCAGTGTGTGGCATCAATGTAAAATTTAATTTTACATTGAAACGTCGCTCAAGATGAAAAAAATGTCAACTGATGATTTCTAAATTGTATTACTCATGTATGGTGCGGTTCAAGCAGCACATCATTATTGAAAGAGTCTAGGCGACATTTTATGCACGAGCTCATCTAATACAAATTCAACGCAAGTTTGATGATGTGTTTCCGGTAGATTTTAAGCAGCCCATACTTATACGCATAATGTTTCGTCGGCTCAAATTAACGTGGCTGCAATGTGTCTGAATACACGTTTAATATTTAAGAAGGATCATATATAAAGGAACGTGCCGAATAAACAGGACATGGCGCAATATCGATTCCTATTTGCTTACAATGAAAGAGAAGCCTTCTAAGCATTTTATATAAGAGCCTGAGATTTAAATTGTGGCTAACTTGGACCCAAGCATGTATATGTATAGAATATCTCAATAAACAATTTTGTTTTAACAAAATTGAATTTATTGCAACTTGAAATTTTAAAATAAATTCTTTACACATGCGCGCACACGCGCTCTCTCTCTCTCTCTTTCTTTTTTAAATCGATGTATTTAGAAGTGTATGCGTTATGTATTAGCGTGCATGCGCGTGTGCGTGGGTGCGTGCGTGCGTGTTCTGAGCAACATTTTTTCTCAGCTTAGTTGCTGAGGAACATGAACGACGATTTTATAAGAATGTTCTACGCTCGCAACAAACAAATCCGGCTTTTTAAGCGATATTTGCGGATCACGTCTTTTCGAATTGAGAATCATACGTTGTTTACGCATGATCTAAATGCATGAACGATTCTTTTCGGATTATATCATATTTTACCAGGTATATCGTTTGCCATAAGTATATTTTTATTATATTGTCATATATTTATAAATACACACTTAAGAAAATTGTTCTAATTTTATAAAAGAATCGTGTGTATAGCAGTTATTAAAGTGAGAATCGTCCTTAAACGCCAAAAATGTTGCTTTCATGTGACAAACAGACCCGTTCCAGTATTGTACGTGAAAGGGGTTGATTGGATCAATATCCATCTCCTCTTACACCTGTAGCACCACCATGATTAGCTATAGCTTTGGTGGAAAAGTTTTTACGGCGAAAACTAGGGATATCACTTACGTGCGTACGCTTAACGTGCGACTGCGTGTACTAATATACATGGTGTTCTGCGTGTAATCGTGTAATAAAACGTGTACAGTTTTGTACTTACAATAATATATCTTCTATTTAAATCATATAATAATTTTTTGAGCGTATAATCGTATTACAAATGACAGCCTTGTGCCTCGATGCAATATCGATTGCGACCTGATTTAAATCGTAAAGTCATGATAAACAGCTACTCCAAACAAGACTCGAAGTCACCGCGGTCTCAACTTGAAAATATTTTCTTGAGCTGTTGCGGTGCTGAGAATTCAAACGAGTCGTTTTACTTTATTACGAGATTTACGGTCGGCTTGCCCTTTTTAATCCAAGTGCAGTGCGTTATGATTCACCCTGTATGCAATGCGAGCAACGGCGGTGACAAAGCGTGCAGAATCGTCGGAAAATAATCGATCGTCAGCGAGGTATACGCTTCGTAGTCGAAGCGCGGCATCGTCATTCAGCCCCCTTGCCGAAGATCGGACGCTCGACCGAAGGACGACGTTCCCCGGCGTTTCGATTCTGTGAGAGAAGCCGTTTGACAAGCCTGAAGAAAACTCGTTCAAGTGAAACGGATGAACGTTCCGTATGCTCGGGACAAAGACCGACGCGATTGTCGTGCGGGAATACTGAATACTCCGTTATTCCGCTGTGAGAGTACAATAGAAGAAAAGGAAAAGAAAGAGAGAGAGAGAGAGAGAGAGAGAGAGAGAGAGAGAAAAGGAGAGAAATGGCAAATTGAATGCGGAACCCGGTGGTCCTATATCGTCAAGCGATATATACACGTCGGACGAACGCGGTAGCATTAACGATGCTACTCGATGGTCTCGCGATCGAGGAGAGTGGCTTATATCAGCGATGACGTATTTTTGCGATATACGTATATTCATCACGCGCACCCCCGGTGCTCTGATTTAACGAGAGGTCGAGGCTTCACCGAAAATGGAAATAGAGTCGTGAACTGTGCCTTTTGCCGCTTCGACGACACGTGTGAACAAATCGCGGCGCGTCTGGTGAACGACAATTCTACAGATATTACGCCGTGCGCCGTTCTGCGATAAGTAAGCGGATTAACGCACGCGGCATTAATCGGCAGAAAGTAAGAGGCGTTTACGCGCGTGTGAGCCGTGGCCTAAAATATCCGCCGACTCGCCGAAGGATCGGAATAAAGCAAACACGGTACCGTTCCAAGTTACTTTAGCGAGCGTCTCTTTTGAAAGCGAGGCGCTATCCGGGACGACAGCAAGAAATTATGAAATCGCCGAAGAAAATGTCTTCAATGCCTCTTCAAAGCTTCGTTAATGAAAGAACAGTCCGGTTTTTGCGTCTGACGAATAAAGGATGATAATTAATTATTAATAAGATCGCTCGACCATGTCGCGTCTTCGTCGAGGCCTGATAGTTCAAATTTCGCGTGCCGTTACAACGGCACGTATGTCGACGTGAGTACACTTACGGAAATGTATAAAATGCCCCCTCCCCAAAAAAAAAAATATTTATCACTATGCACAAAACGTACTGTGTAAGATTCCGCCTGTTGGTCTAAAATATTTATTTATCCTGCGCATCTACGAAGGCTGGTGCGCGCCGTGCTGTGGTGTCGATCAAACATCGAAAATGAGATAACGACACATTTTTTTCTTCGGTGGCCTTTAAGATATCATTAGCTTTCTCGGCTTTTCCCTTTGCGCACAGATATCGTACATTCGAGATATCTAAAAGTTTATTCCGACGCGTGTTTCTTACGAGTAAAAATAGAAGTAGAAATTTTCAAAAAGCAAATAACGTTGGATTTAATCTGTATAACGGATACACAAATTGATAAAAAAAAAAAAAAACATACAACGGTAGTTACTGTTTTAAAAGAGCGTCGTTTTTCTCTGTTTGAACGCAGGTTGACCAAAAGCAGGGAACAAGATGGACGAATACGACAAAAAGTTTGCAGAGATGCAAAAGTACATTCCATTTCTGGAAGCAATGATCGAGAGGCTGCAAAACGTTAAGGACAAGGACAATCGGCATATTCAGTTGCAGAAAATGCAAAGTTTGCACGGGATTCTGTCAAACAGCAAGCGAAAGTGCGTTTGTTGGATGGGAATTGTTGCGAGATTACTTGGCTCATACATGGCCCGCGCGTATACATTCTCTATTGTTTTAAAGCTCATGTATTAGAATTGCTGTATACGATATTGTGATCGTATAACTACACTATTGAACACAAAATTACTTTTTTTTGGACACAAGAACGAGAATAATTATTTTTTATAGCTTTTTGGACGTTGAATAACGGATCCCGTTTGCCAACGTGTTTTATCACGTCACACGTTTGAGAAATTTGCAGTTTTAGTTGCAAAATTGTCAAGTATTTTATTGCAATTAAAAAAAAAAGTAATATTAGGATTTTTTGCCCGTATTCAGCGTCCAAAAAGAAAAGTAACTTTTTATTGAACAGTGTTGATAATTGTGAACGTTATTGACGAAATAGGTTGAAGATCGAGACGCTGCAGCGGTGCGAGGATGTTTTGCAGAAACTGTACAATAGAGTAGAAAAGGTAGATATGGCATTTTATGGAAATTTATCCCGGTTCATTAACCGGAACAACATTTGTATTGTTTGCTGTGTGTAAGCTCGTCAAACTACAGTGTCTTTGAAATTTTAAAACAAGATTTTACTAAACACGTGTATGTCTATACTTTAGATTTTTGAAAAAGTAAACATTAGGACGCTCTGTCCGCGTATATTCTGTTTTGTTCTTTTGTCTATATTATTATTACGTATATTGTATATGTTTTTTGCATATGTCACTGGTATATGTATATTGTTCGAAACAATTATAAGAGATCGTTTTTTTAACCAGTTCTGTAAACGGATCCAATTTTATTTTCGAAAAAAATACCTGAAACATGTATCTTCAAAACTAGGCTTCTAGTCCAAAAGATCTATTCCAAATCTGAAATATATTTATTATGTTTCGCACAACCGTAGGCATGTTTAAAGAATAGACTACCTACGTGTTCTGTTGACGTATTTGTTTTCGAGTAGCATATTTTGTACATGTATTCGATGAAAGATGTGAAACAGAGTGAAATAATGTATAATAATTCGATATAATGTTTTCACATTTTTACATCTTTCATCTTTAATGTAAATCGACTGTTTATTTCGGATGGGATTCTCGTCATCTGTATAGTCTTTGCGAAGAATCTAGGATTTTGCTTTGCATACTTTTGTTTCACACAATATAATTTTAAAAACACTGTATATAAATATTATACGATATAAGCACACTCTTCTTTTTTCTCTAATTCTCTGAAATAGTAGTTGCTTGATCGATCCTTGGTTCTTTACACCCGTAATATTACTCGTTTTTCGTTGCTTCCTTTTGACTATGTTTTTAGGCTTTCGTAGTGCATGTTTGTTCTTTGTATTTTAATTATTCTAATTCGACACGAGTTTCAGGGAAATACACCTGGTTTACAATTACCGTTTAAACAAAATGATGGCGTCACGACGCTACCTTCGACGTAAGTACTATGTATATCGGTATTTTTAAGAAATTACAATAAAATGCAAAATAAATGCGGATACGTGCAACATATGTATGTTTTAATTAATTAATCTCGACAATTTTCGGATTTTGCTTAAAACCTGTGAATGGATGATTAAAATCGTTTGACGCGAAAAAAATGTGCTTCTGTGTGATTTTCAGTTCGTCAGAGAAAGCAAAGTCAAAACGGTGTACGGAACCGGGGCACGCACAAGACGTGGAGAAGGATAAAGAAATCGATGAGACACCAGAGAGTCCGGATACCATCAGATCTTCCAGTCCCGATTGCCAAATTCTGCCTATAATAATCCCCACAGAGCGCAGCGAATTGGATCGAAGAAGGCAAAAACAACGTCCCAAAGAAATACCGGTTATTACACTTACGGATAATGCAAAACCAGATTCCACTTCGGACGATGTCATGGTCATGACACATGCCCCTGCTGAATGGGACATGTTAGAAGAGTCGGAAAGGAATAACTCAAGGAACAGAGGAACGCGGCAACCTTCATTGGTCGCTACCAGTCATGATGTAGCGACCGCTGCTCAATTGATCAGTAACAGTTTACCGCAAAGAGTCAGCGATAGCAGAAACTATACGTTGGATTCGCAAGATATAGATATACCGACGGTTCCGGTGCCTTCTCTCGGCGGTTCCAGGCGATTATCTTCGATTCTAGAGAAAAATAGGCTGAATTTAGACATAGTGGCCGCCAGTTCCTCCAGGTCGGAATCACCTGTGAATGTTCCTGAGGTGAGACTCAACTCTCCCGATCCCGAGATATTATTTGCGAAGCCTAGGGCCTCGTCGCCTAGGCCCAGATCGAAAGACAGTCATAACACGCCATTGAAGCCACCGCCGAAACCGCCGTCGATACCGCTTCTATTCTCGCCGCCGTCTTTGCACGAGCCTCCATTGTCTATGGAAGATTTGGCAGAACTGTTAAATGACGGTGAGAAGGGCGCGGACGAGAAAGGCGCGAAAGCCAACGAAAATGCAGCAAGGCACGAGGAAACGGATAAATCATTGAAAAATTTGTCGCTGTCGGAAAGAGTGAAACTTGATATCATTAGGAAAAGTTTGCCAAATACAGCAGGAGTTTCGTCCGTGAAATCGAGCGAGATTAGAGCATCACCTCATCAATCGAACACGTCTCAACGATCGGCATCGCACGCGTCTTTTCTGGGTTCCAAATTCCAAGAGCCACGTTACGCAGATAACTACGAGAGGCATCCGCGTCAACGTGACGCTCACGCTCATGATAGTGCGAGAGATAAGGTGATTACTATTTCTGACGATATCCCATCTCAGATACCAGGTTTTCATAACTCCGCGAACAAACCGGATGAGAGAAATGTTTCGTTGTATCAGAGACGTCCGAGCGTACCGTCCGTTCCGGATGCACGGGAAGATGTGAATCTATCTAGATCGGAGAATGAATTTATAATAGATAACACTGACTATTATAATATACATGCAAATCAGATGCACTGGGCTTCTACGGCCACTACTGACCATCAATTCGGAAACACGCAGTGGACATCTTCCCCCTATGGTGGAGTGACCAATCCACCTCTGCAACCCACCCAACATTCCTTCCCACGTCCTCCGATGGAGCCACAGTTTAGGCAAAATCAGTTTCCACCAACTCTACCCGCCAACGGCCCCAGACCGTTGGCAATCAATCCCACAGTGCGACCGCAAGAGATGAGTCATATAGCGAGACCGGAAAACGTTCGAGAGGATATACCTCCCTTGATAACTCCCCACAATACAGGTTTTTCGCCACAATACAGAGGCTTTCAGATGGGTCAAGGATCTTACGATCCAGCCTTTCCCGCCAGCAGACCGACGGAATATCCACACGTAAGACCGACATGGGAAGGTCCCGCTAATAGAATAAGCGAGACTACTTACGAAACGGTGATTCCTTGTGGAATTCAGGTGATTTCTGAGAGTTCCACAGGAACTTCGTATCCGCGACCCAATACACCTTGCCCTTGGGGCACGCAGAACAGGGGTAACAGAAGTCAGGGGAGGGATGGGTACTATGATAGAAACAGGACGGAGGTGAGGCCTAGTTTCAATCGTGATGTGCGCCGATCTGATTGGTCGCGAGACGGCCATTCTGACCGAGAGAATCCGACGCGTTTTTCAAATCGAGATCCACGGGTTCGTACGGAACATAATACAAGTGCAACTCAGGCCAAAGAGACCGGCGGCGCTTCCGCCAGAGATCCACGCCTTGCCAAAGATAAACACGTCAACGTCAACGTGAACGTGTCAACCAAAGTCAAAGATACCGTTCACAAGGAGCGGGAGAAGGACCCCAAGAAACGGCCGGTAACAACGACGACGACAAAGACGACAAAGGAGAAATCGAAATCGCAGAAATCACCTGAAAAGGACAAGCTGCTGAAAGACAGAATGCAGTCACCGCTAGAGAGTCTTTACGGCGTGATTGACACGAAGGTCAGTCAGACGTCTGGTCTGCAGAAGTTTAAAATTCCTAAAATCAAGCGGCCGGAAGCGGCGCCGCAACCAAATCGCGTTGCTAACGAGGCGAAAAAAGTTGAAGAAAGTGCTTCCGTGAAACCATCGCGTGTAAAGAGTAGTAGCAAGAAGAGCAGTAAATCGAGTTCCAAGAATAAGAGCAAGGACGTTGCAAGTGCTGAAGTGAGCAGCAGTAGCGATGGTAATCGTGCAACGGAGAATTCGGTCCAGCAAAGTGATGCTGCAAAGGACGTAAAGAATCCTGCGTCGTCGTCTCCCGAAAAGTCTGAAAAAGACGAGACAAAAATCGGTGAAGCAGACTCGGTAACGACGAACAATTCCAAGTCCAGTGATGTCGCGAAGAAGGGTAAGCAGGACAAGAAGGCCAAGAAGGACAAGAAGGACAAGCAGGACGAGTCAGAAGCGACCCAAGACGGGTCGAAATCCAAAGAAGAGGTAACGCAGGAATGGATTGAGGCACTCATCAGAAAGTCATTCGAATCTGGTGAGGGCAAGAAGCTAGTCGAGCAAGCGAAGTTGATACAGAAGCTCGGGGAGGCGCTGAAACAGAAAAAGTTCAAAAAGCTTAAGAAGATCATCGAGGCTGAGTCTGAGAGCAGTTCGGACAAGGATGAAACGGTCGAGGCGAAAAAGACCAAGAAAAAGAGGCGAGTAATAGTGTCGGACAGTTCGGATGACGAGTGTCTTGCGGAGAGGCTCAGTATCTTAACTACCAGCACTGATACGAATGTTGAAGGAGAGCCGGCAGCTCAAGATTCTGCAATCTCCACAGATGCTAAAACGTCGGAAGAAAAACTCGAGGCAACAGCATCCAGTAACAAGTTGAGCAAAGAGCAAACTCAAAATGATATCGCGAAGGAAAATGATAGTTTATTAGAGACCCGTGGCGAAGACTGCGTTCAAGTAGATAATAATAAGAATAAATATGTACACGTGGAGAAGGAGAGTCGTAAGAATGATCGATTAGAAGATGGTAACGAAAATATTAATGTCCATTCGGCGAAAAGCGAAAAGCCAGTCAGCAGATTAGAAGATAGTGATAAAAAGAAGAAACAAATTGAAGATAGCCAGGATAAAAGCACCGTAGAGAAATCAAAGGCTAGCACAGGAAGTAATATAGAATGTTTTGATCAGAATAGTACAGAAAGTATAGAAAGTTCGGATCGGGATAAAGATCGGACAACGCAATCTGTCGCTACCGATATTACAGACCAAGACGTTTTCAATGATAAACCTAAGGTAAAAACGAAGAGAAGAAATTCTCTGGAGATGTTACAAGAGGATATCAGGGAAATGTTTATTAGCGAGGGTGTGGTAACGGCGACAGGTTATCGGATGTGCCGATTGTCGAAAGAAGGTCAGTCGCCCTCGAGCCCGAGCCCGTTATCGATGAACTCTAAGAAGGACGAGCCATTGAATATTGCTGAGAAGAAGATGGCGGAGTCGACGACCGAAACGAACGAGTCGGTTGCGAACAAGTCAAGGAAGAGTTTGAGATCTCGCATAATCGAAGATGAGTCGAGCAAACCGAAAGCCAAGAGCAAGATAGACACCAGACGGACTCGCAGTTTACGCAGCTTGAGGAAATCGATTCCAAGTTCCGACAGTGAAGAGGACCAACCGCTGGCTCTGCGAACAGAAAAGTTGATGCTGAGAAACGCTGGAAATAGCACACCGAATCAAGAAGTGGATCGCAGTGAGGAAAGTAATAATGACACACTTCGCCGTAGGTCCAAACGCGTCCTACGTAAAGACACTGTTATGGAACCGCGAGTGCTTGTAGAGAAGGCGGATATTACAAAGATAGATTCATCTAAAATAATGTTCGATAGCTCGTCCGATGAGAGTTTCGGCATAGATGTGTCTGAGTTGGCCGCAGCGGTAGACATCTCTCTTCGACCGGACAAGCAGTCCGATCGGGATTCAGTGGACACGGTGATAACTTCGAGACGACGGAAAGACGCCAAGAACACTGGTAAACGGAAATCGAAGAGGTCATTTGCACTCACCGACGACAAAACCGAGGACGAAATGTCATTCACCGATGAGGAGGAGACCACAATGTCGGACTTTTCCATGTCGAGCAACACGACTATCGGGCAAGGAACGAGCAGTGGCGCGGCTAGGACGACTACTAGGGAAAATTTATTGAGCAACATCCTAATAGGATTGGTGCCGACGACGGAGAAGACGACGTCGATCGACAGGGGTAGCGAAGCGGACTTGCAGGAGTATGCGACTGATCCGTTGGCCATCGACGAGCCAAGCGCGAGAAAGTTGACGAGAAGGAAGAAGAAGAAGAAATCCAGCTGGAAGATGGGCATAGTAACTAGTAGAAAGAGAAAGAAGAAAACTGTTTTTGGAGCTATCTCTAAAACTGCTCAAACGAGTGTCGAAGAGACGACGACCGAAACGACGGTCTCGATGGACACCATAAAAGCTGATGGATCGCGCGCGGCGGATAACAAAGAACCTACAACGGTGGAGAAAACTCGTGAAAAAATTCTTGGGGACAACTATGCCGTCAACGATGCGCGAGTGAAATGCGAAGACAACAAGTCGCTTGTAAATACGGATAGCTTTGATATAGATTTTAAAGATTTTGCCAAGTTATTAGAGCCCATAAGTACAGCAACACTTAAAGAAGCGTTCGCTAATGATTCTCTTTCCGTCGAGGAAAATAAATCGACAAAAATGGACTTGGAAGAAGCAGAAAGTTTGACGAGCGCAAATCTTACCGCGGCAAGTGCCGCTACCGCGAACAAGTTTTTCAAGGAACCGCCAAAGATCGTTTACGACGAACTTATGGCGGAGCTCTTTCGCAGGATAGATATCAAGCATCTGATAGACTACGCCTGGCTCGGTCAGGACAAGTACAAATGCTTATTATGCTTCTTTACGGGCAAGAACATCGTTCACCACTACAAGGTCAGTCATCACGGGAGGGAGGTGCTTATCTCGCGTCTCAAGTCGACGGACGCACAAGCTGCCATCGTGGACACCGAACGCGCGGCGACCGTCATCTCGTCATCCGCGACAGAGACAGGTCAGACGTGCAAATTCTGCTGCAGGTTTTGCGGTTGGATCACGTTAGGCGCAGCAGACGCGGCACTCGAAGCGTTCTACGAGCACTGTACGACGCACACGGGCGAATACAGGTTCCACTGCAACAATTGTTCTTACCAGGCGGTGGCCAAGGCGTCCATGAAAACGCACTACTACAAGATATGTCGCAGGGATAAAACGTTCAACGAGTCTGCGTCTGAGGACGTCGTACCGAGAGAGGATGGCATCTATGGATATTTATGTCGCAGTTGTAATTATGTGCAGCTAAAGCGACAGAACGTTGAGGCCCACGTTGCGTTCTGGCACCGAGAGCAGATGGATACCGAGATCTTGAAGATCAATATGGCTACGAGTAACAACGAGCACGCACACGAGTCAGCGGCGTCCGTTAGTAACGCCGAGGAGCCTTTCGTTGCAGAAACAAAACCGCAGGTTTCTGAATTGGGGACTATAGAGCGTAAGGCTGTTGTACCGTTGGTGAGTATCGCGAGGCTAGCCGAGTCCGAGGGCAGCAATGAGACGACCGGTGAATGTATTCTGCGCGAATCAAAAACGGAGGAGACGATTCAGATCAAGGAAGAGAGCGAGTCAACACCGAAACTGTCTCAAGGAGAGCCGGAGGGATCGTCGGTGAGCACTGGTAATCTAAGCGTTTTTGTTTGCCCACCTGAATTGGAAAACAGAGAGATGGAGATACAGCGGGAGCGGCAGAAAACGATGCAAGAGATCGCCAATAACATCGGCATTTTATTAAAGAGCACTAAATCGGGCCTGTCCATAATAGACAAACTGCAAGACAAGATGCGAACGGACGCGGTCGTCAGTCCGGTCCCTGACGGCAACACGCCGACGGAGCACCGTTCGGAAGCGAGGGAAAACTTTTCGTTGCCTTTTGAGAGTTCGTCCGCGGAACCTCTGAAAACCGAAGACATAATCATCAAGGAGGATCTTGTAAGTCAGCCGAGCAGTCAGGAGATTCGCCCTTCTCTTACGGAGGAACACGTGGCTGCTGATAAGTCAGAGGTGACGAACGACGAGAATGACAAGGTGGACGTGAAGATCCGGGATCCTCTCGCGATCGTGGACTCGTGCAAGGACACGGAGAGCGACAACGAGAACAGCGACACGGAGCGTTCGGCGCCAATCTTCGAGTCGGACTCGAGCACCGAGCAATCGGATTCTGAGCAGACCGACGTCAATATGATCTTGAAGGAGACCTCGACCATAGACGCGTCTTCGTCGCGGGATCCAATGCTGACGACAATACAGAGGCTGGCCGCGCAGCTTCAGAACGTCAAACCGTTGGAGCCAGAACCAGCAGTACCAGAACCGATGCTCGATATTAAAACGGAGATCAAGAGCGAGCCTATGTCGTTGATCCCGAAAGCACCGGACGTCGTGCCGATTTCTAATGTCCAGCATTCGCCAACGAAACAACAAAACGTCAAGTATTCGAAAAAGGAAATATTGACGCCGACGTCGTGCAAGAGTCCGCCACAAAGTTTTATCAAGTTCAGACGGCTGAGCGGCGATATGCTATCAGTGCCAACGGATACGCAACAAGATTCGCAAGACGTCAATACAGGTGGTGAGATTGAAACCGATCGATATAGATTGTAGTTGTAGATTTTAGTAAAAGATAAGAGTAGTTGAATGCGTTAATGAGGAAACGCAAGAGATTCGTTAATTAACGTATTCAATAGAAATATGCATGTATCTATATTAATGAGTAAAATTCGTAGATGGAGCTCAATCGGATAGCGCGGTAGACTCACTGCAAACGGACGCAGAGGAAGAATGCTCGTTTTTGAAGATCGAAAACGTGGTTAGCCTCGCAAAACCCGATCACAACGAAAGCCATATTGTACGTGAATGTGTCACAATTATTTTTCATTGCCGGCATCCCGAATCTACTGTCTGTTGACATTATCACATTTTTCATTTCACTATTACGCTATTTCCAGGTAAGTGACATTAGGAGAGCGGTGGAGATCTCGCCTACGAAGAGCAAAGAGATACCTATTCTGAGGAAACCTAGCCAACCTTTAATATTAAAAAAGAATGTCTTACTACAGCCGCTGATAAATTCGAACGTGCACGGTATGCCCGATCAAAAATTTGCCAACATCTGTGTCTCAGCGAAATCCATCGGCACATATAAAACATTGAATTTCTTGACCGTAGCTCTGAGGATCCACCCGGTGATCGTCTCATCGACAAGCTTAGCGACAACAAGCCCCGCGACAAGCCTCACGACGACAAACCCCGCGAGCTTGAATTACAGGTCAAGGAAAATCAAAGTGATACGTTCGCCCATGTCAGCCAAATCCAAGGACACCGCGGTCTCTTCGTCCTCCTTTGCGGTCAAGTTAAAGTCTGTGGAGGCATATACGGCGATGCTGACTGAGGCAAAGCTGGCTCACTTCTACAAGTGCATGGGCCGCAATTGCTCTTACACGACCGACTCCCTCGCATTGTACGACCAGCACTATTTTAAGCATTTCGAGGCCAGCAAACAGAACAGCACGGAGGCGAACGATTATATGAAGTGCGCCTATTGCCACGCTTCTCCGAGTGACTGGAGAAGCTTGGAAGCTCACTTGTGGGAGAAACACAGCCATTGCCGGTACCAGTGCGGTTACTGCTTTTATCGAGCCGTTGTACCGTCCTACGTACAACAACATCACGTAATAATTTTTAGTTACTGTAACTATGTTGATAAAAGAGAAGGAATAATATTTAGTTGTTTAATTAAATTTTTCAGACGACTTGTCATCCCGGGACCGTACTCTATTATCTATTAGGCAAGCCGCAAAGGTCGACCCAGGAACAAGAAGATGTCAATCGCAAAGATTACGTAAAACCTTTTATTTGCAAACATGGTGTGTAATTTTAATAGTATTGATTATAATATATCATGTTACAAACGTGCTAATATAATATGTTGATATATTGTATATGGCATAATTACGATGCTAATTCCAAACATTGATCGGGGTTTCAGATTGCGACAAAATCTTTTATACACGTGAAGCATTTGCCGTACACTTAAAGACAAAACATCCATCTTTTCAGTTTAAGCACAAATGTCATTTATGTAACACTATGCACACGGCAGAATCTCTCATAACTGTACGTATTCTGCATTTATCTATAAACGCTATTAGGAAAAAGAAAGTAATTATAAATATTGCTCGTTTTACTGTAATATACTTTGTACTTTACAGCATTATAAAGTGCATGGATTTTGCAAGTACCAGTGCTTATATTGTTTTTATGGTGCCGAGAGTCTAAACGAAATGCATCAGCATTTGAGCGCCTTTCATTGCAATCGATTACCTCAGGTTCTGGAGCGTGCGCTTCCTCCAAAGGTATGATTCTTAGAAATAATCATTTAATTAAAACAAGCTGTGTGCATGTCATTGTCACTATATTAAAACAACTTCAATTTTGAATGTGTTTTTATTTATTATTACAAGTTTAGGATATATATATATATATATATATATATATATATATATATATATATATCGGTCGTATGGTGTTTATCTAATAATGTTCATGTTATCAGAGATTTTTATATTTTGAACAAAATTCGAAATTTTAGACACATTATTAAAAAGTGACACTAAACTGTTTCAATAACGTATAAATGCTTTTAATATATCGTGCACGTGCGCGTAATTTCAGCCAAACTACACCGAGGAAGTTATACGTCAGCTTCTTTTGCGAACAATCACACCAAAAATAAATGAAGGAAGCTTTGATTCAAATGCTGACGATTCTAAAAAGACGACAACCAGGAAAGATGCAACAAACGATCAAATCTCTACACCTTTGTTAAATGTTGTAGTTGCTTCGTCAACTGACACTCGGTCTAAACCGCTCAACAACTTGAAGAAAAAGGACTTGACGTTTGTCGGGGCAGTCAGTAGTGACCCAAAGGACGCACAAGTTGAGACCACGGTTGACAATATCTCAACAAATGAACAACCTGCAGATGATGTGACTCGAGCCAGTGTCGGCGAAAAAACGAGTACGAACATCGCTGAAAAACAGCCTGCGCAAACAAAGTCGTTTCTACACTCAAAGATGGGAAAATTAAGCGACCATACCACAAGTCAAATTCTTCAGGAACCAGAAATAAATCTGTCATTGTCCATGAACGACTCCGACGCGGTAGACCCACTAGAATTCTCAGGTGAATTCAATTGCAGTGACGAATTCGTAAATACCAATTTCCTCGATAATGCGGAACTTTTGAAGAATTTCACACCCAATTCCGGCAACATGTCCTCTAAATCCGCGGATAAAACCGAAGACAGTGACATTGAGATCTTGGAGAGCGAAGAGAAAGTTGCCGCCGCGCAGAAAAACGCTCAAGTTGAGGTAAAGAAAACGGAACCGACCTGTTTCGACGAGACAAGGGCTGAGAATAAAGAGCAGGTTGCATCTAGCAACGACACTACCGCGATTAAATGCAAGTCCGAAGAGGCCGCGGCTACGGCGACTGCTAATCCGACTGCTACGGCGCGTGCTACGGCGACCGCTCAACCAGAGCCGGACAAACCTTTGACTTTGGACGACATCAAAGACACCGGCCGTATCGGACATGAGTTATATAAATGCGGTTATCTGGAATGCAGTTTTACGGCGTCGCAAGTACTCTTGTTGAAAGCGCACATTAAGACGTGCAATCTCGGAGAGCCCATGAAAAACTTATTTTGCCCGCATTGTAAAAAACGATTCGTCAAAATTGGCTTGCTCCTAGAACATATGAAGACTCACGGATTGAAGCGTTTTGGATGTTCGATGTGTAAATTGAGATATCCGGTTTCATATCAAGCTACAGCCCACATGAAGACAAAACACAAATTCCTCAACACGAAGTTAGTGCCTGCCGACCCAACAAACCCATCGGTGGATGGTCTCTTCATCGTGCAAGCAGTTGTAAGTCTCTTTCTCTCATCAATATTTAATATAATATCTTAACATTGTATCTTTTTTTTCAAAGAGACAGAGTGTCATGTATATGTAATTTTTTTATAGCCTTTTGGATCTGCCGATAAAAGAACCAAGAGGCGTAAAGGTATTAGGTCTGGAGCGGAACTGGAAAATGACAAAACTGCGGATAACGAAAAATTATCGTTCAGTCCCGATGAGATTGAGCAATTACCGCGTCAGGCGATTTACAATCGACAAGTCCAATGCGCCGTATGTCCTTACACAACTAAAGTTCGGACAAACATTATCCGGCATTTGCAATTACACGCAAAAGACGAGACCGTACCAGAGAGCGGTCCGGTCAATCCTGTTCCTTGTTTAGATAAGAAAGAGAAAATGTTCGATAAGATGGTGAATCTGGCGAGCAGCTCGCACCAAAACGGTCGTATGGGCGCGAAACCGAAAGAATCTATCAAGGAAAGCGAGGAGGATGATGGTATACCAAAGTTTATACCGGAACACAAAAGGTATATTATTTTAATGTATATATTTCATTGCACGCACGACATATTATGAGCGTGCAACAGTGAAATACTGTTTTAACAATCTAATCTTTTCTGCGGTAGATATGTATGCGGCGTAGCCGAATGTAATTACTTAACAGTGGACGAGGCGATGTTGAGGTATCATTTGAAGGCTCTACATTCGGATGAGCCATATTTCCGTTGTCCACATTGTCCTCTGCCGCAGCCAGGTCAAGAGAATCAAAATATAGCGATCGACAAAATGGGCATTCATTTGAAAATGCACGATACAAGACTCTACAAATGCTCCCATTGCAATCATCATCATTATCATAGGTTTGTACATCATTATCATAGTGTCAGATGTGTTGTGATCTACTTCCGATTAGCCTGTTTCCAATTTAGAGATGGCCTCATTCACCGTACTTTGCCACCCATTTCTGTCCCTGGCATCATGGACCTGCTTGACCCAGATCTTTATAAAAATTATAATTTTATACATATACTTGTACAGTTTTAAAACATGTGACAAGTAAGACTAATAAGCTTGATTAATTTAAGGACGTATTCTCCGCGTCCTTAAACAGGAGAAAATAAATTTTCTTGGGATTTTTTTGAAACTGACGATACGTTACGTTAGGTGTGCTTTCGGCGTGGTCGAATGTTCAGTACCTCTTCCGGTATAAAAAATAAAGATACTGAGCCTGCAAGTTTCAAAAAAAAATTTTAAATTTAATTTTTTTTAGTTTTGGCATTTTTTCCTTATAGAACTCGACGAGAGGAGCAACTTTGGTCCTCTTGGCCAACCTCGTATCTCTTACCGTTTAGCCTGGAAAACCTTTTCATTAGGAAAAGTTGAAACTTTGAGGCTCAGTATCTTGATTTTTATACCGGAAGAGGTACTGAAATTTATACCACGCATAAAGCACACTTTTATATATTAACGTATATTCACAGTTTCAAGAAAATCCCAAGAAAATTTATTTCCTCTAGTATAAAGACGAGAGAACGTCCTTGTTAATGATCATTAATATCAGTACGCAAGATAAACAAGATTGCTCGTTTGACTTAGAAAAAAAAAATGTACGGTACGAAAAAGAGGAATATGTTACTTGTCAGATGTTTTAAGATCCTCTTGTTGGCGCGAGTACACTTTCTATGCTCTCTGATAGTATTAAAATGACATTTAGGCACGTTGTGGAACGGCATCTTACCGTGGACAAGCATCCGGGGAAGAGACCTTTCGTACAAGTTGTAAGGGAAATTGAAAACACAGATACCGTTCAGCAACCGGTCCAGGAAGAGACCGAGGAGGAGGTACCCGATCCGGACGGCAATCATTGGAAATGTACGCTGTGCGATTTTAAATGTGTTTACAAAGCCGATGTAGTCAACCATGCTGACACGGCTCACGGCGAGAATTCCCAATACAAGTGCACTCTGTGCTCATTCAAAACGAACGGAAAGGTACTTCTCGAGCAGCATATAAATAGCAAGCACGCATATGACACCAATGCCGATTACACCATGATATACCAGAGGATAAAAGGTGTCAACAAACGGAACACGGAAGCTGTGGAGCAAGGCGGGCAAGACGAGCCCTTTGATACGACGCCACTTTGGCTGAGAAACATGCCGCGAGTTCGACATATCCGCGGGATTCTTTTGGAGGAAGATATTGAAACGTCGAGCGAAACGTCGTCCGCAGCTTCGCCGAAGGTATCTCTAGGTAAACGCAAGAGCGACGCAGAAATCGTGACAAAGCCAGCTAAAATAAAATCGACCGGGAAATCGACGTCTCTCGACGACAATAATAAGCAATCTAAGGAGAAATCGAAACGATCGCTCTCGTGCGACAAATTATCCGGAGAGACAGGAGGCGACACCGGCAATAATAAATCGGCTAAAGACTCAAAAACAGATGCGGGTGAACTGAGTGACATTAATGATCCTGACATGGGAAGGTTTGGACCTTATGGCAAACCGGATGCCAATATGTATGTCTGTACACTGTGTAATCACTTCAAGACGAAATACAAGCACGATATGAGAGATCATCTTTATAGGGAGTTGAACTATCCGAGGTAAGCGATATGCTATATTAAAACTTGTACGCCTACGTGTTACATGTTAAAGATCTGCAACGCACGCTGAAATTGAGTAGAATTTGTCGCTACGCTACCTTTAACGTGTGTTTTGGATATCCCGTCACGTTATGTTTGCAACTTTGGGCAGCAGAACAGAGAAACATGTCGCACGTGGATATCACGATGCTGCACGTTCTATTTAAATACTATTATTAAGAGAGATTATGTATCTGTTTAGATGGCATTGTAAGACTTGCGGATATTTATCGATAAATCGTAAAGCATTGCTGCAGCATTTTGGGAAACGTCATAATGGAGAAAATCCAGCATACGAGCCACTTTCGCCGGATAACACGATTGAGTATTGGGTACATATTTATTAAACCTTGATACATTTATCATGTTTTTTACCATTTATTATCAACATTAATAAAATGAAACAGAATAAATTAATATTACACTGTTTAATTTGCAGGTGATGACTTTGTTGAAGAAGCAAACCGATATGATCAAGGCGTCGTCTCATAACATGAATGTTGCCAATAGAAGTGTAGCGACACCCGTTAGTCCAGATGTTAGTTCCGTAAAAATCCTAGCCGACAAGAAGACCGTAAATCTTGCACCTACGATATCCAACCTGCAGAATGACGTTCTTGAAGATTCTAATAAAAGCAACATAGACACCGACGACGACGACGACAGCCGAGACAACGAGGATCTCGTAATCGACATGAAGGAGGACGAGATGCACGAAGACAGGAGCAACGACGCGGATATGTCTGAAAATGATAAACGTAAGTATAGAGATTACGTACGGAACTGTTTACAGTCGTGTTTATACCGTCCATAATGATTTGTATGTATTGTATGATTTTGTATAATTTTACGCGCAGTTCGCGGGAAGACTGATGACAATCTGGAGAAGCCGATTGCCTGCAAGCACTGTCAGCACACATTCAACCGCCAGCGCGGATTCAAGATGCACGTTCAGTATTCGCATTTGAAACTGTTCGGCTTCTTGTGCCCTTACTGCGACCGCAGCTCGAACTCGGAACCGTTGCTGCGCCAGCACATCCGCGCGAAGCACCCGAACGATCCGGAAAATATTATACGCAATCCGAATGCGACGGTCGCAAAGTTGTCCGATGAGTTTTGGGAAAAGGAATACGGTCTCTATCCAATAAAGGGCAAAAGGCGAAAATTGAATACAGAGAACACGGCTAGCAACAACGTGGCCACCGGCTCTGCTACTAGCGTTTCCGCAACCGCTTCCACCAGCAATCACTTAGAGAGGTGCGAATTGTGCAATTTCACAGCCGTAAATTATACTGGCCTGAAGAGTCATATGAGAACACACGCCACTCTAAAGCACAATCTTAAGTGCCTGTATTGTACCTACAGCTGTATATTTAAGGCAGAAATGGTGGAGCATTGGAAAATAAATCATCCCTCATTGCCGTTGAAATTTAAGGAACTAACATCGGCGGCTGGCTCCTCCTCCGGCGAGACAAAAAGCAAACCGTCGACGCCTCAAAAACGGGATGTCGACGGGATGTTGAAGAGCACGGGGGAGGAACGTCGTGAGGCGTCGACTATAATCTACGGCTGCTTCTATTGCGATCTTCGCAGCATCTCGCTGTCATCCATTAGGCAGCACTGGAATCTCATGCATAAGGAATTAAAGGGTTCGGAAGCCACTTCCAACGTAAAGTTGCCGTTTAGATACAAGGAGATACCTGTGCCAAAATTTTCGTCTACAAATTCCGCAAAAAAGGACGTTAACGAGCAAGCGAAGCAGACGGAGAATCTGTCGCCTGTCACTCAACGATCCGGATGGGTTTGTCAATGGTGCCAGGAGTTTTGCCAGACCAACAACGATAGGATGAGGCATCAGAACATGTTCCATTCGCACCTACCCCACAAGTGGCAGGAACAGCAGCAGCAGCAGCAACAGAAAGAGCATGATCAGTTACAAGGGTAGGTGCTTGCTCATATATATTATATACATACCGTTGCTTTCATCAGGAGACACCTAATCAAACATCCGAATTCTGTATATTTCAGAACGTCGACACGATTGCCCGCATACAGTGCCGAGAAGTACGCAAGTTCCGCGACGAACTCGAAGAATGCCCCAAACTTCGAGTCGGTCGTAGAGAACTTGATCACGAAACATACCAGGCATACCGAACTTGGTGACATGAAAAACGAGGATGATCAGTATCTTTTGGGAGTATCGAAAAGAGATCGCGGCGATGATCGTCAGGCTGTCGCGAGAAAATCCACCACCAAATCGGTCGTTCTGTGCACGAAATCGAGCCCACGTGTATTCAAAGCTGTCGCGCGCAAGTCTACGAATCCGAGGTATCCGCCGACCTCTTTTACGCCGCGTTTACCAGCGGCGCAAAGTATAAACGCGGGATTAGAGGAGGAAGAAGAAATACAGCACGAACCGCTATCGCATTACGGAATACCGAGCAGCCCGATTAATCTGGCCGAGTTAAGCACGTATATGGTGGTCGGGGGCCTTAGCATGAGGGTAAATTGTCTCACTCTCGCAACACTGATTGATATCAAGCCAAAAGTACTAGTGAAAGACGTCAGGAAAGATCCCGAGTACGCCGCAAGTCTGTCAAACTTGGATTAATATCACAATAATTATTTATATAATATAGGTAGATATCATTTTCGTGTCATATCGAGATTCAAGATTTTTCCATTAAAAATGATTAGTTGCGTATCGCTGTAAAAACTAGTATGTAAGTGGAGTTGCAACAAAACCCCAGTTATATAATTTCTGTACGTGATAAAACTGATTTGCGCCGATAAAAAGCAAAAAAACAACAAGTATTTTTTAGTTGTGATTGAAAAACCGTAATGTTAATATCACTTGTCTTTTTTGCTCCTGATTTCACTTCACAAAATATAACGTGTGTATATATATTGAAAGCGGAGATATATGGTTAAACAGCTGTACCCTAGGGAAGAACGATCGAAACGATTAGTACAATAAAGAGTCGTATTTTAATTTTAAAATAAAATGTATCAACTCGAGTATATGTTTGATGTGATACTTTTCTATATGAAAGGGTTGTCTGTTAAAGTCTTAAATTATTGTTAAACTTACGATTACATCACAGATTTACATCGTGACGTGCTGAATAGTCAAATAAAACTATTTTTAATACCTTTCATAAAATCACACTTACGTTAGCCGATTTGCATCAATCAATATTACATAATATTCACGTCATTCGAAATAACCAAAAAAATTAATACTTAAAAAGAAACAAAAGTGTAAGATATATATTTCCTTTGTGCTATGTAAGTATTTTATTTAAATATTCTATTACGCGTTTTATTTTATGAGATGTAGTCGAACATTCTGTTCGAGATCATATTACGTATTTCAGTAATGAAATCGCACTACATTCGGGAATGTACAGAAATAATACAGATCATTACAATGTAATTTAATTATTACATTACATTGCAATCTTCAGATTTTTTTTTTTTTTTTTTTTTCATAAAAAATACTAATTTTAATATAATAGAAAATAGTAAATTTTTTTCTGTGAAAATATAAGACTGACACGCGTCCTACTATTGTAAATGTAGTAGTTTTTAGAACCTTGTAAATATATGTACCATGATGTACCATACCGTAAATAAATATTTTTAATTTTTATAAATCGACCAGTATATGAGCTCCATTTTAAGCATATTTTAAACTTACTACTTTAACATAAAAGCAAGGAAACCAGTATATTTTGATTTATTTTACATGATCAGTATCTTTTTGCATCAGCATTTTTTTCTTTCTTGAAAATATGACGTGTGGCATTCATATTATTTATACATTATCTGACTTTTTTTATACTTTCAAAGATATTTTGTACATTCCTCAGCTTAGACTTCGACGTTGTGAAATTTTGTAAGTAAATAAAATACTTTTTTACGAAAACATCATTTTATTAAGTTCAATGTGAAAATTCATATTATCGTGTTATTAAATATTTACGTTAAAAGCAAGAGATCAAGCGACGTGTTTGGTTAACAGATATAACGCAAAATAAATGATAATCAATATATAATTTGATTTCGTAAAAAAAAAATTATTAGTGGTCCTTTTACTTTTAATTTCACAAGAGTTGCATCGGTATGTTAACCCTTTAGTGAAGATAATCCTGCTCTCATTATTTCGTCAACTAGAAGGAGATTACTGGCGATTATCGTGCTGAAAGTAAAAAAAATTTATCCATAGAAGTTATTGCAGCGCATATAAATCACCAAATATTTAACAGCATGTTTTCGACGATATCTTACCAAGAATTGATAATTTGTTTCTTTACATTATAATTGTCATAAACACCAACATCCGCGGGTTTTATAGCTTCCCCCGTAGATAAATCCAATCCTACTGGTTCTCCTAAAGCGGTGTGTTCCTCAAATAATTTAACGATCGTGTCTTGCAGATCAAATCCACTATTAACGGCTGAAATCGAAAGAATAAAAAAAGATTAATCACGATAATGTTGACAGTATTAGGAAAAATTAGAAATTAATAATTATTATGTTTACCGAGAGTTTTCGGAATGATAAGTAAAGCCTCGGCATAGGCCTGTACTCCTAAACGTTGCTTTCCTTTCACTTGCTCTTTGTATCGTTGGAGGGCTTGACTAACCGCAACCTCAAAGGCTCCGGCTCCGGGAACGACCGCACGATCGTCGATAGCATTCTTTATTGCCCTAAGTCCGTCACGCACAGCATCTTTGAGTTGCTCCAATGTAAATTTATTAGGACCCTGGAATATCAATATATTAATAAGAATATTTGTGTATCGCGTGTGCGCGTCAGCATAAATAATTTGCGTTACCTTCAATAATATAGTTACGGAATTTGGCTTTTTGCACTCCTCTATAAAGGTATATTTAGTTTCTCCCTGAAAGTAAATTAAAAGTTGTAAAAAGTTGCGTTCTCCGTTGTGTGTGACAACTCTTATTTTTGTTAACCAAGTACAGAACGTTACCAGAACGTGTTCATACACGAGGCCGGCCCATCCCAAATGCTCCTCTTTCAGATCATCCACAGAATTCATGGCTACGCCACCACACGCGAGCGCCAGACGTTCCATGTTTCTGCGCTTGGCTCTGCGCAAAGCAATAATGTTCTCCTTCGCGAGCATATCGAGAGACGACGGATCGATCCCTTTCTGATTTATCACGACGAACGATTTATCCGTTCCGTCGCACAACTTCTTCTTCAACTCAATAATCTTTTTCACGCGATTATCGATAAACACACGTTCGGCGGCCACCAACTTTTCGCGTTCCTCCGCGGACTTGTAGAAGAATCCACTATTCACCTATGGAATGGAAATCCACAAAATTATATGTCTAATATATGTGTAATATTATTAATTGCAACATATTAGTTAAACTTTTTATGCCATCTAGCATTATCACATACCTCGCTTTTCTCGTATTCCAGGCTCACATTACAGGTCAGAATATATGCGTTCTCCAATCTTTTCGGCATATCTGGATGTCTGGCTCCATGGTCAGTGACTATACCACGAATCAGAGTGGTATCGTCCGCCGTTCTGTGCTGCATTTCCATCAATTCGACCATGTGCAAGTCGATCTCTTTGCCCTGCTGCCTGATTGCCAGCACTGCGTCCACGCAGATCTCGGTTAATTTGTCAGCCATGGTATGGTGAAGTTTTGTTCTGAGCGAGGTCCTCGCGATATCCAGTAGGTTCTCTTTGACAGGCTCGATTGGAATTTTCATCGAGTCCAAGATTTCTAATGCCTTGGCGCGAGCCAAGTCAAAACCGTCTGCGAGCACTCTAGGATGCAGCCCCTCCGTTATATACAAATCGGCTTGCTTTAACAGTTCACCGATGACCAGTACAGTGCTGGTTGTGCCGTCGCCAGTCATATCGTCCTGAGCGGTGGACGCTCTTGCTATCAGAGATGCCGTAGGGTGCTGGATCTGCATTTCATGAAGGAGCACATTGCCGTCCTTGGTGATCTTTATATCTCCAGCTCCAGAAACCAGCCTGATGATTCAAATGATTCAAAATTAGCATGATGATGATGTTATAAACCAAATCATTAAAGTATATAAATCAAAGAAGGTAACGTCAACGCCTCTTCTCGCTTCTCGCCGGCAATTCGTAAGTCATTTCCTAATAAGGAGAATGACGCGAAATCGGAATAGCGCGTCGCTCCACGGCCACGTTTCTCACGGTTGCTGGACATGCTCGCGCACGGGCATTCGGAGTCAAAGAGTTTCGAGATACTTTTTCGGGATAAACGCGGGGAACCGCAGAGCGGACGGCAGCCTCGGCGAAGCGGCGAGATCATCGCGACACGTGAACGCGCGGATACGTACATCTTCATGGTTCCCTTGGGCCCCAAGTTGGTCTTCATCACGTCTTGAATTCCCTTCGCGGCGGAGATGTTTACCGCCAGAGCCTGTGCCGCCCGGGCAAACTCGGCCTTCGGATTCAACAGACTGATTGCCGCCATCCTCGCGAATTATCCTCGTTTCTTTATATTTTCGATCGTAAATACCACGCTTGGCGCACCTTCGACGTCTCTGCCTCTGCAAACTGTCCTGCCTGCAGTGCCTCCTGCTGTCCGTGGAATGGCGTGGAAGCGGAAGACTTGAGCGCGGCGACCGCGGCGCCCTCGCGCCAACATGTGGACTTGTGAAATTAAACACAACTCGCGTTGCCAACGCAAGTTACGAGGAGGCGGGAAAATACGAATACTTAAACGTTCACATGGTACGGGGTTTTATTACAAGTATCAACGATCACGGGTTTATCCCAAAAGAACATATACTTATAAAGACAAAATCAATTTATTCCAACACACGAGAAAGGAAAATATTTTATAGTGGAGGATAGTAATATATATAATGTAAGGAATATTAACATTACAGAAACACAAATACACGCACGTTCTTAAACGTCTTGCTGATTGGAAGTAAATGTATTATACATACATGGTTGTTATTAAACAGAACGCTTGTAATGTTGCAATATTTAATCGTACAAAATGCGAAAGGTCAGAATTCGGACGTATGTACAATCCTTTTTTTAAAAAGTACAAACATTCTGATTAGTTAATGGGCGCGTTTAAGGCAACAGCAGATAGTTAACTGCAAAATGTAGAGTATCATTAGAGGATGAAAATCCGTCCGTTGGTAGAAACATACAATTTTCCAGTATTTAATTTTAGTTCCAATACAGCGTACAGTTGTTATTTCGTATATGCATCCCAATGATATACGAGCTGCTGTTTGTCAACTGCGTAGCAGACTGCTTTGTTGACTTTTACGCGCCCAATGACATTTTAAGTATAATCGTAGAGTCTAACGGTAATAAAAAAAAAAAGAATATACAAAATTTGTTTAACATCAAAAAGGTTCTCTGTTTCATAAAAGCCCGAAGCTGCAAACTCGAAGTTTTCTTGTTAAAAGCAATTTTGATTAACTGCATCGTTACTAAGAAGAATAAATGTTTGAAGTAAAACTACGGGACTAGAGAAACGGAAACAATGTGTACATATGTGTATGTGTGTGTGTGTGTGTGTGTGTGTGTGCGCGCGTTATAAGTATCGCTTATCCTTTTAGAAAAATATGTAACGTACCAACTCCTACATAGGCAGCAGTTTGTTCGATAACAATATTTATTATAATATATAATAATATTAACATATTACTATTAATTATAATTATTATTATTATACATATAAATATTTACTATTTATACATAATAGATCTTATCTCTTGTAAGACTTTAGCAGATGCTGCCCAGATAGGAATCAAGAATATCGCACAAAGCCTATCAAAAACTTTCTTATGGCACTACATGTTATCGATATATAGCTGAAAATCCAATATTAAACATTTTCGATAAAAAACATCTTTAAAAAAATATGTTTTGCTCGAAACATTTTCCGGTAACACGCTTTATCACGCTTATTACAAGCACTTACACAATAATACAGACGCTGGTGTGAAACTTTCGTGTATAAATCCTTTGCTTTTTTTTTCTCGTAAAAAAAAAATAAATATCCTAAGAATATCATCAAGTTCCCTGTGATCCGATACTAAAATCACCCCCTAGGTCATGACTACAGCGATAGATCAGGGACTTGAGACTCAACAGTTTACGCTGCAAGTATTTCGATAAATATATTAAAACATCAGATTACCCCCCCCCCCTCCTTCTTCCTACCCCCATATAAGCGCGATTTTTCCGTGTGCGTCTATTGAACAAATATGAAATATTATTAAATTTCCCTCCAACCTCTGTGGCTTGTGCCATTCTATCCTTTGTAACAGTTTGGTATTTGTTTAAAAGCACAAAAAAGTTCCTGATCTTTCCTCTTCTTTAATCGATGTGCTTGAATCATTTTTCGTCGAGTCTGCTTTACTATCATTAAAATCGGTTGCTTTTTCTTCGCTCTGTAAGACGTCGTCATCTTTGATCGAGTCAACATCTTTGATGTCAATCTTTTCTATTTCTGGTGCCACATTCACCTCGGTATTTTCATTATCTGATGTTTCATTAGTTCCGTCCTTTGTTGCTTCTTTCTCATCATCAATAGACGTCGCAGCCGCTTGTCCTTTCTTCTGTCTTTTCTTGGCTTCAACTTTTCCATTCATTGCTTCTGCAATCGCTTTCCCCGCATTTCTCCTTTTCTGTTTGAGCTCTGCCACGACGTGTGCTTCTCCATTTTCTTTGACATCCACCACTTGAGGGATCGCTGCTGCCTCTTCTGCTTGAGCCTGCTGCTCATCGGCCTTGACTGCCGCAGGAACAAGTTTTTCCCTAGGAGCAGCTTTTTTCGCCGTTCCTTTCTTTGCAGTTTTCACATTTTTTGCTTTTGACGTGTCTTCTTGTACCGCTGCGTTTTGTTCCTTGCCATTTTGTTTTTTGATTTCTGCCTCCTCTGGCGGTGGTTTAGCAACTTTGTTTGCCGGATTTTTCTTGGCTCTTCCCCTCATGGACGTCGTCATGGCTACAAATGACAAAAAGTTGTATACGTAACACGATTGCTCAACGAGTACAGGTAATAGAAATTTTTCTAAAACAAATATACACGGCAAATGGCATCCAAACATTGACAACTTTTTAACGTCAGCCATGTGAAAGCCTTTGGTTCACAATAAACATTAATAAAAACTTTTATATATCGATCAGTACATTTTGTAAATTTGTTCATTATTTTGTGCACATCTAAATTATACAGAATGCCTGAACATGCGGTAAAAGCCACAAATTCCTTGGAAAAATTCGTTGAAATACTGTTGGAATTTATCAAAAATTTATTAAAACTTTTCTGAAATAAAAATTCTTCCATTCTAGTTTTCTGCAAATATATCTGTGACCATCACCAAAGACACCATTGGCAAATCTGACGAGATAAAAGAAGAAGAATGCAACTTACGTGCATCATCAGGTTCCACCTTCTTTGCTCTGCTGCGAGGTTTTTTGGCCGCCTTTACTTCATCTTCATCTTCTTCCTCTTCCTCCTCCTCCTCCTCCTTGGTGGCTTGTGCCTCCAGAATAGCTTCTTCCGCGTTCTTGCGTTTCCTAGATGCCTTTGTAGGAGGTTTTGCCTGCGCATCGCTTTCCGCAACCATTTTCATGCGACGAGTTGTCCTCTTCGCAGGACTCGCACCAGCGGCATTCTTCCCGGAATCTCCAGCATCTTCTTCATCCGTGGCTCGGGTCTTTTGCTTTTTAGCAGCCGGTGCTGTCTTGGCCTTTGGCTTCGCCGTGGTCGCCTTGGTTCCCGCCTTTTTTGCCGCAGTCGCGGTCTTGCCGCCGCGAGTCCTTTTTTCGGCTACCTCCTCGCCGGCATGGTTGTCTACCATCGCGTCCTCCGGTTCTTTGTTGGTTTGCTTCTTAGACTTGCTCCTCGTGTCGGTTTTCGCAGCGGCAGCAGGACTGGCGGCATTTTTCTGCTTACCGCGTGACTTGTTCGTCGTACTAGCCGGCCCGCCAGCCTCCTTGCTCTCCTGCTTCGCCGCCTTCGCTTGCCGAGTCGTCCTGCCCTGGCTGCCCTTGATCTGCTTCGGCTCGTCCGAAGCCTGCTTCGCGACCACCTTCCTCTTCTTCGGCGGCGTCACGTTGCCGTCGGCGGCGGCGGCGGCCACGACGCTCTCCGCCGCCGCTTGCTTCGCCTGCCTGCGCGGTGCCATTTAGCTCCGACCGGTGCCCTTAGCCGGCTTGCCGCTGCTGCTAACTGTTGCTGTAACTGGTCTCCGCTACGGTTTGCCGAGAAACCGCGTGCGCACGGCTACCGTCGCGAGGGATAGTCGCGAACGGGCTGAGATGGAATCACTGGAAATTACGAGATTTTACGTCGACCACGAGGAACGACCAACGACTAAACTCACTCTCTCTCTCTCTCTCTCTCTCTCTCCCTCCCTCTACTTACCTCGGAAATCGAGCGCGCGCGCGCGCACCGATCCACCCGGCTTCGTAGTCCCGCGTGCTTCCGCGTCTTCCAAGGTTCTTCTTTTCCCCGAGGACTCAACGACGCTACGTCGACAAGGAAACGAAACGGCGGAACTGTGCCGGGCGCCCTCGATATGCGGCACGGGCACGAGTGATCCCCGGGCAATCGAGAATCGATCTTGCGGATAGATAACCGTCGCCGATAACTGCCGAGTGCCGAGTGCCGAGTCGCGACGATCACGAGGACTTGACTTCCTCCTCTTCCGCCTATTCGGCCTATTCTTTCATTGGACGTCCTCGACACCTCTGGAGTCTGGACCTCTACCGCGAGCCGCGAGCCGCGAGTGCCGTGCCGCGGCCGGTGCGTTCCGAAATATACTCGCGCCGAAAATCTATAGTTGGCGTTATGTATGCCGTAGACTTGCGGTATCGCTTCTAATAAACGTTACAGATATTTTACATACGTTTTTTTTACATGTACTATCGGTAGATTTCGAAATGCGTCCTCTCTTCTTCCTTTCTTCCTTCCTCTCGCTAGTCTCGCTTCACCCCGGCCCTTCCAGCCCCTTTTTTTCCAGCGATCTACGTGCGCGCAAATCTCTCGACTTGGAAGCTATACGGATTGCACGTACGCGTGAATTCGAATTAAGATGGCTAACGCGACCTCGAGGCCTCGAGGATGTCGCCGGGTTTCGCAGTTTCGCGACGGGCGTGAAAAAGAGAAAATTTCGAAGACGTCCTCCAACGTGGTGCAACCTCGCTCTCGCTTTCAAACGCGTCACGTGACTTTCGAAAGTTCAGACGCGCGCCGGGGGCAAGATGGCCGCCTCCGGTTTGCTCTCGCACGAGGTAGACGTGACGTCACGAATGTCACGATAAATCGAGTCGAGGTTTATTCTTTTTGTGACTTTCTTAACGCGACCAAACACCAAACTCCAATTAATTTACGTGGCGATTAATTTATTAGGTCGTACTTTTACTCTTTTCTACAAGTCGTTTGCGATTTTTTTTTTATTTTTTTGCCATCTAGAAATTTTCAACACGTCTGTTATCATTTAAATTTATGGCGCTCACTCTCTACGAACTAATCTGCGTTACGTTATATCTTAAGCTGAAATTTCATGCGAGCGAAGAAACGCCAGCGTTTATCCCCACTCCACCTCACTGTAAAGCCAGCGTAGAACAGCTAACGCTATCGCCCCTATCATTTTCATGGAGCGAAGAAAAGCTGGCGTATTACCCCCAGCCCACGCAATGCAAAGTAGCATTTAAACGCTGAGCTAACGCTACTTAACCGACAAGAAGAAGAACTGTGTATAATAAAAATGGAGTATTCCAATTATTATAGACAGTACATCGCGAAAAAAAAAATATTCAAGAGAGGTTGTACCGATGCTGATACAATAAGTAATTAGATGAATCAGTTCTCTATATTAACATGCATGACGGCACCAATGAAAAATGTAGAACATATTTACATATATTTGAGCAATAATTCAGTTACAATCATTTTTTCAATATTTTCCTATCAACATACCCGCAAAAAAATAACTAACAATAAGTTGATAAGTCTTGTATTTAATGTCTTTCCATTATAAACCAATAAATAAAACGTTTTCGAAAATTATTACAATATAGTAAAAATGATTCCAATAAATTTAACAATTCGATATAAATAGTTTTTATAAATTACTTTTCATTGATGCCATCAGTATGCAAGGAAATGAATCAAGACGATTGCAGAGCGTGTTCAGGCCTTCGTAAAGTTTCCGTAAATTTTATTATATACATAGGAAGAATAGTTAAAGAATAAATTACACCATACTTTACAATCGTACACTACAACACCGTAGTTTACAATCGGCGATCCCTCTCTTGATCGCAAACGAAACCTCGCATGCAAAAAAGTAGAAGAATTTACTACGTGTTGCATGTCTGCAACGATTAATGATCGGTTCAATTTCGCTAGCAATCGACGTCTCAGGATGAAAGCCCCGTCGTCGAGAGTACGCGCACTCTTATTATTCATTCATAGCGTGATATGACGTTGTCTAATAAATATAATCAGCTATGCACAATCCCGTTAGCTCTCGTCGTACAGAGGAGTACCGTCTCCGCTGAGCGACATACTTCGTGGACTAGAATTTGTATGTGGGGTGCCTCGCGGAGATCTGTACGACGGAGTACGCGTAGACGAAGGTCTGCTCCTTCCGGAGGGCGTTGTTCTGCCGACCGGCTCGTCATAGTTACGTGGAGTTCTTCTAGACTCCTCGTACCTGGGCGTCGATCCGCTGAAAACACATTCAACACATTGATGATAATCGAATGAAGAACATTAACATTTCAAATATCAATAATTTTTAATAGGAAAACATAATCGTTATTTAATACATATTTATTATTGCACTTACGAGACTCGCGAACCGCTTTTTATACGTGCTGCCCAATCCTCGGCGGCCTTCTTCCAATCCGTCGGGTCGCCGAAAGGAGTGGACAGAGGTGGTGTAGGTCTGTGCGATTGAGCAGACCTGTGATGGCTGGGTGTCATCGAGGGCGGCGGCGGGTGCACGAAGGGCCCTTGATGATGGCTAGGGGTTTGTTGGCCGTATCTGGGAGTAGGCTGGCCATGATGCGGAGTGTGATGAGGCGTCTGGTACGCGGTCATAAACGGAGTTTGGCCAGACGGCGTATACGGCGTGTTGGGATACGTGTGTACTCCGCCGTAGCCGGTAGCGCTAGCCGCTCCGGGTGTGTGTGGCGGATAGTGATGCGGCGTCTGATTCGCCACTTGCGATAGCGAGTGCAACATGTGATGTGGGAGGTTCTGTGCAACTCGCTGTATTGCTTCTTGATTCATTCCTGAAACAATATCGATCGAAATAATAGCAATTAATACATTTGCAGTCCTTGTGCTCTTACTTGTGCGTTTCATTTCATTTTAGCGAAAAATTGTAGTTGTTAACACAGAATATATATATATATGTAGAATGATTTTATCTTGAAATACAATATTTTTTCCTAGTAAAATATATTTTGACCTATACTAAGATTCCAGGAATTACTTTCATATAAAAATTATGATGACTGACAGTTCGCGGTGATGATATAGACAGACTTACCGCTAACTGTTCCTGGCGTAGTAGTGTAAGGTGTCCTAGAAGTCATCGCGCCGCGTGGTGTACTCGGAGTGGATTGTCCAGGGACGGGATCCCTAAAGTGTTTCTTGAACCAGCGTAGTAGATCGCTCACCCTACCGAACATCTGCGCTCGAAATCTGAAGCCCTCGGATGTCACTGTAACGAACTCGTGGCGACAGCGAGTACGCGGCAGATATATACGAGAGTAGGAACTTTCCAGGATAGGTCTATGGGGGGAAAAAAATTAATGAAATTATTTTTAAATTAAAAGTGAAGAAAATTTTTGGGAAATTGCTGGTGTTACGTGCGTAAACCAGCTACGCGTTTACTTACCTTAGCTGCCGATATGATGTAGGGAATTCCACCAGGATTTTCCTTCTTCTGTTCCTTCAGTATATCCTCTGCTTTGTCTTTGATTCCCTCCACGTTGGGCTTGTAGTATTTGAAGTCCAATAATTCGGAGGCGTAAGCGGCCATGGGATTCACATGTCGAGCGATGATCTCATCCAAATCCTCGAACTCCTCGTTGCCGATCCATAGGCTCTGCGAATTTACAAATATGTAAATCGTTATTTATATAAACATGACTAAATCCCTCAAAGCAAGAATGCAGATCTACTTCATTTTTATGAATGACATTTTCACATATGTCACAGGTGTACAATAGAGTTTCCTACAATATAACAAATACAAATTAACACAATATAACAAATAAATTTATATTACTTAAATAAATAAAAAATAAAAAGCAACCTAACCTATAAGTATGCTTAGTACTGTATAATATATAGATACTAACTTCGTTTGTATTTTCTGGCGATGTAAAATTATCCATCCCTTCAGCCATACTTATAATTATTTAACTTCTTTCTGATAACTTTTTAACTTCGTTCTTTCTGTGTCACCACGTGTACTTATTTCTCTCTGTGTTTTCGGCGTTCGGCGTTGCTTCGCTAAAAGTTCAACCGTGTTGAACTTTTTAGCTAAGCAACGCCGTAACGCCACCTTGACGAAAATTGATGGAGTGGGGGTAAAACGCTGGCTTTTCTTCGCTCCGTGAAATTGTACCTTTATGGTCAGATTGCAAAACATAACATAACCTCGTCTGTCATCTCGAACTGTCTCGAAAAAACGTTCCACGTTTCCACTTATTTGGAACGTTATGAAATTTATTTACGCAATTTGTTCACGTGCATACGTAAAGCATACGTCTTGAGCCTTCCGTCAAGTAATTCACGTAAGTGTTATTATGACAGATCGTTAAACGAATGAGTCGTTCTGATTGTGAGTAAATTCGATCTAATAATATCTTGTTTTTCAGGGGAAACAATCGTGGATTAAATATATATATATATATATATATATATATATATATATATCGACGGTCTGTATTCTGGACTTTTGCAAAAAGTGCTCTCTTTACTTGCCGAGATATTTATTCAAGTTGAGAATACGCTCCAAAAAACGATGAACATGACGAAAAAGATAAACGTCAACTTTTCATCCTTGGTGGGCCTGAAAGCAGAACTGTTGAGGAAACAAGCTGAAGTAAACGAGGCCAAGTTGAAGACCGAGCCTGTCACGGCGCTGCCACTGTTGAGTAAGAATAAGAAGAAGAGCAAAAAGACTGTTGCAGACGGTCGTGCTGAAGAAAAGGCCAAGAGACCGAGGATGGACTCGGAGGATATTGTCGCCCACAAAAAGTCAAAATTAATGTTGGAAGCTAAATCAAGATTGTATGAGAGGTTGAAGAAATCGAAGAATAATAACGATAAATTTCTGGTCGATTTTGAGAATAAATTGGACGAACCCAACCAAGACGTCGTGGATGAGACGATTAATGAAGACGATCCCTTGGAGCCGGAGGAAACGTGGGTCGAGTATCAGGATTGTTTTGGCCGTACGAGAAAGTGTTTGCGGGAGGATCTGCCGCACATGCGGAAGAAGGATGATTTCATAAAGCAGGAAATAATGAAGAAACATCTCGGTGAAGAGGAAGAAGAGGAAAACAAGGAGCAATACTCTGTGCAGGAGAAAGAACCTGAGATAGAAATCATGAGAAGAAAATGGGAAGAACAAACGCGAAAGCTTGCGGACAAAGCTGATATACATTATCAAGACATATTGTTCGACGAGGCGCGAGCGCACGGCGTCGGTTACTACGCGTTTTCGCAAGACGAGGAGGAGAGAATAAAGCAGCAAGAAAACCTGGCGAACTTGAGGAAGGAGACAGAGAGAAAGCAGAGGGAACGGAAGGAGATCGAGGAACTGAAGGAGAGAATGGAACAGAATAGATTGAAGGCAGCGAGAATTAGACAGCGTATCAGAGCGGGCTTGCCAGCGGAGCCTACGGAGGAGGAGTTGGCCCAAGAAATGTATAATAAATCTGCGGAAAATAAAGACGAGTCTGCTGAAAAGTCTACGGAGACGGCTGATCGTGTAGCCACAAGTGTCGTGGATGCATCTATCCAGGAAAAAAAAACGGATGAGGATGAGGATAAGATAAAAGCCTTTGGAGAACTTCTGGGCAAGAAGAATCACTGGCGCGTAATGTCGCAAGAAGAATGGGTAGATAAATGTAGAGCGCAAAGAATTAACGAATTTGGGCCAGTTTATGATAATTTTACGAGTGGTGGATTTTACAACTATTCTCAGAACGATGAGCAGTTGATTCGTAAAGAAAACGAAAAGCCAGATAACGCAGACACTTGTAGTAACTCTCAGAAATTCATTGAAGAATCCATCAACAATTTACAGACGCGTCAAGACAGTAACGTGTCTGTCGGTACGGAGACAGTTTTCCGTGCTCAAGACCGCGATAGCACGAGTCAGATAGACAAAAACAATTTACCGGGAAACAACGCGGCCAATACCAGCTCCCACGACGTGTCGAAAAGTACACGAGGACCGGCAACAACTCCCGCTGTGACCTTTTCTCAGGAACAAACGACCGTTTCATCACCGTTTACTCATCTATCCAGCACGTATTTACGAAATGTATATGACTCGTCTGAGATATATACGCCTGAACAGCAAAAACAAACAGACGATATGAATATCCCCCTTCCTGGTGAAAATGACGTTTCATCTTCCGCTTCCAACAGTGTCGGTCACACAAACAAGCAAGAATCATTGTCACGAAATATAAATGAAGTAAACATTATGGCTGGTCTGAAATATTTAAGAGAAAAATTCGAAGCGAGTCACAGTAAATGTACATAATAAAGCATTATTATTAGTATTATATTGAATTCAACTTTATTGTACATAGTAATTTAATATAATTTTATAGAAAAATAAACTTGTAACTCTTCAGTTTGCATCATTTGTTTTATCCCAAATATTCTTGCGTCACAACATAAACGTAGCATCTTGAATTAATTCTTATGTCTCCGTTTTGATCTTTTGGATTGACTAGACTGTGTCATCTCTACGTCTGTTTCTACTTGTGGTGCGCATTCAACATCCTTGGCATCATTACCTGTAAGTAATACAATTAAAAAAAAAAAAATTAATATTTGAGCATTTATAATATACATAATAGTAAAATCATTAAAATATTTAAGAACTAAAGATAAAATTAAAAAGATTGAAACGTACTGGAATCATTTCCTGGTATAGGATGATGACAATTAGGACATTCCGTTGGACCGCCATGATTTCTTGCATAGTTCTCCAGGCAATAAACGTGTGTCGCAGCATCACACGTGCTACATTTCTCGCTCTGCAAGACAAAGATAACGAAATCAAAAATGGGATACGTGCGTTATATATTCACAGAAATACGTACATAAAAAAGTTCCTGCTTGCATAAAGTACAAATTTGAAGATTATTCTCATAGGTATCCTTGAAATATTGCAACAACTCCGCTATGCTTCTTACTCCCATATAATATTTACCATCCTGAAAAAAAAATCCATGTCTTTTCAACATTCAGTTGTAAAAAAGTATACCGTCAAAGTTGTAAAATATAAAAATATATATACACCTTGGAGTATAACCATTTTCTCGTGACCATTTCGTGTAAGAACTCATCGGCTTCAGCCTTGCTCAGTCTTAGATTCAACGACGAACACAAGTTAAGGCAAAACGTACTTGATACATAGCCGTTGCTTGAAGTAACAATTTCAGAATATACGCTGCGCAAGAGAGCCAATTCGGCTTGCGAGAATTCAGGATGGAAGCTGAAAAACGACGAGTGGTTACCGCGAAGCTTTTGCCAGCCGTAATATCAGTAATATCACATCAGTTGACGACATTTAAGTAGGTATTACCTGGCACTCTTGTCTTGCACCGTGCTCGCGAAAACCCAATACAGCTGGCCGGTAACTTCGCACGTCATGCACTTTATGGTCATGTATAACGGTCGTAGTTGTGCATTTATCTCACTCAATACCTTCGCAGTATTATTGTGATCTGAAATTCACCGCCAATGTAAAATTTGATTTGCTTTACTTGATGCGCTCTACATTTTCTGTGCCGTGTCGACACAGTCAAGCTTACGTACCAAATAACCTAATAATCAAATCTTTTCCGTTATCTTCGTGTAAAGCCCCCTCGTGTATAATAGCTTGCAAAACGGCCTTGTGTTTATTGCCGTAAACCATGATGATTCGATTGTCTCGACGAACCGAAGAAAATAATACGTGAGAAGCGGGATTCTTCCACGCATCCACAACACGCACAACTACGCGCGCCGTCGGCCGACTCGTGCATCGTGCATGAAGTTGCGCGCGTACAGGGAGGCACGTTCGGAGCCGGGAGCTCGGAGCCGGAGCGAGCATTTGTTTCGATCGCGCGCATGCGCGGGGGCAGAAGCGTGGGGCTCCAGTTAACGCTAGTACTCCAGTTGGCGATCCTGGCGGTGAGCGACGCGACGACACCTCTATGAAGTTGGCCGGACAACTTCAACGTATCGAACTTTCATT